GACAAGGCGTGCCGTTGGCAAAACATGTTGGGAACCACCGGATTAGACGCTGTCCTTGCGATCCACGCCTGGATTTGCACCCGGGTTCTGACTGTGTCTAGAACTGACTACTTATTGATTCGATTCAGAAAAATAACACGTCAAATAAAAATCATTGAATGAACAAAGTAAACCTTGTTATCTGTAAAATGATCTTATTCCAATAAAACATCACAACATTGATTGTTAGCTAAATTAAACAACGCTCACTCGACATACATTTGATCATTTCGATACTAACATAGCAGTAGACTCGTGGTTAGCGCGCAGGTGTCATTAACGGTTTGGGGGAACCGGGAGAAACGCTATTCCTGGCTTAACGCGGATAAAATTAGATAAAAAGCATCAAAACAATGCCCGAAAAACAAATGAACGTTACCCCCCCCCCCTCTCTCTCTCTCTTATGGATTGTGCAAGGTTTAAAAAAGACCACCACTTACCTGCCTAAGGCTGAGTAAAATTGAAGTAGTGTTAATTACAGGAACAATATAACGAAACGAAGAGTAATATACGTCTTCAACAATGAAAACAATACCGTGTTGTTAGGGATATACCTTACCAGTCTCTTTATAAATAATATATAATACACTGATCAATTCCCTCAACACTTGTCGCTTTAATTGCTATTCACTACAGTAGTCGCGATTAATAGACTTGATCTACTAGATCGATTTCACCATTCATACAGCTTCCATTACTGTCAACCATGTGTCGCGAATCAATCTGATTACAACACAGATCCTATTTCGTTTCGTTTTTTATAGTTCAAAATTTCATTTTTTCTGTCTTCACAGCACTAGGATCTGGAAAAGTTGTTATATAACAGGCGTTTTGCTTGTGCTTGATGTGAGGAATTAGCCAGTGAAACGGTCTGTTTCGGCGAGTTTTTGGCGTGAGGTGCACGGAACTGTAGGTAAACCACTAGACGTCAAAGCTGATTGATTAATCAATGTCTGACGTCATAGGGTCAAAAGCCGCCTGTATGACCCCTGAAGCGACCTCCCACTACAACTGGCAGGATCTACATGTATTAGAGGCCATCGAAAGTGTAAAAACGAAACGAAATATAGATCCGTATTTTAATCGGATTGGTGTACTGATCTAATCCATTATCCAATAATAAGACTTGGGCACATTTTATTGTTCAGTTTTGACAGGCAAACGATGTCTACCGTAATGATAAATGTTTCTTTAAAGATACATTAGTTAAGAGCTAAATCTGCCTATTTCAACTTTTATATCAATTAAATCCATATATAGAAATTGTTGATGATAAAATCCTTGTGAAATTTAATTAGTAGAATATCATAATCATATATTTATTTTATTATTATATTAGTCGTTGATTTTATCATTAAGTATTGTTTTGTATTTTAGCTGTGATAAATAAAAAAAAAATAATAGATACATAATTAATATTCCCAAAATATATGATTTAGTGCTAAAAAAATATCACAAAATTTGATGTCTCTTTCCACGTTTTGAAAATTTACGTGTTTGTTTTTTGTATATATCAAATATCATCCATGCAGTATTTTTACCAAAAACAACTCGAATGAATTAATATAAAAGTAAACTCTTGTTTAAAAACGATTACGTATTTTTGTAATGGTTACAAATACGTTTTATACAACTTTGTTTTTAAAAGAGTTTCTGTCCCTAGAAATATTGTCCATCCTGTAACAGAGTATTAAATCATAAAATAATAAAGGACCCCTTTATTGACGAAAAAAAAATTTAAAAAAAAAAAAAAAATTAGACCTGTATTTACATAACAAGACCAAGCCCCTCGGATGGCTTGGATTTAAACTGTCGCCCGTTTAATAATTAAATCATTAAATGGCTGCAGATGAAAGGACTGACAATCGAGAGAACCGCAGGCATTGAGAATGTTACTTAATAATCGAGAATATGTGGGCGGAGTTATCGTCTGCCAATCAAACGATCAGCAATTCTCGGAGACGGTGCGGAGACAGCTGACGCCTATTTCTAGTCCAAACTTCCAACAGTGATAACTTTGTTCAGAATAAAGTAATTTGACTGAAATTTTCTATCATCTTTTTTTTTACATCTATATTTGAACTGTTAGATCAAGAACGGTCAACTTTTTATTAAAATCTAAACTAATGTATCTTTAATATGGGTGTTAATTGTGTATCAAATATCACAATTTTCGTTGAAGTAATGGCGTAGAAAAGTGTTCTGTTGTTAGAGGAAGATTGATTTTTCTATTCTCGATCGAGATATTGTGTAGTCTGGTGATTAACAGAATTAGCAGACTGTGACTGCTGGCTTGTTTACAACCCAGACAACATGCGTCAGATTAGAAATTACATCGACTTCACCAATAGGCTAGAAATTAACAAATCAATCGAGCGATTACGAAGTCAGTCCAGCAAATTTTATTAAAGAAATGAAATGATATGGGGTTTAACGTCCTGCTGTTTTGCTCCTAAACTGGGCTAATGAAGACGGGCATACGCCATACAGTGTGCTATGAGGGAAATTTAGGCCCAGACAGCGGCACTACGGCCTACTCTTATATCGAATTCCAACTGTCAAGGGACCTTTTACGTGCACGCCAATGTGTACACAGGGTCTCGGTTTTTCGTCCCATCAGAACGACTAGACAGCTGTCCTTGTCAGTCCCTCGGTCATGCACCACTGACATGGGGAAACACGCCGGAAAGTCTTACCTACTTAGCATCCGTTGTTCCAAGTCCTTTTTAAAGACAGTCACTAATAAAAGGGTATAGCCACACTCGGCAAACCTCGACAGATTCCGTCACTCTACATCTAGCTAGATGTCGGGTACTGGAATCTGCTGAGGTTTGCCGAGTGGGTATAGCCAGTCAATCGTATCAATTCACCAGCTTTTGTCGCGATTCGAGGGTGGGCTTCATATTTTCAAATTTAAAAAACAATCTCACGGTACTCAACCCAATATGTCGGGGGGCCCGAAACATTTGTCCCACGCCTACCCCTTACATCCGGCAATGTAAATGGGCATCTCACAAAACAGAAATAATGCTCTATATATAAATGAAACAAAAAACGCCTTGGTGAATTCAATACAAAACAATTAGACATAAAAATCGAGCTCTCATTGTTATCTTTCTTATTACATTGTTATATTAATAAATAATTTACTCTATAACTATTCAATTGTTTATATTTAATAATATAGTTCTTAACCACGTTTATCCTCCGCATGGGTGTATTGACGCGTTTCAACGATTTTCAGTAAAGGTCTCATTAACTATAGATATTACCTAGATGCACGAGGGATATATGTATCCATACACCGTGACGTTGTTATATAGTACCTAAGAGTTGACATAACAAAAGTTATAGATATGGATGGTTAGGTGAGAGAGAGAGAGAGAGAGAGAGAGAGAGGGAGGAGATATTACCTAGATGCACCAGGGATATATATGTGTCCATATACCATGACGTCATATAGTACCTGATAGGTGACATAACAATAGTTATAGATATTATGTTGCACCTGTAGTCCTTTACGATGCGCAGGGGTGGGGGTGGATGGCGTACGCGCGGCATCATAAGGTCTGCCATTGCGTCAACTGGCGTGGTTTCGATTCCCCGGTTGTACGTGACAAGGAGTAGGGTCGTCTGTCCAACTTCGTGGATTTTCTTCGGGTTTTCCGGTTTCCTGCTAACTGCTAATGAACCCTACGCGCAAGCGAATTATTGAAATAAAATTTAACCATATGTTAGTCCCGAAATGACCTAGTTTGTGTCGAGTGGACGTTAAACCCCATTTCTCTCTCTCTACCCTTTACGATGATTGGATGATTAGGTCATTGTACTGTAAGGCATAATCCCAGGAATAGGCTACTACTATAGAGCGATTGAAATGTTTAACAGTAACACAAAGAAAAATCTTGCAGAAACCCCCAAAGATGTAACCTATCGCGTTTACGGGTTTCTCGGTGTGTGATTGGGGTCCAAGGCCGCAATAAAATCGTTAAATAACTCGATAGGTGCACAGCACAGGGTTCTCCATAAACAGCTCAACAATCCCAGATTGCAACAATCCCAGCAAGATTTTTAGGAATTTGTTTTTTTTATATAAATAAAAACTCTGACCATAGACGGGATCGATAATCTATTGTAAGGTCCATGATGAAAGTGGCCTTCAAAATGGAGCAGCTTGGACCTATATGTGAGAGGGGTGCAATGGCGAGCTTTGCGTCATGGTTTTGAGTTTTTGCGCCCCACACAGCCCAATATTACTCGGCAGCACTGAGGAGAGGGCCCAGCCCCCCCCCCCCACACACACACAATATATATTATTATTAGGCGCCCGGGTGGGATCTTGGGATCTTAATTGTTCCTCATGCAAAATCACGGGTCGCCGCGCCCCTGATGGACAGACAGGCGTGTGGATGATCTGGGATGACATCCTCGGTATTCCCAGTGGCAGTAGAAAACGAGGTTATCGATGAAATATCAAGAAAATAGAGAACTCTTTACAAAAAAATATTTACAAGGTCCCAATCAATCGTTTCACAGAGAATTACGAGTCTAGTAATATCTCTGTCAAAGAGGACTGTCTTAACACGTGCACAGCACGCGGCGTCAATCATTGGCTGAATAGCGCATGCATTGTTTACATAAGACGTTACTGCTTCGGGCGGAATGCTGCCTTTTAGTCATTTTAATACCCATTTACACTAAATAGAAAATAATGTTTACCTACAAATACGTCAAACGCCTTTATTTATTTTTCCATTAGGCCTACATAAAAAAAAATGTTTTAGAATTTAATTTGTCGCAGGAAATAGTTAATATTTCTCGCATCGATGTCATCCTTATCAGTGATTGTAGTGATCTAAGGTGTTCAGTTTGTGTCCCAATGGAACAATTTTACTCAATCTAAAAATATGTCTATGGGAGACAACTCCAATTATTGAGGAACTGGACAATCGTATCTCAGATGAGCAGTGAGCATGTCTGCACTCATCGCTTGTCAACAGAAGAAAAATACAGAATTGTTAATTCTTTGATGTACTACAATTTTATGGACGCACGTATTTAATATCAATTAGGTAATAACTTTATTAGATTTGTACAAACTGAACAATTTTCTTAATGTAGATTTTGTTAATATTTCACTTGTGAAAAAATGTGTTTTAGGCTACCGATCGCGGATAGCGAAGGCCGGTTACCCGCCTGTTGAATTGTATTGGAATATTTGGAAAGAGAGAGAGAGAGAAATGGAGTTTAACGTCCACTCGACACAAACTATGTCATTTCGGGACTAACACATGGTTCAATTTTATTTCAATAATTCGCTTGCGCGTAGGGGTCTTTAGCAGTGGGAGAAAACCCATGCGGTTGGACAGGCAACCCTACTCCTTGTCACGTACAACCAGGGAATGACTCAATGACAGACAGTATGATACAGCGCAGCGCGCACATGCTAACCATTCGGCCATCCAACCTCCCAGGAATATTTGGAAATAGGCCTTATAATACTTGTTGTACTATATAAGGGCGCGTCGAATTACCGAATAACACCCAATAACTGCGCAATAACACCTAATAACTCCAAAATAACAACCAATAACTACAAAATGTTGACTTTGGAAACACAAAATAACAATTTAGTTGAATATAAGAAGTATCGCTGCTTTGTGTCGAAATCAGAGTTTCACGCTCACTCGCCTGAAGGAAGATAACTGCTGTATGTGATTTTTGTTGACAAGAAATTAATAACACCCAATAACTGCCCAATAACACCCAATAACTCCAAATTGTTGACTTTGGAAATACAAAATAACAATTTAGTTGAATTTAAGGAGCCTGCTATATGTATGTACTGATGATCTGGTGGAAAGAGATTTATTTCTTCATTTGTTCCTTGTCGAATTCCAGTCATATGTTGACAGTAATGTTTGGGAAGAGACACCATGCAGAACATGACAGGTTTATAGGCATAGGCATACCATAGTTCAGCTCAGAACGTAGGACTCATATTACACTCGCCCTGTACGTTCAGGAACCGTCCTGTTGAATCCTTGGCGAACAAAAAATTTTACTTCCCAGTAAATTTTACTGCGCAACTTTTTACTGCTAAACGGTCGCGTGTCAGTCCCTGTGAATGCCTGAACAATATAAAGAAAATAAGACCTTGCTAATTACCTCGCTAGTACCAGTATGAGCGACTCAACACGCTGTTATAGAATACATTCCTGTCTTCTAAACGAATTGACCGATGCCATTGATAGGGTAACACACAAATTTACAAGTTCCGCCATAAAAGATGAAACGAAATTTAGGTAAGCCTGGGGGAAAAAAATTGAAATCTTTGAAAAGTTGAGAATCTTCAGTCATTTATTGCTTTGTCTATTCCAATTACAATAATTTACAATCAAATTTTTTCAAAAATAATGAGACCTACGTTCAGAGCTGAACTGCGGCATACAGAACTTACAAGACATGACGTGCAGGGAGTGGGAAAAGGTTACCAACAGGGCACCGTTATAGTTCTCAACCCCCAATATATATTATACAAATAAAAGATTGGACTAGTAGGTAGGGAATGGCCGAATGGTTTAACATGTGTGCGTTGCATCATAAGGTCTGTCATTGAGTCAACTGGTGTGGTTTTGATTCCAAGGTTGACAAGGAGTAAGGTGCTCTGTCCAACATCATGGGTTTTCTCTGTTAGTCCCAATATAGTTTGTGTCGAGTGGACGTTAAATCCCATTTCTCTCTCCCTCTACGAATGGTTCTGTCTCTGTTATATTATTTTAATGTTTAATCTGTCTGGGTTTTTTGTGCAGTTATCCAGTATTGTGAGTTTCTGTCCTTTTTCTTCAGTAAAGAACAAGACGATTAGCACTGACAGAAAATGTCCCGAAGACAGAGTAGTCGACCGTCGTCTGCTGCTAGTTACAGCAGTCGGTCATCAACACTCGATGGAGAATTAAGACTGGAATGTAAAGCCGCTTTTCTTTGTTTATTTGACGATTTATCTGAAGAGATTACTTCGAAAGAAGATCTAATTTCAGGTAGGTAGTGCAGAAAGAAAGACTACGGGAATGCTCGATTGTCAGTTGGGAACGTTCCAAACTGACATAATTGCAATTGAGTGACGCAGAATTCAGTCCTGTCACAGTTCTGCCAGTCCCGACAACGGAGGTGGTGTGAGTAGAATCACGATGTAATTAAACATAATGAATATGTTTCAGGCGTCATGGTTGGTTGATATATGTTCTCATGCAGTCAGCGCATGCGTTCTAGCCCAAAATCCCATTTTCACTCAATTGTCACTATTTTGGGGGTTTAACAGAATTCCGGAACGTTCAATCGAGCATCCCCTAGTACTGTGGAAGGGGAGAGAATCCAGGCAATGCCCTTGGGTAGTTGCCCTGTTCATGGGAATGTGGAGGAACATTAGACTGATACTTTGAAATTGATGAGAAATCGGCTGGTATTTGCGACAAACTAATCAGCAGTAAATTATCGCTGAGAGGGATGACATCGGGGCGAGTTAATTAGCTCTCAGTATATTTTTCTTCATCAAATTACATTCTAAAACAATTTTTTAAATTATTAAGAAAAAACCCCAAAGGTGTTAGAAGTAGCCTACACTGCGTATAAAGTAAAGGTCGGTCATCTTGTAGTGTATAGACAAGGGCAGCTGTCTAGTCGTTCGGATGGGATGAAAAAACGAGGTCTCGTGTACAGAGTGGCGTGCACGTAAAAGATCCCTTGGCAGTTGGAATTCGATATTAGAGTAGGCCACAGTGCCGCTGCCTGGGCAAAATTTTCTTCATAGCACACTGTATGGCGTATGCCCGTCTTCATTAGCCCAGTCGGAGCAGAACAGTAGGACTTTAAACCCCATTTCATTTCATTGTAGTGTATAGAATTAAAAGAAGGCTTTGACATTATAGCACTGTGAAACAGATTGGATTTGTGGAGTTTATATTGAGGCTTTCCTTGTTTGATGTTATAAATATTGAATTAGAAAAATTACATTTATTATGCATGAGTGCTTTAATTTTTCCATTTTAAAACTGTATGTTATGTAAGTATTATTTTGTTTCTGTTTTAGCCTTACAGCAGACGGGTAGAAATCCTACTAACAGATCATTGACTAAATATTGGACAAGAGATACCAGTAAGTTTGGAGTAAATTAATGAATAGAAATGTTCTATTATAGCAAATGTTTATTCTCAATGTCACTTGTGAAATTATGAACTGAGATAGAAAATGTTTTCACAGATTACCATCCTATTTTTTCTTCCATGGTCATGAATCCCTTTACTAGTCCTGGCACCGTATTCACAAAGCATTCTCAGACTTAAGTTAAAGATAAAGAGATGGCAGTTCTCGCTATAATAGTTAAAAACAAGATAGTGTAAAGGTAATTTGCTGAAAATTTCAGTCAAATTGATCCACTATGAGCCGAGAGAGAAGCGGGTGTAATTTTTACATAGTCTCGGTCATCATTACTAAAATCATTAATATAAACAGCATAGTCTCGATTATCCACTTTTTCTGATTTAATTATCAACGGCCGTTAGCGGCATATAGGAATCTAATCCAGCCAACATCGAAGGCTAGCCTTGACATCGAGAGTTTATTTTGGTCTGAATAAGTTAATTAATGCCTAACTGATAATTTAGATAACATTTCAGGCCTAAAGAAAGACTTGTAATAAGCAGATTTTGCTCTTGCTTAATGCATGTTTAAGAATTTACTCAAAATTGTTCACCTCATTTTAACTAAAATATAACTCTTTATAAAATTTTTGTTGTTTTAATGTATCAAATACATCAATAAAAAACTATATACAAAGTTTTTTGTTTCTGGATCAAAGATATTTCTCATAAACAGTGATTGAAAGTTGAGTAAATTCTTAACTTAAGTCTGAGAATGCTTTGTGAACTTCGGGTTAGATAAACTGGAGATGAAAAAGGTTTTGTCAGAATATCATCATGATAACTATTTCTTCTTTCACGGTCATGAATCCGGTAGCTGGTCCTGCAGTCAGTTCCCTGGACGACAGGATTGTCCCCTTAAGTTCGTCATACACTAATGCATATGACTAATTTTGTTTTAGCAGTCATTATTGTGGCTACGATCACAACAATCTTCAATGCCCATGTGTAATCGGGGGTTTGGTTTTTTATGTGGTTGATTATCCAGTATCTTTGGACAAGTCAAGTAAAAGTTGCGCCCCTTACCTCAATAAATCCCAAAATTCTTGCATTAATATAAACAAACATGAATCAGGATTAATTAAAAAAAACATAGATATTGCCCATGAAGAGAGAAAAAAAAATTAAGAGTATTGAACTATCAATGCTATCAATGCAAATGGATTTTCTGAAATGGGCGTCAACATCTTGTTTTAGGACTAGTTACCTCCCTTAGACTTTATTTATGATAATGTAAAAGACCGGATAATCTAGCCAATGACCTTTTTTTCTCAAATGCTGACACTGCATCCAGACTAATATTTGTAGAATATTTTTCTGGATGATAGTGACTAGGAATCTCTTTCAGTCAATGAAAGAGTGGCTGCTCCAATCACGCCAGGACAACACCCACTGACCCATTAAAGACACCAACCAAACAGACGTCACTTCAAATATATTAGATCTTACATAGTGTAGATAATATTAGTGATGGTTTAATAATCGGTTTCAACATCGGTAATTGGCCAATAAGTGGCCTACCGGGAGAAATCGGTATCGGCCGATACACCGCCATTTTGCCGATACTGGAGTTGCCGATATCTGTTCAAAACGACTCTGTGATTACCGTTAAAATATCCGAGTTGTGAACAAATGAAGACAGGCATACGCCATACAGTGTGCTATTAGGGAAATTTTGCCTGGGCAGCGGCGCTACAGCCTACTCATATATCGAATTCCAACTGCAAAGGGATCTTTTACGTGCACACCAATGTGTACATGGGACCTGTTTTTTTGTTCCATCCGAATGACTACACAACTCTCAGGCCCTCCATTCTCCACCCATGACAAGGGGAAATCATGCCGGAAAATTTTGATATAGTTTGTACTTTCCCATGTACAATGTACACAATATCAGATTATAGTCCGTGTTCAGTGCAAAACAATTTCATTAATAACTGTCTTACACCACATCCATCTTTAATAGTCCATGGCCAGTTCTCAACAGAACAGTAGGACGTTAAACCCTATTTCATTTCATTAGCCCTGTCAGAGCAGAACAGTAGGACGTTAAACCCCATGTCATTTCATTAGCCCTGTCGGAGCAGAACAGTAGGACGTTAAACCCCATTTCATTTCACTTAAACCACATATTGAAAATGAACATATGTAAAAGATCCCATGGCAGTTGGAATTTGATATAAAAGTAGGCCATAGTGCTGCTGCCTGGGCAAAATTTCCCTCATTGCACACTGTATGGCGTATGCTCGTCTTCATTAGCTCAGTTCGAAGACTGAAAATGAAAGGGGATAGTGTAGACATTCTGTCGTAACTTTTCCAATTATTTCTGTAATTTTGTGTAATTTTGTTCATTCTTGTGTAATTTAAGTCATTTTTGTATAATTTTAGGATCGCTGACGTTTGATGATTTTGTTCATATTTGTAAAAAAGAACCTGTAACGACAGCAGATGATTTAATGAAAGCTTTTCGTAAAGTTGATTTAAATGGAGACGGTTATATTTCATTAGATGAACTTTATAAATTAATGACAACGGTAAGAAAGTTTTTGAAGGAAAATTCGGCTGCCATCTTAAACATACATTATGAGACTGATATTAAACATAGGCTACATTATATAAGATGTATATCTGCCTATTGCCGGTCTTTCTTTAGTCCTGAAATGGTATATAAACTATTAATTAGACATTTATTAACATGACAAGACCTTAATCAACTCTAGATGCCATCTTTTGGGTAGCTATGTCTCTAACTCAATATCATCAAAAATCTTGATGTCGTGATCTTACCAGGAAAAGATGGGCTTCTGAAATGCATGTTATAGCCCAAAGATCTTGGTTCCTTTAGATATTTGTGCATATAGGATCGTAACATCCTGAATTATGGCTCCTGATTGTACGAAAACTCAAGTTTTTAGCTTGTGGATCTTCTAGAGGTCACAATTTCTATCTGGGCTATATTTCTCCAAAAATAGATGTAAGGTGAAATATACAAGACAGACTATAAGACATTACAAAATATTATATTTATATACTTAATTATAAAAAAATAATCACAGTTCTTAAGTTTAAAAATAAATATCATGAACTTTTAAGCATACATATATTAAAATAGATGAATGATACATAAAATAGAAACCTCTTTCTTTAAAAAAAAGTCTTTACTATCTTTACATCCCAAAGAACATGGGTTCCTTTTATTAATACTGTCGCATGTCAGACTGTGACATCCTGGATTATGATTGTACAAAATATTGCTTTTTTTGCCTCTCCATCCAAACAACTAGACTGTTCCTTGCCTCGCCAACCGAACAAATAGACTGTTCCTTGCCTCGTCATCCGAACAACCACACTGTTCCTTGCCTCGCCAACCGAACAAATAGACTGTTCCTTGCCTCGCCATCAGAACAACCACACTGTTCCTTGCCTCGCCAACCGAACAAATAGACTGTTCCTTGCCTCGCCATCAGAACAACCACACTGTTCCTTGCCTCGCCAACCGAACAAATAGACTGTTCCTTGCCTCGCCATCAGAACAACCACACTGTTCCTTGCCTCGCCAACCGAACAAATAGACTGTTCCTTGCCTCGCCATCCGAACAACTACACTGTTCCTTGCCTCGCCATCTGAACAACTAGACTGTTCCTTGCCTCGCCATCAGAACAACCACACTGTTCCTTGCCTCGCCAACCGAACAAATAGACTGTTCCTTGCCTCGCCATCCGAACAACTACACTGTTCCTTGCCTCGCCATCTGAACAACTAGACTGTTCCTTGCCTCACCATCCAAACAACTACACTGTTCCTTGCCTCGCCATCCGAACAACTAGACTGTCCTTGCCTCAAAATCAGAACAACTAGCCTGTTCCTTGCTTCGCTATCCGAACAACTAGACTGTTCCTTGCCTCGCTATCCGAACAACTAGACTGTTCCTTGCCTCGCCATCAGAACAACTAGCCTGTTCCTTGCCTCGCCATTGGAACAACTACACTGTTCCTTGCCTCACCAACCGAACAACTAGACTGTTCCATACCTTGCCATCCTTCCCACGGAACCAACAAGAAGAAACCGTGCTGAAAAATCCTGAGAAGCTTTCTCTGCCAACCCAGGTTTGTCTAAGATAAATTCTAGTTGTTTTTTGTTTAAATTATTCCAGCGTGGAGAAAGAATGTCGAAAAGTGATGTACAGGATATTATTGAGGAGGTTGATGAAAATAGAGATGGTCGTTTAGATTATAGAGAGGTAAATTTTATATTTTTATGTAAAGACAACCAAAATTTCTTGTCCTAGCAATCTGAAAATTTGAATTTTTGTCAAGGTTCATGGTGGGATAGCATAATTGATGACTTCATAATTCAAAAATCATGACTCAGTCATTGTTTTTTTGAGGCACACAATCGCCTACTGGGGTCCGGTTGCTTGCTTACTGGGGTTTGACAAAATGATCGTTTAGATTAAAGTGCTAGTGGCCATAATTTCGTTTCTTATTTTTGTTATAAATACCCCTGTCTAGTTGACATTTTTTTAAAATATTCAATTAACCTATAAAATGTTTTTATTTTAGGAGAATAAGTTATATTATGAGGAGGTACATATAAAATAATATGATTATATCTATATCCCTGTTCATTATGTATGACTGTTCTCTAGTTTCTCAAAATCAGGGCCCTGTTTCTTGAAATCTTAACTAAAGATAAAATCCAAATTTTAGTAGATACTTCAATTTTGATTGGCTAAGCACTAAAATCAATCTAATATTATCCAATCAAATTACTAAAATTTGGATTTTATCTTAGTTTCGTGAAACAGGCCCCAGATCATTAGCCAGGTTGTGACTACTTTGGAGGGTGAAATGAAATGAAATGGGGTTTAACGTCCTACTGTTCTGCTCCGACTGGGCTAATGAAGACAGGCATACTCCATACAGTGTGCTATGAGGGAAATTTTGTCTAACAAAAACTATTTCTATGACATTCTCCAGAAACATAATAGATCTGAAATCAGGGGAGATAATAACATAATGAACAGGGCAATAGGTTGAATTATCTCACAAGGAATCACAATCATCCATGAATGCGTAGTATAGATATTCACAATCACGGATATATCAAGGAATGCATTTGTGTCAAGAGTTCATCCATAATTAATTTTCAGCATGTGTTTCTCGTAAAAATACAATAAGGAATATTTTATGTCCCATTTCGTCCATAAATAAAAATTAGTCAATCAATGGACGCCATGTTTTTTTGGGGGATTTAAGAACAATAAGGAATGCTTTGTATCCTGTTTAGGTTTCATTCCATTTCATCCATAAATAAACAATTAAACCATCAGCAGACAGCATGTTTTGTCAGGTACATTTAGTTAGTATTCATATCTGCGGAGCTCAGTTTATAAATACCTTAGTAATGTCAATCCTTAAAATACTTTAGTAGGTGGTTATACCAGTCGTTAAAATACCATAATGGGTGGCAAGGCAAATCTTTAAAATACCTTGGTGGGTGGTAATACCAGTCTTAGAATACCTTGGTGGGTGGCAATGCCAGTCTATAAGGTAAATTCTAGTGGCTGGTAACAACTTCCATAGGTGGAGGTGATATCAGTCCATAAAATACCTTAATAGGTTGTAATGCTCGTTATTAAAATGCCTTTGTGGTAATACCGGTCGTTCAATTACTGTAATGGGTGGCAATGCAAGCTATTAAAAAGTCCTTGTGCTGGTAATGCCCATCTTTAAAATACTTTAATTATTTTTTAATTTTAAAGGCCAAACGGTCTGTTGCATAAAATTCTGCAATCTGCATGTTTGCATGCTATCAAAGAAATTTATTTTGTATAGGGGTTGACAGACGTATAAGTTTTGCTTTGGATTTTGGGGTTTATTAAAACAGGTGTTTGTGACTTAGTGAGAGATTGTACATTTTAATTATAAAGATTTTCAGGGTTGCATGATAAGCATTTAGCATGTATCTTTAGTCTGTGGATTAATATAATATTTTAAGAATGAAGCCTTTTCATTGAACAAGAGAAAAAAATGTGTGCTATGAATTTCGTTCTCGGCCAATGAACAGTCAGTATTCTTAGAATATTTTAGTTCAAGTCTTCATGAATAAGGATCTGGACCCTTGTAATCAACTTTGGCAGGATATTTTGAAAGAGAATTGCCTGCAAAAACAACTGTCTAGTTTAAACATCTATTATGCAAGAGCTAAATCTGTCTATTGCAGGTCTTTCTTTAGGCCAGAAATGTTATCTAAATTATTAATTAGACAGTAATTAACTTATCCAGGCCATAATCAACTCTCGATGGCATCGGATGTCTCTGATATTAAATAGGTTAGAACGGTTCAGCCGTATTTTGATTTAAGCTAAAAATAGAGGAGCGAGACTTAGCTTTGAACAAACAGTATGGTGGTTGCAATTATTGCACACGTCTTGTCAAACCTTCAAAGGCTAATATCTTCGCTCGCAATAGAGTAATTTGAATGAAATTTTCAAATTATTCATTTTACATTATCGATTTTCGAACTATTATAGCAAGAATGGCTAGCTCTTTATCTAAATCTTACATAATTTATCTTTAAGTACCGTAGGAAGATTCTTAATGTGGATATCAGAAAATTTTCATCGTTTAAATCAGCAGTTTATAACGCATATTCTATAAACAGTGGATTATCAGGTCAATTGTCTTGGTCTGTCTTGTTTCATTACCCTAGTTGGATGGCCGAATGGGGGGTTGGATGGCTGAAGGGTTAGCATGTGGTTTTAATTCCCCGGTTGTACGTGACAAGGAGTAGGGTCGCCTGTCCAACCTCGTGCGTTTTCTCCGGGTCCTCCGGTTTCCTCCCACTGCTAAAGACCCCTACGCGCAAGTCAATTATTGGAATAAAATTGAACCATGTGTTAATCCCGAAATGACCTAGTTTGTGTCGAGTGGATGTTAAACCCCATTTCTCTCTCTCTCTTTCTCATAAATACACTATGGAGTCATATTAACTGACATCTATAAATTATGACTTATGAAACTTTTTTCAGTTTTGCAACATGATGATATCTACAGCAGAAGATTGTAAAAAACTATCTCTCAAAGTCATGGAGAAAAAGGAAAGACGAAAACAACGACGCGGAAACGCTGATGATAATAGATCAGTCACTTCTAGACGAGGTAGGAACAATAGATATATCACTCTTTAATGAGTAGACGAGGTAGGAACAATAGATATATCACCCTATAATGAGTAGACGAGGTAGGAACAATAGATATATCACCCTATAATGAGTAGACGAGGTAGGAACAATAGATATATCACTCAATAATTAGTAGACGAGGTAGGAACAATAGATATATCACTCAATAATGAGTAGACGAGGTAGGAACAACAGATATATCACTCAATAATAAGTAGACGAGGTAGGAACAATAGATATATCACTCAATAATGAGTTGACAAAGTAGGAACAATAGATATATCACCCTTTAATGAGTAGACGAGGTAGGAACAATAGATATATCACTCTTTAATGAGTAGATGAGGTAGGAACAATAGATATATCACCCTATAATGCGTAGACGAGGTAGGAACAATAAATATATCACTCTTTAATGAGTAGACGAGGTAGGAACAATAGATATATCACTCAATAATTAGTAGACGAGGTAGGAACAATAGATATATCACTCAATAATGAGTAGACGAGGTAGGAACAATAGATATATCACTCAATAATGAGTAGACGAAGTAGGAACAATAGATATATCACCCTTTAATGAGTAGACGAGGTAGGAACAATAGATATATCACCCTATAATGCGTAGACGAGGTAGGAACAATAAATATATCACCCTTTAATGAGTAGACGAGGTAGGAACAATAAATATATCACCCAATAATGAGTAGACGAAGTAGGAACAATAGATATATCACCCAATATTACATTAGTGATATTTGTAGGAGATTTACTTAGAGGTTATTTTATTCTTTTATTTTATTGTTGATTTCAAATATCATCAGTCAACATTCATCAATAATATTGGTCACATTGAAACCTTGTAGTATGGTATTTCATAGAACACTTTGTGTTTTTATCATTGTAAAATATGCAATGGCATGAAAAACATTTTTTTTTTTTAGAATTATAATTTTTTTCTAATTTCATTTTAATCATTTATATTCCTTATTTGTACTGTTGTTATGCATCATTTTATAATTAATTTTAATCATAGCACAGTCTGTGAAAATACTGATTTAGATTTCATTTCGTTTCTTATATCTTTGTCCTTCGATAGCCTACACTGCATGAAGATCTGACAAGTTGTACTCCAAGGTCATGTCAGAGGTCGTATGGGCGGCTTTTGGCCCTATGACGTCAGACATTAATTAATCAATCAGCGTTGGTGTTTCTAGTGGTTTACCCACAGTTCTGCGCATGGCACGCTAAGAAGTCGCTGTAACAGACTGTTTCATTGGCTTATCCCTCACTTCAACCAAAACGCCAGTAATTCAACAACTCTTCCAGATCTTAGTGTAGTAAAGACAATTAAAACGAAATTTTGAACTATAAAAAACGCTGTAACAGACTGTTTCATTGGCTTATCCCTCCTTTCAACTAAAACGCCAGTAATTTAACAACTCTTCCAGATCCTAGTGTAGTAAAGACAAGTAAAATGAAATTTTGAACTATAAAAAACGAAACGAAATAGGATAGCAGCATAATTATTGCACTGTATGTAATGCTATGTTCCCCACTGTCGTGCGATGCGTTACGATAGGAGTATCCCTACTAAGCTCGTGATCTGGTACATGTAGATACAATCTAAACGATTGCTACGACTGACCTCAATATATGATAAGTCTTGATAGGATCACCACGTTTAGTCCTCGATTAAAACTACGATTTCTATCGTAGCGCGAATCATGAGAGTGGGAACCTAGCATTGAGGAAAATATCTAAAGCACTGGAATTCAACACTGTGTATTGAAACTTAGCAAACACTGGAATTGATATCATTCAAATAAAATCATTTGAATTACAATTACATTACATGGTTTCTAATTACCAAAATGATGTGATAAACTTTTTATCCAGATGTATGTGGCAGTAGTATACTAACTAGTAATGTTTGTTTATGTAGTTGTTAGTTTTTTTTTGTATTTTGTATTTTAGAATCCCAGTTAAAATCTGTATCACAGGTTTCATTACGATCAAATAAATCTGATAAAGGTAGTTTATTTATTTATAATGAGTGCACAAATACTAATACAAATAATAAATAAATATGAAGTTTATCACCCAATAATACATTCTACAGTAGACATCGCTAGTGTGATGAATTTCATAATCTACTGGATTTACATGAATTTGATTGGTCAATCAAAAAGGAACCACTTTCTTTTTATTTTCATTTTTTATTAAAAGTAACGTCTTCCTTATTAAAAAAGAACTATTTTTATTTAATTGGCCTTGATGGAAACACTGGGTCAACATAAAGGACTTTGCAATGGTTGAATTGCTGTCAAAAATGATGTATTACTACGCCGTAATGTAATCAGGTTCAGTAAAAGTGAAATCTATAGCAAAGAATTATATTTATTTATTTGTGCATGTAAGAAAAAGATCAACACTCATCGATAAAGTAAAAAAAAAACTTGGCAAGGTCTCAGGATTTTTTTTGTTTTTTGGGGTTTTTTTTTTTTTGCATTATCAACTTGCGTTGATATTTTTTGATATCAAAAAAGACTCGTAGAAGATTCTCTATATATTCTAATGAAAATTATCTTGTATTTCAAAAAATATTTTGAACGACACTTGAACTCTTTGATTTAAATCAAAATAAAGAATAACTTTTTATTTTTGAATACTGACTTTCAGACGACATCCAGTACTACATGGTAGTATCGTATATTTGCCAGCACCCAAATCGCCATGTACACAATTGAGTCAACTGCCGTGGTTTTGAATCCCCGGTTGTAGGGTCGCCTGTTCAACCTCATGGGTTTTCTCCGGGTCCTCCGGTTTCCTCCCACTGCTAAAGACCCCTACCTGCAAGCAAATTATTGAAATTAAACCATATGTTAGTCCCGAGTCCCAAAATGACCTAGTTTCTGTCGAATGGACGTTAAACCCCATTTCTCTCTCTCTCTCTCACTAATACAAATAATAAATATATATATGAATTATATTCTAATGAAAATAGTCTAGTATTTCAAAAAATATTTTGAACGACACAACTTGAACTCTTTGATTTAAATGAAAATAAAGAATAACTCTGTAATTTCGACTAGTGACTTTCAGACGACATCCAGTACTAAATGGAAGAATCGTACAGTAAACTTCACATAAGTCGGATCTAAATTGACTGACCAATTTCTTCCGAGTTCCGCTTAGATCCGAGTTAGCGAAAGATCTCTTTCTCTATCTCTCTCTCTCTCTCTCTCTCTCTCTCTCTCTCTCTCTCTAAGCGTTGGATAAAATCTTTTGATTGGCTTCTTTTTAATCTGATCAAATCCAAACTATATTTAAGCATAAACTGAAAACTCATCTTTTCGGACAGTGTTATGATAAGTCATGTGTGAAGCGCTTATGAACATTTTAATATATGATGTAGATATATAATTATAAGTATAGTAGAATTAATCAGTCCATATTAATCTCACCTGTAGATGAAGAAGAAATAATTGATGATGAGACAATAGAATCGGTACCACCAAGTAGTCGTAGAGCTTCTCAACAATCCCTTAGATCGGTTCGCTCTAATATACGTATGTTTTATCGTTAATTTGCTTTTGTTTGATTGGTTGAAATGAGTCACATGATGAATAACAAATCTAATACACAACAATCTGTTCGCTCTAATACACGTATGTTTTATCATTAATTTGCTTTTGTTTGATTGGTTGAAATGAGTCACATGATTAATAACAAATCTAATACACAACAATTTGCTTTTGTTTGATTGGTTGAAATGAGTCACATGATTAATAACAAATCTAATACACAACAATTTGCTTTTGTGTTATTGGTTGAAATGAGTCATATGATTAATAATCAATCTAATACATAACAATCTGTTCGATCAATCTGTTCGCTCTAACATTTTATCATTAATTTGCCTTTGTGTTATTGGTCGAAATAAGTCACATGATTGATAACATATCTAATACATAACACTCAACAAATTGTATCAGTTCGCTCTAATTTACGTATATTTTATGTTTTTGTGTGATTGGTTGAAATGGGTCACATGATTAAACAAATCTAATACACAACAAGCTGTTCGATCAATCAGTTCGCTCTAACATTTTATTATTAATTTGCTTTTGTGTGATTGGTTGACATGAGTCATATGATTGATAACAAATCTAATACACAATAATTTTGATGGTAATGGGTTGATTAAACTATGTTGCTTAACCTGCCACTAACATTCACTATTGTGTTTTAAATAAGTTGTTTGGTTTGGTTTAAAGTTAAAATTTCATATTTTTAAGTTATATTTTTTAAAATGTATTAAAATAAAGCCCTAAATTAGACGGTATTTATAAACAGTCCTACCTTGTGAAAGAATAATCCTATTAATCCTATAATTCACTATTGCCAATTGAGAAATTGACAAAAATATCATTTTTAACTTCAAATTCAAACGTTTGAAGATAGCTATTCCATGGTGGGGAATAGGAATATAAGGGAGGTAATTGGGAGGTAATTGTGTTATTATTTCCGGTGTGAAGATTTTTAAGTGTGAGAAAGATAAACTATGATCATATAATAGTGAGTCGACAACCTATTGAGCAAAAGACATAGAAATAATTATGTTTTGACTTTCTTAGAAAATATGAAATTGTAACTTTAAGATAAGCTTAATCTTGATCATATTCTCCTGAAATTGCTGTACGTGAAACTGATTTGGTTCAAGATACGCTAAATCTTGATCAGATTCTCCTGGAATTGCTGTGAAACTAATTTCGAGTACCTGCGATGATTATGGAATGTGTCCTTAAGCTAGATTTCACAATCTATCTGATTAAAACACAGATCTATATTTCGTGTCGTTTTTTATACTTTCGATGGCCTACACTACATGAAGATCTGACCGGTTGTAGCGATAGGTGGCATCAGAGGTCATACGAACGGCTTTTGACCCTATGACGTCAGACATTTGATTAACCAATCAGCATTGATGTTACTAGTGGATTACCCACAGTTCCGTGCATAACACCCCTAAAGCTCGCCGTAACAGACTGTTTCATTGGCTAATCCCTCACACCATCCAGAACACGTCAATGATAACAACTCTTACAGACAAGTAAAACAAAATTTTGAACTATAAAAACGAAACGAAATAGGATCTGTGTTTTAGTCAGATTGTTTCGTGATAGGCTTGTTTTTGTATCTAACAATATGTCATTGATAACAAACAGGTTATTTGGGGTGAAGGGGGGGGGGGCTACCAAAATTGCATATTTTTGACATGGAGTCTTCTCACTTAATCTAAAATTACAGACCAGATGATCTGTATCAACCTCGTAAAATTTGTGTAAATTGTGTCACTTTTAATATTTATCATTTATTGCTCAATTTTCTAAGAGGTGTATAATTGCATATAATTTTTTTTTGATAAATACAGATTATCTGTGTTTTAATCAGATTGTGATCTAACCGTACATCATAAAAATAAAACACATAAAACCTGCATGCTTTTGTTTTGACAACCATCGTAGCTACAGTTTTATACACAGGCCACAATTCTGTGGAATACAATATTACGTATGGTTTAATTGTCGAGAGCGAGACATTAAGTCAATATATTAATACTGCAGGAGGTGTTAGTCGAGTGTTGTTTCAATATATACGCAATGTCTTTAGCTCGAGACCATTAAACAACTTAAAATACAGACACTATCCTGCACGTGCTTTTCAATGAAATACGTCACGCGAGTCCAATATTTCATCTAGTATAGATAATGTACGATTGGCAAGTTGCCCGTATATGATTTGAAATAATGGTATGCCAACATTAAAGGATGACGTCACATCTGTATTTTAATGTTTATTACGGAATGACGTTTCAACTAGGATTTTCTAGATTGCTCATTAATAAACAGTAATTCTATTCACTTGTATCTCATGACCTGTATATCACTGAGTGATGATCATTGTTTTATAATAACCTTGTGGGTTTTCTCCGGGTCCTCCGGTTTCCTCCCACTGCTAAAGACCCCTACGCGCAAGCGAATTATTGAACTCAAATTAAACCATATGTTAGTCCCGAAATGACCTAGTTTGTGTCTAGTGGACGTTAAAGCCCATTTCTCTCTCTCTCTCTGTTTCATAATGACTAGAGAAGCCTAGTCGAAGTCACTCAGTAATGAGCAGTAATTGTATTCCATAGCATTGTAACCTGTATATTCCAGTTCAATTATTAACTCTTAGGATACGAGCGACTGAAGGACTGGCCGTCGATGCCACTTGGCTGGAGTACTGTGCAGACGTTCTACCGGCTGCGCCACATGTACCTGTTCGGCCAATCATTAATGAACAGATATCTGTGGCGGGCGGTATACTGTCTTCTCTGTATTCTAGCCAAGGTATTCTATCATTTGTACTTGATAACGATAAGAGAATACTTGTCGAAAAGTTGTGCTATATGTGTATAAACCAGTGATTGTATTCCATATAAATTGTGTTGCGTTTTTTAATGTGCTCAATCACTAAATGCGACTCTAGGATTATATTCTAGCCAAGTTGTATGATAATATGCATTGAAACATATATCATGCATTCTTAACACCTTAATAGTCTTGATTAAATACTGCTTTATGTGGCATGCTAGAATCTTCCTCAATAAAAGTTTGAAAAATGCTACGTCAGTCAAGATTATCCAGTCAAAATATATATTTTTGTTAGTGTCCTGGTGACCAAGACTATTAATCATTAATTAAATCATCAATTTAGTGTAGACATATTATCTGATGTCTTGATGACCTAGACTAAATCTATCTGTGCATGTTTTGTAATGATATTGTAATGTTTTATTTCAGCGAGTCTGTCTGGGTCTCGTCAATCTCTTCTCAGTATTGGTACTAAACTTTTTCTTTTTTATTTTCTTTTATTTGCTTTCTTCCCAGTTTTCTTTTATGTTTTTAAACGTTTTCCCGTATTTTACATTTTGTTTGCATGGAGTTACCTGTTCTGTTTAACTAACCAAATGTTGATTTATTGCATGAGTTTTTTGTTTTTGAAATTTGTATTGCAATTAAAGCCAAAGAGCTTTTTGGGGCAGTGCTTGAAGTATAAGCGTTTGTGCTTTTATGTTTGTATTTGCACCAAAGCATTCTATTTCAGGAATATCAAATGAACACTAAGCAATTCTTCTGTATGGTTAACCGTTTTACCCTCGTTTTACGGCAAATACACTAAGTTCCTGTGACAGTTTTTTGCCTATTTGCTATTTGTCGGAATTCTGGCTGTGAAGATAAACAGACACCCGTGTTGTGCACACTACAGAATTGCTTTCTTTGTTTGCCTCCAATCTTCATCCTTGCAAATGTTGTCCTTGCTTCTGGAAAAAATGATTGTTAAATATGTGAGCAGTGAAAGTCATCGAAGTAAATCCACTTGTGTTTAAAATGGGGGGGGGGTTGGCTTGCCGAATGGTTAAGGTCTGTTATTGAGTCAAGTGGCGTGGTTTCGATTCCCTGCTTTTCTCCGGGTCCTCCAGTTTCCTCCCACTGCTAAAGAAAGACCTGTACGCGCAAGTAAATTATTGAAATAAAATTGAACCATATGTTAGTCCCAGTATGACCTAGTTTGTGTTGGGTGGACGTTAAACCCCATTACATGTGTTCAAAAAAACAACATACGGCTTAAGCGAGATAAATTCATGTGCTGGAATTGTTTCAGCCCAACCTCACAGATATTAATGTTAAACATATTGAGATGGTCAATTATTGTTAAAATGAAATTATAGGCTTGCTGAGTTGCTGCTTTATAGTTAGATGTGTGGCTTTTATCTTTTGATTTTCATAAAAAAATCATTTTTTAGCTAAGGGGGGTGGGGGGTGGGCGTTGTATCATAAGGTCTGTCATTGAGTCAACTGGTGTGGCTTCGATTCCCTGGTTGTACGTGACACAGAGTAGGGTCGTCTGTCCAACCTCGTAGGTTTTCTACAGGTCTTCTGCTTTCCTCCCACTAAAGACACCAACGCACAAGCGAATTATTGAAATAAAAAATTAAACCATATGTTAGTCCCGAAATGACCTAGTTTATGTCGAATGGAAGTTAAATCCCATCTCTCTCTCTCTCTTTTATAAAATACATAGGTACAGTGGAATGATCAAGTTTCTTAATGAACAGGAAAATTATTCATGTGTTCAAGTTAACAGTATAGTAATTACAAACGAAGAATTTAACAAAATAATAGGGAGGATTAATAACTAGACATAATTTAAATTAAATGAAATAGGATTTAACGTCCTACTGTTCTGCTCCGAACTGGGCTAATGAAGACAGGCTTTCGCCATACAGTGTGCTATGAAGGAAATTTTGCCTGGACAGCAGCACTACAGCCTACTCTTATATCAAATACCAAATGTAGATGACGTAGCTGCTCAACTGGTGTTGTAGTTCATTCTACAGACAACATGGATCGTCTGCTAGTGAATAAACCATCGTGTACTGTTGATGTCATTCCCACGTGGCTTGTTTATAAGGTCGACATCAGTGGGGATTGAACATGAATCTCTATTAAAGAAAAACCTGGGCAATTTACGTCTATTTTTTTTTTAGAAGGCCTGGGCAGTGAAAGAGTTAACAGCATTTATTGAATTTCTTTACTTTAAGATAATGGTTACATTAATAATATAATTTACCAAACAGTATATATTTTGAAATTATAGTTCTTTATCTGGAAGTTCAAGTCTGTTTAAAGCAGCATTGTGTTGTTTTTGTGATTTTTTGAAGTATTTTAAGATTGATATGTCAGATATGTTTCCCTTGTCATAAAAGATTATTATTCACTTCTTTTTTCAAATTATTAATTTTCTTTTCTTTATGTTTTTCTTTCTTAGATCAAGGTCCACATGATTATCCAAAACCTTCGCCTCGAGGAAAGAGAGATTTAAAACCTGCAGTTTCTTCTAGATCAAGTAAATTATCCGAACCAAGGAATCTGCGGGTAATTTGTTTTATGATTTTAACTGATGTGATCGTAGCCAGTCCAAATCTAGATTTATCTCGGTTTATTTTATGATTTTAACTGATGTGATTGTAGCTAGACCAAATCTAGATTTATCTTGGTTTATTTTATAATTTTAACTGATGTGATCGTAGCTAGACCAAATCTAGATTTATTTTATAATTTTAACTGATGTGATCGTAGTTAGTTAGATCAAATCTAGATGTATCTCGGTTTATTTTATAATTTTAACTGATGTGATCGTAGACAGTCCAAATCTAGATTTATCTCAGTTCATTTTATGACTTTAACTGATGTGATTGTAGCTAGACCAAATCTAGATTTATCTTGGTTTGTTTTATGATTTTAACTGATGTGATTGTAGCTAGACCAAATCTAGATTTATCTTGGTTTGTTTTATGATTTTAACTGATGTGATTGTAGCCAGACCAAATCTAGATTTATCTCGGTTTATTTTATAATTTTAACTGATGTGATCGTAGCTAGACCAAATCTAGATTTATCTTGGTTTTTTTTTTTTTAAGCAATATTTTATTCAGATTTGTATCTGAATAGGGATTGGGGAACAGGCATAGCCTATATTAAACCCCTCTCCCTTATGATTTATTTTATGATTTTAACTGATGTGATCGTAGCCAGACCAAACTTAGATTTATCTCAGTTCATTTTATAATTTTAGCTGATGTGATCGTAGCTAGACCAAATCTAGATTTATCTCGGTTTGTTTTATGATTTTAACTGATGTGATCGTAGCCAGACCAAATCTAGATTTATCTCAGTTCATTTTATAATTTTAACTGATGTGATCGTAGCCAGACCAAATCTACATTTATCTCGGCAAAATTAACTGACATCCTGAACATAAATCTCAATTCTCTTAGCACAAAATGACTAGTCTCTATCATCCAGAATGTGTTGTCAACATATGAGAATAATAGGTCATTGATCATTTACTAGATCATAAACAAAGTGTAAGGGAGGTAACTAGTCCTAAAACAAGATGAAATCAATTTAAGAATGGCACTTCAGAAAATCCATTTGATTGCATTGTCTATGTTTTTTTTAAATTAATCCTAATTCGTCGTCACGATACATACATGCTTATAATAATGCAAGAATTATGGGATTTATTGCGGGAAGGGGTGCAACTCTTACTTGACTTCACGTCCGCGCTGTATCATAAAGTCTGACATTGAGTCAACTGTTGGGGTTTCGATTTCCTGGTTGTATGTGACCAGGAATAGGGTCGCCTGTCCAACCTTGTGGGTTTTCTCGGGGTCCTCCGGTTTCCTCCCACTGCTAAAGACCCCTACGCGCAAGCGAATTATGGAAATAAAATTAAACCATGTGTTAGTCCAGAAATGACCTAGTTTGTGTAGAGTGGACGTTAAACCCCATTTCTCTCTCTCTCTCTTTCTTACTTGACTTGGCCAAAGATACTGGATAATCAACCACATAATAAAACAAACTCTCGGTTACGCATGGACAATGGAACTTGCTGTCAAATATTGACAACGGTCCCAGATCCTCCATACATTGAAGAATAGGAGGTTCTGGGTCACCGTGACTACAAAATGACTAACATTAGGACTGCGAAAATCAAAATGGAGTTTATCATCCTACTGTTCTGCTCCGAACTGGGCAGCGGCACTACGGCCTACTCTTATATCGAATTCCAAATTTCAAGGGATCTTTTACATGCACACCAATGTGTACACGGGACCTCAGTTTTTTGTCCCATCCGAACGACTAGACAGCTGTCCTTGTCAGGCTGTCCGTCCTGCATCACTGACAAGGGAGAACCACGCCAGAAAATCGGGATGAACTTTCTCTGCCAATGCAGGGATAGGACACCCGACCTCCAGGCTAGCGAGCCAGCATCTTACCCACTTAGCCACTGCGATCCCCCTTAAACCGATTATATCTATAATTATAATTTGTTTATTATAGGAATGGACACATATCCGTAGTAACGGTTGTTTTTTCTTGGATCAAGAGGAAGGAATTGTCAGTCATAAATATCAACTGTATCTGCCTACAGCTTCTAACGTCTGGATAACCATACATCCCATCAAGATCATTGAGTCAGGTATTTCGATATTAATGTTGGGAGAATGTAGTGTATTATGACAGATACTAGAATTTACGATTTTTATCTTTAATATATAAGCACACGATTTGTTTTCTTTGAAATGAGTTTCTTTAAAATGTTTTACTATTTTTTTCAGCGCCAGTTCCTGAGTTCCCTATTGATACAGCTCTCTTTATTTTAAAAAATAAAAAACTCGTGACATTTACTGAACAAAGAGATTCCAAGGGAGTAAGTAGATATAGTAAAGAAATTTATAGGTTTGGTATTAGCTAAATCTGCCTATTGCGAGTCTTTCTTTAGGCCTGAAATGTTATCTAAATTAACTTATCCAAACCATAATCAACTCTCGATGTCAACGTTAGCCTGCGATAATTATTGGATTAGGATCTGATTTGCTGCTTAACTTTCATTCATGATTTAATCGTGAAATGGATAATGAGACTATTTTTTTTATCGTACTGACTTGAGTAATGATGATCAAGGCTAGGCCGAAAATTCAATCCCTAAAATCTTGGTTGAGAGTGGATCAATCTGACTGAAATTTTCAGCTAATTGCCTTTACATTATCTAGTTTTTAACTATTATATAGTGAGAACTTCCAGCTCTTTATCTAATCTCCCATAATGTATCGTTAACTATTATAGTGAGAACTTCCAGCTCTTTATCTAATCTCCCATAATGTATCTTTAAAGTATCATATTTTACCGTTGATATGCTAATGCCTATGGCAGACAACCATATTTTTTTGCCCGATCACGCCAATTTTTAAAATTGCTAGTGTGCCCAGTGAGGACGATTCTGCTCAGCGAACCATTTCCCTGATTGATCGCCTGTAACAAGCATGTTAGATATTTTCGACCAAATATTTTACGCTGTTATAGAGTCAAGTGGCGTGGTTTCGATTCTCTGTGACAAGGAGTAGTTTCACCTGTCTAACCTTGTAGGTTTTCTCTGGGTCCTTCGGATTTCCTCCCACTGCTAAAAACCCCAAACGCAAGCAAATTATTGAAATAAGATTAAACCATATGTTAGTCCCGAAATGACCTGGTTTGTGTCGAGTGGACGTTAAACCCCATTTCTCTCTCTCCCTCTCTCTCCCTCTCATTTTATCGTTATATATTTAATTGTAGAAATATGGTGTGCGTGGTGATTTGGAGGCTGGTAAATATACGATAATACCATTTAGTACTGGATGTCGTCTCAAAGTCAGTAACCATAGAAACAAACAAGAAGCTAAATTAGTTAAAACAGACAGAGATGATAAAGTCGTTATAACAAAAGTTTTCAGGTAAATTTTTAGTCTTAAAAATAGTTTGTCATGACATATTTGGTTCTATGATCCACAAATTTTCTTTTTACTTATCAGCACACTGTTATATTTCTCTGTTTTGGGGTTGTTTTTTTATGTTATATTTAGATCCTTGGATCCAGGGGTGTTACACAGTTACATGTGGGTGAAAAGGAAAAAACAACCCTTCTCCATGTTAGAAGAACTACACCATAAGGGAGACAACTTGTGTCCGGTTTCCTCCCACCGCTAAAGACTCATACGCGCAAGCGATTATTGAAATAAAATTAAACCATATGTTAGTCCCGAAATGACCTAGTTTGTGTCGAGTGGACGTTAAACCTCATTTCTCTCTCTCTCTGTGATAAAGACGAACATACTATTGTTACTTGCATGTCTATAAACTAATAATTGTTTTTCGATATGGAAATCCTAGTTTGTAACTTTTCAATTACTTAATGCCATTCATAGAAGTTCTGCAGGATTTGCTGACAATGATCGATTTTGTGTAGCACCATGGGTTGTGTGTCATACGTGAAAAATGGGCATTCGACAAACCGGTCGCCACATCTGGCGTATGACCCATCCACTCTTTTCTTCTTACTACATATTGTGGAACAGCTCTTGATCGTCTAGTATTGTCTCTGGTTTTATTTGATATATTTCTCTCTTTCTTGGTTAGGATCCTGGGCCCGGTTTCTCTAAATCTTAAAGTAGCTAAGTCTCTAACTCAATATCATCCAAAATCTTCAACATTGAAAACACAATTTATTTTTCAAATTAAATCAACATTGATGTTGTGATCTTACCGGAATAAGATGGGCTTTTGCTTTTGATATCCAATATTTAAGACAAAATAAACATTTTACCATTGGTACACGAATCGTGTACCATAATGCGCTTCAGCCCCAGTTGTAAAAAGAGACTCGAGGGACGAGGCTAGACACATTGCACCAAATCGAACGGCGTATGTAGACTGGAATAACCAGACGCTAGAAATTTGCACTCGATTGAGACTGCTGGCTTATTTCGCGGAACATAACTGATTTGAAATTGGAGTAAAAACGGAAACCATTGAATGTAAATCAGTTTATATACATTCATATTACAGTATTATATGCGTTGCGACCCACTTTTGTCAATTTCTAGGTCCCAAATGTTAGTGATTTAGATGATAAATAATAATAATAATAATAATAATGTATATTTGTAATAATCCATCCATATACACATACTCAAAGCGCAACATTTAAAGAGTCTCTCGCCATTAAAAACACACATAAAACAATCTGTTTCTAATCTGGATAATTGAGTTTAAACAAATGAGTTTTTAGTTGTGACTTAAATATTGTGAAAGTTTGAGATTCTTTAATGTTTACTGGTAACTGATTCCAAAGGCGAAGTGCAGCAGCACTGAAACTTTTATCACCAAATTGTTTTAGTTTTGTTTTGGGAACAGCAAGTATATTTTTGCCATGCGACCTTAGTGCACGTTTGGGTTTATAGTTTGTCAAAAGTTCACACAAATATAAGTTATACTGATAAACTATAACACATACTTTTTGAAAAACAATTACTGATTTATTTAGGCGACGTTTCAAAGAATATTCTCTCAACGTTTTCAAGCAAGTACAGTAACAAATGTGTAGGGCAATTACATATAGACATTCAAGCAATAACAACAAATCAGAAACCATGCATGACAACAACAACAAGATCAAAGGCAATACAACAACATGATCAAAGGCAAGGTGCACATGAAGGATTAGTGAGACCACTAATAATTGGTATAATTAACATTGGAGTTATTAATAATTAATTAGAGGGATAAATAATGTAGATGATGTAACGAACATCTGTTCTATTTTATCAGGAAAGCTATCGAAGAGTTGTTCCAGTTGAGTGATTTAGATGGTAATGGTTTATTAAGTCGACAAGAGTTTAATATGTTTAATTTACGCAGCAGTGGAGAAGAAGTAGCAGATGATGAATGGAATGTTGTTGAAGGTTGGTTTATAAGAATTCTATTTTTGCTGTGTCAGATCCATTATTCTGTCAATCTGCTACAAATTTAAATCATGTAAAACAATTAAAATTCGATTAAAGATACATTATGTAAAAGCTAAATCTGACAAAGGCCCATAATCAACTTTCTAGAACATCGGATGGCTCGAATTTTGAGTCGATTATATACTATATTTGAGATTTTAACGATTAAATAGATAATCAAGACTTAGCCCCGATTGTCAAATATGGGCTATACTATATACCGGAAAACACCATGTTATACTGAATACAGGAAAACACGGGAAAAACACTAAATACCGGAAAACATCCTAAATAGGTAACCCGGAGAAGGGCTATACTATAAACCAGAAACTAACCCTAACCCAGGCACACAGAGGACCAGGCTCCCGGTTACCTATTTAGGTTGCCAGTTTCCGGGTTACCTATTTAGAGTATTTCCCGGTATTTAGTGTGTTTTCCGGTATTTAGTGGTTTTCCGGTATTCAGTATAAAATTTTGTTTTCTGGTGTTTTCCAATTGTTTTCCTGTGTATAGTATTGCCGGTCAAATACTGTTAACATAATAAACAATCCAAGCTACTTTTTGTTCAAACTTCAAACACTCATAACTTCTCAAACAAAATAGCACAACGACCATCAACACAATCTAACAAATGTCACCATTAAATGCAATCGAATTAAAACATATTTCGTTTCGTTTTTATAGTTCAAAATTTCTGTTACTTGTCTTTACTACACTAGGATCTGGAAGAGTTGTTATCATTGACGTGTTCTGAATGATGTGATGGCTTAGGCAATGAAGCGGTCTGTTATGGCAAGCTTTAGGCATGTTTTGCACGGAACTGTGGGTAATCCACTAGTAACATTAATGCTGATTGGTTAATCAAATGTCTGACGCCATAGGGTCAACAGCCACTCGTATGACATCTGATGCGACCTCCTACTACAACTGGTCAGATCTTCATGTAGTAGAGGTCATCGCATGTATAAAAAATCGAAACGAAATATAGATCTGTATTTTAATCAGCTTGTTATTTTGTCAGTCTGAAACAAATTGTCTCCGAAACTTCTCCCGATAATGTCACGGAGTGATGAATTATCTTGGAATTGCAGCTTACTATTGTAGTTGTGATGGTAGTTGTCAGGCTCTAGGACAATTTGTCCCCAGACAACTCGTCCCTGAGGACAATTCCTCCCCGGACAATTCGTATCAGGACTATTAGTCCCATAGGACAATTCGCCCCCAGGGGGTATTCATCCCCATGGACAGTTTTCCCCGGACAATTTGTCCCTGGACTATTCGTCACCTAGGACAGTTTGTCCATGAACAACAATAATCTTTAGGGGACGAATAGTCCTAGGGGACTAATTATCTGGGGACAAATTATCTGGAATCGAATAGTCCTAGGGAACGAATTGTCCGGGAACGAGTTGTCAGGGGACAAGTTGTCATGCTTGATGGACATTAATTGGCTTTAAATTGAACACATATTTGCAAAGGGGGTGGGAGTGAATAGCCGAATGGTTAGCGTGCGCGTGTTGTATCATAAGGTCTGTCATTGAGTTAACTGGCGTGGTTTCGATTCCCCAGTTGTACATAACAAGGAGTAGGGTCGCCTGTCCAACCTGGTGGGTTTTCTCAAGGTTCTCCAGTTTCCTCCCACTGCTAAAGACCCCTAAAGACCCCTACGCGCAAGCGAATTATTGAAATAAAATTAAACCATATATTAGTCCCAACATGGTCTAGTTTGTGTCAAGTTGACGTCATATTCCTGAAGCAATGGTCCGAGAAATCCCTCTCTTGCCATTGCTTGATTGGCTTCTGACACTTGAGCTTTTGAGGGAGTGTGTCTATTCTTCCCGTTCAATCAAATCTATCCCAAGTACAGCAACATGACAGCCCTTCATTTAATCTGGGGTCTTCCCTAAAACTTTGGACAGTGATTTAAGGTATTAAAAACAGTGAAAGTATTCTTCGTCTCCATACAGTATTGTTTACATTGTATTCGTGTTGATAGCCTCGTTTCTCACGCAATTAGTTTTTCTGCAATAATCTGCTATGCACTGGTTAATTGGGCATAATAAAATCGTGAGTCATAACGTAACGTTATATAAACATGTTTGGTCTAATTTGGAGCTTTGTTTAAAATGTAACGATATTGTTACGCAGTTAGCTATTGGTTGTTAATCGGACTATTGACCAGTCATAATTTGGAACAGAAATTTGCTTCCATTAAAGCAATGTTTAGTGGGATTAGCTCTAATCAAACGAAACACTGCGAGGAGTATGAGTTGACGTTAAACTCCATTTTTCTCTCTTGCTATGTTACGACATTATCTCAAATATTATCGTGATATATTTTGTTCACAATATCGTCCAACCCTATTAATCAAAAATATTTTTATTTTAGAAAATGTTGAGTTAGAAGATGGAGAAATAACTAAGAAAGGATTTATACGTCTAAATGAAATGGAAGCAGAAGATAATGGCGGAGATGCGGAAGATTTGTGGGTGACGTTAACAAGTCATGGATTTAATAAAAATCTAGAATTGGATCAGGTTAGTCTCTCACAAGGCCATATAGGGGGATAGGGTGGCCGAATGATTAACACGTGCGCGTTGCTTCATAAGGTCTGTCATTGAGTCAAGTGGTTTGGTTTTGATTCCCCACTTGTACGTGACAAGGAGTAGGGTTGCCTGTCCAACCTCGTGGGTTTTATCTAGGTCCTCAAATTTCCTCCCACTGCTAAAGACCCCTATGCGCAAGCGAATTATTTAAATAAAATTAAACCATATGTTAGTTCCGAAATGACCTAGTCTGTGTCGAGTGGACATAAACTCCATTTCTCTCTCTCTCTCTCTCTCTCTCCATATAAGATAAATGTTTTTACATGTAAACGTATTTTGTTTGTTTGTTTATACCTGTTCATGTACATTAGATGTTTACATTTAAACATATATTATACAAGAGCTAAATCTGTCTATTGCAGGTCTTTCTTTAGGCCTGAAATGTTATATAAATTATTAATTAGACATTAATTAACTTAATTGTACAGACCATAATCAACTCACAATGTCATAGTTAGCCTGAGATATTTACTGGATTTGAATCCGACCTGCTGCTCAACGCTCATTGATGATTAAAATCAAAAAATGGATAATCGAGACGATGTTTTTATCCTACTGACTTCAGTAATGATAATCCAGGCTAGGCCTAAAATTCAAAAGCTAATATCTCTGTTCAGAGTGGATCAATTTGACTGAAATTTGCAGCAAATTTCCTTTACATTATCTATTATTTAACTATGATAGTGAGAACTACCAGCTTTATCTAATCGGTTTAATCTCACTGTGCCCCCCAATCAACTGGTGTTATAGGGTAGTGGTGTGAAAATTTAAGTAAACAAAGGATTATAGACTGTATCCTTATTAGTACTGTTCACCTAGTTAAAATTTAATTATTTTAATGATTAAAATATATAAGTTAAGTTCACGTGTCATCGATTAACGAGTATCTTAAATATTATTCACCTACCTTTCATTCAGACAGTACTCATAAATCAATCAAATATATGATTAGAAACTCACGATCATTATATAAGGATAGTTGTCACCCCCAATTACATTATATCTTTTAAAATGGCTCAAGTTCGCATAGGGTTTATTCCTAATTCTCAAGGAGGTCAAAATTTAGTTAATTTGGGGTATAAGTACAGAGTAAAAAATACGAAAACCAATAGCACCAGCAGACTTTTACTGAAAATACAATAGTTCAATTGGATAACGGGGGACGATTGCCCCCTAAAAGACGAAAATATAAAAGAGTAGAAGAATCTATTAATGATCTAAAAATCAAACTGTTAAATGGAGTAAAAAGTGCAATTGAATATACTGACGCCATATCACATTTAGTAGGGTTATGATTTATGTTTGATACATGTATTTGTTGTTACTTTTATGAAATTTATTGTGAATAAAGTTGTTAATTAGTTTAAACCTAGTAGTTTAAAAAAACAGACTATACTTTTAACACCATTGTATTCGATAATCCCCTTGCTTGATTAATCCCCCCATGAGAACAATAGCAGGGGGCACAGTGAGATGTCCCCATCTAATCTCCCATAATGCTCCTTTAATAATAGTATTTCCTGGTCTAACACATGTTGATAATTGTTTATATAAAAAATGTTTTATTTTTAGGCTTGTCCGTATAAAATAGATGTTTATACTGAAGAATGTGATGATGTTGAGTTTAAAGTAACTGGTATAGAACCTTTATCGGATAGTCTCAATGATTATGTCTGTGAATCTGTCATGGCTAAGGTAAGGACAGGTATCTTTGTACTTCCTACCTGAATAAAGTTAAAGTAATTATCATTCGCAGTTTAGTCGTTAGGCTTTGTTAATTGCGGGGGTTGGATGGCCGAATGGTTAGCCCGTGCGCGTTGTATCATAAGGTCTGTCATTGAATCGACTGGCGGATATCATTGTAGTCCCTACATGAATAAAGTTAAAAAAATTGATCATTTATAGATATATATGATGCTTGGTGAAACTTCTAAGTTAACTTACAGTATAGTCGTTTGGTTTTGTTGATTTTGGGGGGGGGGGGGGAGAGCGCGAATGGTTAGTACGTGTGTGCAGTATCATAAAGTCTGTCATTGAGTCGACAGGTGTGGTTTCACTTCCCCAGTTGTACGCGACAAGGGCTAGGATCACCTGTCCAACCTCGTGGGTTTTCTCTTGGTTCTCCAGTTTCCTCCCACTGCTAAAGAACCCTAAGCGCAAGCAATTTATTGAAAAAAATTGAACCATGTGTTAGTCCCAAAATGACCTAGTTTGTGTCGAGTGAACGTTAAACCCCATTTCTCTCTCTTTCTTGTTAATTGGATTAATTAGTATTAAGACCTTATATTGTCCATACCTATTTGATTATTAATGCCTGATTGATTTCCACCATATAGGATAAAATATAAGTAAAATACAGACACTAACAAGCGATTTTTCGTCAGGGAACGTCCTGACAGAATTGCAATCGAATGAAAAAGGTGCATTTCGGACTACAATGCATGCACCAACTGCGTAAGATTATATCTCAACTATACACGACAGCTGAATCATATTCCTTGTGTTTAATTACGTCATGAATCTACTCACACCACCTTCAGTCGGGACTGACAGAAATGTTACAGGGCTGAATTCTGTGTCACACTTGAGTCAACTGACGTGGTTTCGAATCCCCGGTTGTACGTGACAAGGACTAGGGTCGCCTGTCCAACCTTGTGGGTTTTCACCGGGTTCTCTGGTTTACTCCCACTGCTAAAGACCCCTACGTGCAAGCAAATTATTGATATAAAATTGAAGCATATGTTAGTCCCAAAATGACCTAGCTTGTGTCGAGTGGACGTTAAACCCCATCACTCTCTCTCTCTCTCTCCTAACCAGTCTAAAGAGTTCAATATAAATGAAACTATTCCTGACACCTGGATAACAGATCTTCATAGCCACTCCCTCTCTCTTATATTACATGTATATATATATATTTGTAGGGTGAGAGTAGTAACAGTAGAGATAAAAGAGATATACTCCTACATACATATATTGGTGAAACCAGAGCTACAGTAGTTGCTGAGAATAAGGTATATTAAAAATAAATATCTATATTAGCCTTTCATTCAAAGCTATGTGTAAAATCTGCTTAACTCATAATTTCCTATTCTTTTAGAGACATTTAGTAACTGGATAGAGCAATAAACTATAAAACATACTTATGGAAAAATAGCTACTTATTTATTTGGGCGATGTTTCGAAGAGTATTCTCTCAACGTTATTAGCTTGATAACGTTGAGAGAATACTCTTCGAAACATCCCCAAAATAAATTAAAGATACATTATGGGAGATCCGGTAACGAGTTGGCAGTTCTCACTATAATAGTTAAAAACTAGATAATGTAGAAGGCAATTTGATGAAAATTTCATTCAAATTGATCCACTATGAACCGAGAACTAAGCGATTGACATTTCCGCCTAGTCTCTATCATCATTACTATCAGTACAATAAACAGAATAGTCTCAATTATCCATTTAATCGTTAAATCATGCAGTAAATCGGCTCATAATCCACTAAAGATCGCAGGCTAGCGATGCCATCTAGAGTTGATTATAGCCTGGATAAGTTAATTAATGTCTAATTAATAATTTAGATAACATTTCAGGCCTAAAGAAAGACCTGAAATAGGCAGATTTAGCTCTTGCATAATGCATGTTTAAGTAGCTGTTTTTCCATAAGTATGTGTTATAGATTATAATTTCCTAATCCACTTTAGACACCGGTTGCTTGCCCAGTAAGTTGTATATTGTAACACCACGGAATAGTTCGGGAGTCGCTGTGGCTCGGTGAGTAAGATGTTGGCTAGTTAACCTGGAGGCCCCATGTTTGATCCTTGGTGTTGGCTAAAAAAGTTCATCAGGATTTTTCAGCGTGGCGTAGGAGGAAGGGCCCGGCTAGGGACAACGTATAGTTATTCTGATGGTTCGAAAAAAAAACCAAGTTCCTGTGTGCATGTAAAAGAAACCTTAAGTAGGACTAACGCTGAAGCCTGGGCAAAAATTCCCTCATAGCACACTGCATGGTGTATTCATATGTTCATTAGCCCAGTCGGAGCAGAAAAGTAGGATGTTAAACCCCATTTCTTTTCCAGTTAGTTCATTTTATATGCTACACAAATACTTATTTTGATTAGTAGAACTATTTTGCTTCTAGTAAAATAAATGTGAACACCATTATTATGTTCTTAGCAATAATTTATTATTATTATTTATTACAGTCGCGAAGTCCAGTAAAAGTTAATGTTGATTGTAGTGGTAGTAGAAACTGTAGTAGTAATATCGATACTCTAGAACCTACTGTAACAGTACCAGCAAACTCTACAGCTGTAAGTACAGATGTTGAAGCCTATTGATTTTCAGTGATTTCCAATAATTACTGCCAGTGTTATAGCCCTTGATAACTTTGAAAATTATTTTAAACACTATACAGGCATGAAGTTAATATCTGATCGACTTTAAATTTGTAAACATTGGTTAAGGTCATCAAACGAAGAAGCCTGATGATTTTCAATGATTTCTGATAATTATTGCCAGAGTTGTGGCCCTTGATGCTTTAGAAACAAAAGTTATCATCCGATTGGTTTTAAATTTATACACTGTCTTTAATGTCATGAGACGAAGTCTTTTGATTTTCAGAGTTATTGCTCTTGATGACTTTGAAAAATCTTGTGCGTACTTTAGACACCAAGTTATTATCTGATCGACTTTAGATTTATACACTCGCCTGTGCAACCTCATGGGTTTTCTCCGGTTTCCCCCACTGCTAAAGACCCCTAGATGCAAGAAAATTATTGAAATAAAATTGAACCATATGTTAGTCCCTAAATGACCTAGGTTGTGTCGAGTGGATATTAAACCCCATCTATCTCTCTCTCTTAAATTTATACACAGGATTTCCATTCATGAAACAAAAGAAAAATGTGCAACATCCCTTGAGCGCATGTTTCATTGCCTGGAATCTATCTTTACAGAAGCTTGCCAAATATTCATTATTCCATGAACACATTTATAACTAATTTGATTTTCCTAATAATTGCAGATTGCCCTCCACTTAATGCCAGAAGATGAAAGATCGGATTGGTGTGTGAAATGTGAATAATCCTACACAATCAAGTGCAGCTAGCAAACAAAATTTGAAATCAATACAGTTCAACATTCCATTAATTCGTAAAAGATAGGGCATATATAATTAAATATCTAGGCATGTGTTCTTTAAAAAATTTATTTCATTTAATCTGATATATTCTCGAATTCTTCGGGTTCAAATTTAAATGTAATATAAATTGAAATTTGTTGGTGTTATATTTAAATCTAGGTAATAAATTCTGGAAATCGTTGCGATTAAATTTAAATGTAGTACATTCTGGAATTCAAATAATTTCCAGAATTTGTCTGGATTAAATTTAAATCTAATATATTTTGGAATTTGTTGTGTTAAAATTTAGATCTAATATATTCTGGAATTCTTCAGGCTTAAAATTAAATGTTAATATATTTTGGAACTCGACCGGTTCAGATATGTAATACTAGAGTCTATATTCAGGTTAGTTCTGTTAGTTAAATATAAATTAAGACTTGGAGAACAAGACAATAATTATGTAAGTTTAAATTAGCCTTGAATGTCAATCTACCATTTGTTAGTATCAATATCCTTTTAGACATAATTTTTTTTATGACCTTTTTTAGATCTTTTGTCTCAATAATCTCGTTAAAACATTTATTTGATACTCATTGACAGTAGACTTGATTATCAAGTACTATATACAGAATAACGATGTAGACAGTTACTATATGTTTTTAGAGTTATGGAATTTTAGATATGTTTAATGATTTTAACAATTCATGTATAACCATTTTGTAGATTTTGTAGTGAAGAAACATTGTCATATTAATTTTTTTTTACATATCAGGGGCCTTAGGCCACATATCGAACTTCATTAGTCCTTCAATCTGATTGAAACACAAATCCTATTTCATTTCGTTTTTTTATAGTTCAAAATTTCGTTTTAATTGTCTTTACTACACTAGGATCTGGAAGAGTTGTTATCTTACAGGCGTTTTGGGTAAAGTGAGGGATAAGCCAATGAAACTGTCTGTAACGGCAATTTCTTGGCGTGCCATTCACGGAACTGTGGGTAAACCACTAGAAACGTCAACGCTGATTGATTAATCAATGTCTGACATCATAGGGTCAAAAGCTGCTCGTATGACCACTGACACGACCTTCGAGTGCAACTTATTAGATCTTCATGTAGTGTAGACCATGATAAGTATAAAAAACGAAACGAAATATAATCTGTATTTTGTTCAGATTGTTAGTCCTTTTATAGTCGTCTTTGAATTGATAGAATTAATATTAACCCATTATATCCTGGATACCCTTTTCCATGTCATCTCACGTGACCAGGAGTAGGGTCGCCTGTCCAACCTCGTGGGTTTTCTCTGGGTCCTCCCACTGCTAAAGACCCTTACGCGCAAGCGAATTATTGAAATAAAAATTAAACCATATGTTAGTCCCGAAATGACCTAGTTTGTGTCGAGTGGACGTTAAACCCCATTTCTCTCTCTCTCCATGTCATCTGTGCAGCATAGGAATAAAATGGGGTTTAATATCCGACTGTTCTGCTCGGATTGTTGCATCATAGGAACCCATATGTTCATGTGACACCAACTTCAGTATTAACACTATGGTGTCTGATTTATAGCGTGCTCAAGTGTGTATTTAAAGAACAAATTTTGGGGGCTTCAAAGGGTTAACACTACTTTTTAAAAGTTGTTCATGTGACACCAACTTCAATATTAACACTACAGTGTCTTATTTATAGCGTGCTCAAGTGTGTATTTAAAGAACAAATTTTAGGGGCTTCAAAGGGTTAACAGTACTTTTTTAAAGTTTTTAAAGATTTTAGAAAATTACGACCCTGATTGTAATATTGTATAGGTTATATAATTGTTCCTGTTTATTTTGTTCCCGTTTATTTTGTTCCTGTCTATTTGTATTGTTCCGTCCATTTATATTGTAACCTTTATTTATTATACATCCATATCATTAGCTGTGATATCTCATTTATTTAAACAAATAAATATTTTATGTCTAAATCTGGGTTATATTTTTTTATTGATATGACTTGGGACTTCTTTGTGAGCGCTGACTTGGAAAAGCTTCTTTTTTTTTTCTTTTTACATAATGCAAGTAATTATGTTAACATATCCTTTCCATAAGTATAAAACGAACCCGAATGTCAGTATTACCTGCAACAGGTAAATTTCAACCTTAGTAATTTCCGCCGTTCTCCGGGAGTAGTTGTGTTATACTTATGGAAAGGATATGTTGACATAATTACTTGCATTATTTAAAACAAGAGCATCGCTAACGCAGCAATATACGTCCACATTCCTGTTTTGTTTGATATGGTCCAGTTTGCATTGAGGGTCTGTGATATAAAACTGGGTTGTAGGACTGCTATCAGTTTAACATTTCGTTCACATTAACAGAACACCATTTTTATTTTAAAACAATCAATGTCTTTATTCTAAAAGCATGACGTTTCGAATAGGTATGCAAAGTTTCAAAAGGATCTGTTAAGAATTGCGTCCTGTAGGCAAAACACAAGACACACAAACATTAGGCGTGGCTCTGTCCCAAGGGGTTGAGCATGCACCAAAAATAATAATAGAGGTCAGCCTTAGGATTAAGGAATAAGTATAAAAAAGTAGCCTTAGGCTATAAGGAATAAGTATAAAAAAGTTTTCAAGATGATCGATTAAGAAATGCGGTCTGCAAGTGACACACAGACATAAAAAAAGAAAATGGGGGTTGGGTATTCACCACAAATAATAGGGATGTTCCTTAGGATAGAAGGAATATGTATGCTAAGTTTCAAGGTGATAAGAAATGCGATCTGTAGATGACAAACAAATAAATAAATATAAGGGATGGGCGTGGCTCTGCCCCTGGCGGTCGGACATGCACCAAAAACAATAGGGATCATCGTTAGGGTATAAGCAATTCATATGAAAATTTTTCAAGACGATTGATTAAGAATTGTGGCCTGTAGGTGACACACAGACATAAAAAGAAAAGAAAATGGGCGTGGCTCTGCCCCTGGGGGTCGGGCATGCACTCCAAACGATAGGGATGTTCCTTAGGGTACAAAGAATAAGTATGAATAGTTTCAAGATGATACGTTAAGAAATGTGGCCTGTAGACGACAAACAAACAAATACAAAAAATGGGCGTGGCTCTGCCCCTGGTAGTCGGGCATGCACCAAAAACAATAGGGATCATCCTTAGGGTATAAGGAATAAGTATGTAAAGTTTGAAGATGATCACTTAAGACTTGTGGCCTGTAGGCGACACACAGACACACACACATACACACAGACAGGGGCGACACACACACAGACAGGGGCACACACAGACAGGGGCGACGGCAATATACGTCCACATTGTGAATGTGGACGTATAAAAATTATGAAGCTTTTACGGCGACCTTTAAAGGCTCAATACCACTCTTGTTGTAACTGAATAATATGTCCCAATCTTCATTCTGGTCAACAAATTGTACTATTTTACAATATTTCAATTAATTGATGATACAAATTCCATCTTAACACACCTAATTTAAAAAATTGGAAAAATTCAACTAAATGATTTGAAAAGCCTGACGTAAAGCTTTTCAAATGTGACTTGGATTTGAAAATATTTTTGAACCCTTTGGACAAGTAAAATAGTATTGAATGGATAATTTACCCAACAGGTAGGACACTAACACATCTAGTACTTAGAATCAGGCTATTTTTTATTTTCTGGAGCTGTCAAGCCGGCAAGAGTGTTATTGTCCCTTTAAGATCTGGTAATCACTCTGTCACAGGGAAACTGGAATCCATTTCTCTGCTCTAACAGCTCGTTACATTTCAAGTTCTCTTCTCTACCCCACTCTATAAAGGCCATAACTATAGAAGTAATTAATGGAAATTGTTGAAATTTAATGGGCTTCTTTGTCTCACTAATAACAACATATATAAATATTGAAAAGATCGGTTGATAAATATAGTCCGTCGTAGAGTGTTCTCAAGAAATTGTAAATGAAATGAAATGGGGTTGAAGTCCTACTCAAATACTGGGATAATGACGTTGGGCATACGCCATACAGTGTGCTACAAGTGAAATTGTGCCGGGTAGCCGCACTATGGCCTACTCTTATATCGAATTCCAACTGTCAAGGGATTTTTACGTGCACGCCAATGTCTACACAGAATCTTGTTGTTTTTTTTGTCCCATCCGTATGACTAGACATTTGTCCTTGTCAGGCACACCATCCTGCACCACTGACAAGGGGAAACCACGTCAAAACATCCCGATGAACTTTCTCAGCCAATGCTGGGATCCAACACGAAATTGTGAATGATGGATAGGGGTGGCAACAACGACAATTAGGAACACCAGAAACTTGTGGTGTTTCATTGAATGCGGACAGGTCAAAAGTGGTAAACAAGCGTTTCTCCCTCGGTGTTATTTCAACATTTGTTAGTAGAGTTAAACTATGGCCCACACTAAACCACTCTCTGGTGATAGGATTAAACCACTCTGGTGATAGGACTAAACAACTCTCAGGTGATAGGACTAAACCACTCACTGGTGATAGGACTAAACAACTCTCAGGTGATTGGATTGAACAACTCTCTGGTGATAGATCTAAACCACTCTCTGGTGATAGAAGGGCCTACAATAAACCACTCATGATAGTACGAAAATGAAATCGGTTTTAATTTCCTTTTTTTCTGCACCAACTGGGCCAATGAAGACAGGCATGCAGTGTGCTATACAGCAGTGCTACGTCTTACTCTTATTTCAAATTCCAACTGCAAAGGGATCTTTTACATGCACGACAATGTGTAGAATACAAATGAGAAACCGCATTGAACGTTCAGAGAAATTTTTTGGCCAACACCGGGAGAGATCCTGGTAAACAAGCCAGTGCCGTTTAACTGCCCTTTAAACCATAGACAGACCAGCAGTAAACTACTCACGGTGCTATTTCTGACTGTTGATCAGGGGAGGTTGGATGGCCGAATGGTTAGCATGTGCGCGCTTTATCATAAGGCCTGTCATTGAGTCAACTGGCGTGGTTTCGAATCCCTGATTGTACGTGACAAGGAGTAGGGTCGCCTGTACAACCTCGTGGGTTTTCTCCAGGTCCTTCGGTTTCCTCCCACTGCTAAAGACCCCTACGTGCAAGCGAATTATTGAAATGAAATTAAAACCATATGTAAGTCCCAAAATGACCTAGTTTGTGTCGAGGGGACGTTAAACCCCATTTCTCTCCTCTCTGACTGTTGACCATTAAAGAAAAACAATTTAGTATGTTATTCAATCATGCCATTTATATTTCAGAAAATATATTATGTACAAGATGTGATGTACTTACATATAATGGACAATTGATTCACTTAAACATGAATGACAATTGATTTACTGTTGAATAACTGACAATTGATTCACTTTCACATAATTGACAATCAAATCACTTTCACATAATTGACAATCGAATCACTTTTACATAATTGACATTTGAATCACCTTTAAATAATGGACAATCAATTCACTTAAACATGAATGACAATTGATTCACTTTTACATAATTGACAATCAAATCACTTTTAATAATTGACAATCGATTTACTTTTAAATAATTGCTAAACAATTTACTTCTAAATAATTGACAATCGATTCACTTTTAAATAATTGACGACAATCGATTTACTTTTAAATTGACAATCGATTTACTTTTAATTAATTGATAATCGATTCACTTTTAAATAATTGATAATCGACTCACTTTTAAATAATTGACAACCGAATCACTTTTACATAATTGACAATCGATTTATTTTCACATAATCGATAATCGATTTACTTTTAAATAATTGACATTGATAATTTATTTCAGACTCATGCACAAAAACTAGACCAGACGGAAAATGGGTATTTACTGACCATGATTATTATATATATACAAGAATGCCATTTAATTAAGAATTTAGACAATTTCATACAACCATCATTCATTCACAACATTTAGGCCTTGGGATCATAAAACTTTTATTTAACTCAGCATGAGATGGGTCGAATTTGTAAATCGCCCTAGTATAAAATATAAGAGTTAACATATTTTTTTTACTGTGTTGAAGTCGTGTCAAACAGTGAATATCCGTGAATAAAAGCTCCATCAATTTACACTGTAACCCAGGTATCATTTAATCTTGTGTATCTAGCACTAATTTCTTTTACATTCATTTAATATCAAATCTTTGTTTAAAAATTTGTAAAAATCATTTAAAATCGCCAAAAATCATCTAATTTGTACCTGTGTCCAGTTTAAAGCTGACTGATTAATTTTGATGAGTGTCCAATTTTTTACAAGTATTTAATTTCCTGACCACTGTTCAAAAATTGATCATTATACATCAATATTCAATTGGGCTGTTTATTTTTTAACAGTGTTTGAAAAATTAAACACTTATAAATTGATTTATGGTGTTTTTAAACGATTTTTACAAATTTTTAAACAAAGATTTGATATTGAATGAATGTGAAAGAAATTAGTGCTAGATACACTCGTTGTTCTGTTCACGTCAAGCATTCTTGTCCAAAAGTCTGTTTTGCCTTTTATGCGAAAAGACAAAAATGTGACTTAGATCGTTCTTCCCCTGGACTCTTCATCTATTGAGGTCAGTCATAGCAATTACGTTGATCGTATCCACAAGTACCGGATGATGGACTCAATGGGGACATTCCTATCGTAACAATGGTATCATTTAAAATGGGGGTTTTAGCGCTAGAAATTATCCAATGATGTTTTGAAAGTAAACTATATGTATAATTTCTAGCGCTAAAACCCTCGTTTTAAACGATACCACAGTTGGAACCTAGCATTATGCATTAAGCTATGGAATTTAAGTAAAACTCAGCTGAGAAAAAACATACTTCATGGCCTTGTACCTAGAAAATTATTTAAATGTTTCTCTATGTTTCACGACTGTCAGCTATATTCTGAATCTCTTAATGCGTATAAAACATCATCTTGACTAATATTTAACCTAACTCTCATATGTAAGTCTTGACGACCATGTTCAACTAATAGTAGTCTCATACTACCCAGACGGGAACACATGCCAGCTAATTCGGAGGTAGTAGGTGGTTGAATACCTGTAAAGTAATATATATAAAGTTACCTGATATTATTTATAAACCATTGTCATGGAAATCTATTATTCTACGAATGAATATATATGTATGGTTAAATTTTTTTTTTTTTTTGTACATTATTAATATATGAAGACGTCTATAGAGGGCGAACAGGTAGCTTATATGATTAAATTAATGTATGTTAGTATGAAGTAAAGTGGTGAATTTTTTACCTGGACATATTTTTTATTACTTATGTAATATATTATATCATGCTAAATTGAATTTAAATAGTGAATAGAATTAGCTTTTTCTGGTGGTCACAACTGGGAAGGAATAAAGATGTTGGATGAGGGGGGTGTAGACATTTCTCAAGTCCGGAATGTTTCTAAAAGACTAGCAATTGAGGCAAAGATATTAAAGTTTTGTAAATCGCACTAAAATATGGTGTGAGTTGAACACTAACAATATGAGCATGTTTCGGATGGTCTATGCTTTGTCATCAGATCTTAATTGACTATTGCAGTTCATTCAATCTCGTGGTTTTTCTCCTGGTCCCCCGGTTTCCTCCCACTGCTAAAGACCCATACGTGCAGTCGAATTATTGAAATAAAATTGAACCATATGTTAGTCCCAAAATGACCTAGTTTGTGTCGAGTTCATGTTAAACTTCATCTCTCTCTCATGAGGTGTATTTTGTAAAACAGCTGACTTAGTTACTTACTTTCAAATCTACATAATGATAAATGCTGTGAGAATAATTTTGAAAATTCAGCTTCTTCAACACCTGATCGCTGAAATTCTGCTACTGTCGCTTTTAAAAATAACTGTTCTTGAGATGATAAATTCCTGAAATCAACAAAGAAATCAAAAATAGGCATTATAACCATGGCAATGGTTTTGATCAAATCAAAGTTTCTGTTCTTTTAGAAAGTTAATAGTCAATTTTCAACTAGCAATTTTTTCCGAGGTTACTATAGAAATTTAGACCTAATAACCCCATCTAATAAAATCTGCGTCCAATCTAACACTTTAAATTCAAAGATTCACCTCCCGAGTTTGTTAATTCTGTCTTTAGATTTATAATTTTTTTTTATATTACCTTATTGCAACTATTTTCGGGGAAGAAAACATTTCTTCTAAAGCTGAATTCACATGTAACATGCCTACGAGAATATCTCCCTTTCCTTTATGACTGGACTCGGCTATTTCTGTTGATCTACGACAGATATCTAAGGCTCTTCTAGCATCCCCTGATACAGCTGCTACTTTCCTAGCAGCTAGTTGAAGAGCATCATCATCAAACACATTTAATCCTTTCATTCTAGATGTCACGATATCTTCTAACTGACGAAATGTATACGGTTGAAATGTCATTCTTGTTAAACCCTACAAATTTAAACACATAACAAATGACATATTAATTAGTAGGGATGTTACCCACTAAACCAATCATTCTGTGTGATACAAAAAATGAAATGGGGTTTAACATCCTACTGTTTTGCTCTGACTAGGCTAATGGAGACGTGCATATGCTATACAGTGTGCTATGAGGGAATTTTGCCCAATTGCAGGTCTTTCTTTAGGCCTGCTATGTTTATTGGATTAGGTTCCGATTTGCTGTTCGAATTCCATTCATGATTTAATCATGAAATAGATAATCGAGACTATGTTTTTTTATCGTACCAACTTTAGTAATAAAGATCACGGCTAGGCCGAAAATTCAATTGCTAAAATCTTGGTTCAGAGTGGATCTCGGCAAATTGCCTTTACCATATCTAGTTTTTAACTATTATAGTGAGAACTGCCAGCTATATATCTAATCTCCCATAATGTATGTTTAATGTAAAGAATATGATAAACATACCAATCTACTAGAGACTCGTTTCATCATGATACGTTCTGGTAGATCCATAGTATTAGCTACAGCTAGTATAACTAATTTAGCATGTTGTTTAGTTGGCCAATCAAATATATTATACATCACATCCTGTTTACGGGTCCATAATAAATCAAGCTGTAATATAATTAACATAAAATTAACATATAATTAACATATGTAAAAATCCTGAATATTATAAGATTTATTTTTAGTGGATAATCTAAACTTTTTTTGTTTTAATATTAACCTCCACTCAACGTAACTAGGTCATTTCAGGAATAACATATGTTTCAATTTTACTTCAATAATTCACTTGCCCATAGGGATCTTTAGCAGTGAGAGGAAACCAGTGGACCCAGAGAACCCTCCAGGCAACCCTCCATGTCACATATAATCGGGGGATCAAAACCACGCCAGATGACTCAATGACAGACCTTATGATACAGCGCGCACGCACTAACCATTCGGCCATCCCCCTTCTTTTGAAGACAATTATATTACCTCATCGACTAATAAAACAACTGTTTCTCTTCTCGGTCCAGCTGTACAGAATCTTTTATTTAATAATTCAGCAGCGTGATCTGGTGTCGCTTTCTGTCCAGTTAATTCCTGAAAGATTATATCACATGTAGATTACACGACAAACAAGTAAAATGTGACATAAATAATAATTTATACTTCTATAGCGTATAACAATATACAAATAGTATTTCAAAGCGCTTTACAACATCGCTAAACATTAAAAAATTGATAATACTCTTTAAATAAAAACGTTTTTAAAGATGACTCGTATTTTTCAATATTTCTAATTTTATCAGACAATTTATTCCAAATCATTTAATTTTACATAAATGATTGACCTGACCCCGAGTTCTCAGACTTAAGTTAAGAATTTATTCAAAATTGTTTGTCTAAAATATACAGGGTTCCCGCGGCTTCTTCAAACATTTTTTTCAAGGATATTCTAGGATAAATATACGTCAAATTCAAGGATTTTCGAGGACATTTTTTAGCCTAAAGTTACAATATTTCATCTTAAAAATAACCAAAACATTACCAACTATCGTTATAATCTCATATTTAAAAGGAATTGAAGACATTTGAAACAAAATTAAGGATCTCAACTGAAATTCAAGGATATTTTCCTATTTCCGCGAAATTGAAGGGATATTCAAGACCTTGAAAATGAAATTTTAAATTTAAGGATATTCAAGGATTTTCAAGGACGCAGGAACCCTGATATAGCGATGCATATATCGATGCATCTTTAGATTAAGCCCTGAAAAATAAATATTATCTGAAAAGCAAATGACAATTGATGTGAATTAATTTTATAACCATACATACTTTTAATAGTTGTACATAAGTTTGTCTTGGTTCTGTAAGTTTCATACCATTTATTTCTAAATATCTAAAATTAGGTAGATCTTCTTCTTGACATGCTGTTTCTAATGTACGAATAACTTCATGTACGGTTGCTGTTTTACCTGTTCCAGGTACACCAGATATATACATACATCTATAAATATAGATTTAATTAATCACTTAAATAAATATACATTCAATCAATCCTTTATTCAAATATACATTCAATCAATCCTTTAATAAAATATACATTCAATCAATCCTTTAATAAAATATACATTCAATCAATCCTTTAATAAAATATACATTCAATCAATCTTTTAATAAAATATACATTCAATCAATCTTTTAAACCCCATTTCATTTCCTATTGCAGGTCTTTTTTGTTACTTCAAATGTTATATAAACTATTAACAGAAATGAAAATGAAATGAAGTTTAACGTCCTACTGTTCTGCTCCGACTGGGCTAATGAAGACGGACATACGCCATGCGGTGTGCTATGAGGGAAATTTGGTCCGGGCAATGGCACTATGGCCTACTCTTATATCGAATTTCAACTGTCAAGGGATCTTTTACATGCAAGCCAATGTGTACATAGGACCTCGGTTTTTCATCCCATGCGAATGACTAGACAGCTGTCCTTGTCAGGCCCTCCGTCCTGCACCACTGACAAGGGGAAACCATGTCGGAAAATCCCTGCAAGATTTTGTCGCGATTGTGAAGTATTGCTGCAAGAATCTACAATACATCTTCAGTCATAACTTTGCCCAGAATAAAGTAATTGGAATGAAATGTTCAATATATTCATTTTTAATAATCTATTTTTCAAACATTATAACAAAAAAGGCCACTATCTAAATCTTATATAATACATTTTTAATACATGGCCAAACTTTCTTAACTTAATTTAATTGTTTTTCATGTGAATCTTCATAAATCTTTCGATAGAGAGAGAGAGAGAGAGAGAGAGAGAGGGAGAGAGAGAGGGAGAGAGAGAGAGAGAGAGAGGGTTTAACTTCACTTGATACAAACTAACATATGGTTCAATTTTATTTCAACAATTCGCCAGTGCATAGGGGTCTTTTAGCAGTGGGAGGAAACCGGAGGACCCAGAGAAAACTCTAGAGGTTGGAAAGGCGACCCTACTCCTTGTCACGTACAACCGGGGAATCGAAACCACGCCACTTGACTCAGTAACATACTTTATAATCATATTATTCTGCAATCCAACTCCCCCCCTTTTATGTAAATAAAATAATGACATTCAGCCAAGTGTCTGTTTTGAAAACGATGTATCATGCATGTCAATTTTCTTTACAGCTCTATTACCTCTGGAAACCCTTTGATATAAATAATAATTTGGACTCACCCTCCAGTACCATCATACAGTTTACTTTCTACAAAGGTATAAATATCAGAGAATTCTTTCTCTCTACATGGTAGACTATCTGGTACTGCTGATACATGTAATCTGAAATACAACACAAAAACTAAATATGGTGGGAATCAAATAATTTGAGCAGGATAGGGAGAGAGAGAAAGAGAGAGAAATGGGCTTTAACGTCCACTGACACAAACTGGGTCATTTTGGGACTAACATACGGTTCAATTTAATTTCAATAATTCGTTTGCACGTAGGGGTCTTTAGCAGTGGGAGGGAACCAGAGAAAACCCAAGAGATCGAACAGGCGATCCTACTCCTTGTCACGTACAACCTGGGAATCGAAACTCCACCAGTTGACTCAATGACAGACCGTATGACAGGGTTCAATTTAGTCTAAAATCAATGAGTAGCATTGAGTATTTTTGTGACAGATTCACATTTTGGCTAATCAATTCAAAATTTGAATAGCATTTGCTCAGATTTGAGGAGCAGTAAACCGAACATTACAAAAATTTGCGATTCTGATAAACAATGTTTTATTATTCATTTACATGTGTTTGTGTAAATTGTCTGCCTTGAGTGCCGATCCTGTGGTTCAATGAATTGCCCTACTGAAATTTCTCGAACAGTTTATTTTATGTTCATTTTTAGCACAAAGTTTGCAAGCAAAACTGACTTTTGATCACGTCGCGGGATAGACAAAATAATTAACTCAAATTTAAGTCTGGAAAAACAAGACAAGATGGGTTTTTTTATTGGCAGTATTGTTTTCTACAATTTACCGATTAATTAATTAAATTAGTCGTGATACTTTTATCCAAATGAAGTATTTTCATCCAAAATATAATGAATCGCACTTCACAAGTTTGAAAGCAATTTTTGGCTAATGAATAAAATAATTCTATCGCTTTTACTGCGATTTGAATCGCTTTTTGCGATGCGATACCGATTAAATTGAACCCTGCCGTATGATACAGCGCGCACATGCTAACCATTCAGCCATCCAACCCCCAAGATTTGGGACTAACATATGGTTATCTTGACATAGTTGTATGAACAATTCTAAGGAGTATAATTTTGTCCATGCACTCCAGTGTGAACACAGGTAGACCTCAATTTACATCGCAAGCCTAGTGGGCACCATCCATGTCAAGTGGAAAATCTACTTGAAAAATCCTACAGTTCTACTCGGCCCACCTTTGGAAAAGAGAAAATCCCATTCTAATCCAGTGTCCTGACTAATATGATCAAAGTTATTTTTGAAATGATTTGGGATTGTTTCATGGTTTATGTGATCAAAAAGTAAGTTCCAACACATATGTTATCATTGCTTATAGACACCATACTCCCTGCAGTGTTTCGTTTGATTAGAGCTAATTCCACTAAACACAGCTTTAATGGAAGCAAATTTCTGTTCCAAATTATGACTGGTCAATAGTCTGATTAACAAAAAATAGCTAACTTCGTAACAATATGTTTACGCTTTAAACAAAGCTCCAAATTGGACCAAATATGTTTACATAACATTACGTCATGACTCACGATTTTATTATGCCCAATTAACCAGTGCATAGCAGAATATTGAGAAAAACTAATTGCGTGACAAACGAGGAAATCAAATCGAAAACAATATAAACAATACTGTTTGGAGACGAACATACTTTCACCGTTTTTAATACCTTAAATCACTGTCCAAAGTTTTAGGGAAGACCCATATTAAACGAAGGACTGTCATGTTGCTTTACTTGGGATAGATTTGATTGAACGGGAAGTCAATCCAGCAATGGGCAGAGAGGGATTTCTCAGGCCATTGCTTCAGGAATATGACAGACATTGGAGATAATGTACATGTAGGTACTGAGATAGTTATTTAAATACCTTGCTCTTGCTTCTTCTAAAGCACTTGTTGGTGAAAATAATGGTTGACTACGACGAGGAATTGTTGGTGTTGCATGACCCAATACAGACTTACTACGCTGAAAACATTCAAATTTCATATCATTATTAACACAAAATTTCTAAAACATACACATATGTAAATATATTTCTTTAAATGACATCTGTAAATATGGTTAAATATTCATAAAAAAAACACAATACATTCATATTAATGCTCTCTTATTAAAGATGGAGAACTAATTATATTAATTTCAATTCTTTAAAAGACATCTAGAAGCATGGTTAACTAATCATAAAAAAACCCACAACACAAGGTATGGATATAACTATTTCTCTATTATTTAATAACTTTCAATAAACCATAAAATAAATGCAGGCATTTTTCAATTCTTTAAATGACATCTAGAAGCATGGTTAACTATTCATAAAAAAAACCCCACAACACAAGGTATATATGGATATAACTATTTCTCTATTATTTAACAGTAGTTATATCTATATATACATGTACCTTGTGTTGTGTGTTGTTATGTATATAAATACATGTATATTCAACAAGAGAAAGGTTTATAATAATTATCTTTAAAACTAGGCTAAAATATACTACTCCAGTCAACCAATTCATAAAGGGGAGAGAGAAAGAAATGGGGTTTAACATCCACTCAACACAAACTAGGTCACTCCTGGTCTTTAGCAGTGGGAGGAAACCAGCGAGGTTCGACAGGTAACTCGACTCCTTATCATATACAACCGGGGAATCGAAACCACGCCAGTTGACTCAATGACAGACTTTATGATACAGCACGCACGTGCTAACCATTCGGCCATCCAACCCCCTGATTTATAAAGGTGGTTAGGAAAGGGGTGATTCCTGTGTCATGAAATGGAGTTTACCATCCCACTTTTCTGCATTACACAGATTTCAAATTCCAACTGCCAAGGGATCTTTTAAGTACATGCCAATGTGTACACTTGATCTCCGTTTTTCGTCCTATTCAAACGACTTTTGTCCATTGCCAGGCCATCTGTACTACATCACTGACATTCATGTACATCGCCTATTGACAGAGGTGGAGAGAGAGAGAGAGAGAAATGGGGTTTAACGTCCACTCGACACAAACTAGGTCATTTCGGGACTAACACATGGTTCAATTTTATTTCAATCATTTGCTTGCGCGTAGGGGTCTTTAGCAGTGGGAGGAAACCGGAGGACCCGAGAAAACCCACGAGGTTGGACAGACTGACAGAGGTGGGAAACAAATGAAATGTGATAGGTTGGATGGCCGAATCGTTTAACATGTGCGCATTAGATCGTAAGGCCTGTCATTGAGTCAAATGGTGTGGTTTCAATTCCCCATCTGTTCGTGACAAGGAGTAGGGGCGCCTGTCCAACCTCGAGGTTTTTCTCCGGGTCCTACGGTTTCCTCCCACTGCTCAAGACCCCTACGTGCAAGCGAATTATTGAAATAAAATTAAACCATATCTTAGTCCTGAAATGGCTTAGTTTGTGTTGAGTGGACATTCAATCCCATCTTTCTCTTTCCAATGAGAAACTAGACTCATTATCAGTTAGAATGGTAGAATTTATATGATTCTTACTTTAGGAGTTTTTGTCTTTGATTTACTTGTACTTTTAGCAGTTGTTTTCTTCGACCGTCTGGCCGGAGTTTTAATTTCAGGAACTGATTCACATTCTGATGAATCTGAAGACTCCGATTCTTTATCAGGTTCAAAATTATCAAATTGTCCTTCATCAATACTCCAATCTAATAATTTCCTGATAAATATAGATAAACATGCATTAACTTGTTTATGAGAGTTACAACATTGTATTGCGACCAATTTAGCAAAAGTAGTCTAATAAGTTGCAACATTAATATTTACCGCCAAGGTCATTACAGTAGTTAACTCAGTTGTAAGATGTTGCTGGCATTCGTAATATTTTGATACAGGAGACGTCGGTTTCTTGATCCTATTAAATACTGAGACCTAACCCTAATAAACATATATATTTCAAATGTTCAAGAAATATTTGAGATATTTCCCGTTCTTTGTATTTTGTGTAATGCTAGGGAAAAATCATTTTGTATTTCTGTCTAGAATTCAACTCCAAATCGCAACATTCCAGGATCTATTCCAATGCATTAACAACTTATCTATAAGTCACTGCTTTCTTCATCTAATTAAATACTGATAAAGATAAAACAAATTTCAAATGTTTGAAGTTTTCTTCTGTGTAACTTATCAAATTGTTAATTTACTTTATAAGGGTAGTGTGATCAGTATTACTTCACCAAAATTAATCAATTTGCAGTATCGAATTGCACTGTTGGAACTTAATTATCAATTATTCTAGAAATGAAATGAAATGAAATGGGGTTTAACTATGCGGGACATATTGCCTGGACAGTGACTCTACGGCCTACTCTTACAGGTATATTGAATTCCAACTGCCAAGGGATCTTTTACGTGCATGCCAATATGTACACAAGACCTCGTTTCGGTCCTTATTTTGATCCACATCAATATCGTCTAAAAATATCAATTATTCATTTATCCTGTTATTTTCTTGGTACATATAGACCTGGTTATGAATCGTGATATGAATCGTATTGTAGCACCTGAATCGTAATATGTATCGTATCGTGACTGCAGTGACAATACCCAGCACTACTTAACATTCTAATTTTATCGCAACACATATAGTGACACATATACACACAATACCTATCGCTACTTTTAACCCGATAACTTACTTTGTAGGATCTTTAACACTTCTCCTGGGCTGATTCCTGACACTCTTTGATTCTTTATCAATAACTACTTCCTTTTTCTTCTTTGATTTTGCCTTTTCCTTTTCAAACGTTTCTTTTAGTTGTCGTCTGACAGGATTATGCGTTGGTTCTGGTGTTTTATTTCTGATAGAAGTATAATTATCGGCTGATAATCTTTTAACAACAACAGACGGGACTATTTTAGCTTTAGCTGTTCGACTCCCTGTTAATGGTCGTTTATTATTATTTCGAGACGGACTCGACACAACTTGCTCTAGGGGTTTAGTTTTCGGTCTTGGTTCGGTCCGACATATTTTTGTAGGGGATCCGTTGTAAGTATCGTTGTCATTATTTTTCCGTCTTGACCGAGTTGGCGTAGCACATTTGTCTATTACTGGTGCTGCCACCGAACGTCTAGAACGTTTTACAATTTTGGAGTCATTGCTCCCAGAATCTTCCTTGTTTTGATTTTTTTCACTAACATTTTTCCGAACTGATTTTCTACTTCGTGTTGTGGACGTTGAACATTCCGATTTGATGGACACACTTTCATCGTCGCTGGCGCCATCAGACATAAAGAAATCTACAACGTCATCTTTCTTGAACTTGAGATTACCACGTTGAGGACTTTTCAGATCTGAAATTTACAAAATTTTCAAGGTACACAGGTGAAAAAAGGTTTTCAAATTTAGGGGATTGCTGACTGAACATTCGGTGACAGTTGAGTCACACAAGAATATTTCAAGGTGAAGTATGAGCCAGCTAATTAAAGGGGCATCATGGGAGATTAGATAAAGAGCTGACAGTTCTCACTATAATAGTTAAAGATATGTTGCCAGGCATCGAAACATACGCCCATAGCAGCTAAATTGTTCGGGCAGTCAACAAGAGTTGTCATATATTTTTACTTTTTTCGGTAATGAAACATTTATAATACATTAAAATCTGATTAAGAGTAACAACTCAATAAGTAATTATCAGAAAACCATTAGAATTTGTTTAGTTTTTATAAAGTTCTGCCCCATGCTAACGTTTAGCATACGAAACTTTTAACATCATGGATTTAGCTGTTCAAGTCATAAAGATTCATTGAAAATCAATATACTTGTTCATCTCAAGACCTTAAACTCTGTGTATAAATCTGAAGACTCGGATGATAACTTTAGCCTCTAAAGCGTCACAAGATTTTTCAAAGTGATCAAGGGCCATAACTCTGGCAGCAATTATCCTAAATCGTTGAAAATCAATATCATTCTTCATCTCATGGCCTCAAACACTGTGTATAAATTTAAAGTCAATCAGACATTAACTTTAGCCTCTAGAGCGTCCACAAGATTTTTCAAAGTGATCAAGGGCCATAACTCTGGCAGTAATTATTGGAAATTGCTGAAAATCAATAGGATTCTTCGTCTCATGACCTTAAACACTGTGTATAAATCTAAAGTCAATCAGATATTAACTTTGACTTATAAAGCGTCTAAAAGATTTTTTGAAGTGATCAAGGGCCATAATTCAGACAGTAATTATCGAAAATCGTTGAAAATCAATAAGCTTCTTCGTAGGGCTGTACGATATTGCAAATAGGGACCATATTGATATTGGCATTGTTTTCAACAATAAAGTTAAATATTGCGATATCTAATAATAATGTCACTTTGCTATTAAATAAATTAATTATAAATGCATTAAAGTTAAAGCTGACTACAGTGTGAGTAAGACTAAGAATTGTGGGGTAAGAATTGCTTTATTCATACACTTTATTAAACTTTGCTTTTTTTATAATATAGATTTATTAAAATGAACAAAACTACATCCTTTTTGGATAAAAATTAAATACAACCGCTGATGTTTAAAAAGCGTCTGCTTGTGACCTTGTGTAAGAAAATTCTCAAATATCACGTGCAGCGGAAGTAAGTAGATGTGGTCTTCAAGTCTTGTATTGTAAGTTTAACAAATACTAAATGATCCGGACTATCTTCCATTCAAACATTCGATTGGCTGCGGTATTCCTGGCATAACAGTGACAGTAATCTATTTATAGATCGTTTTATTCTTACTTTCAGAAATTAAGTTTCGTAGAGTTTTCTAAAAATATTTGTTTTTATACGACCACATGAACTTTCTCAAACAACGCAGGGATCGAATACAGGACCTCCAGATTGGTTAGTCAGCGTCTTACCCATTTATCCACCGTGGCCCCAAACTATCCTGGAAAGTGAAGATGGGAGGAAACATGAAATGAAAGTTAACATCCTACTTTGCCACTGAAGACTGAGCAAAAAATTGTTCGTTTAATTTGAGGTTGACACAAAACACTAGGCTGACCTTAAAAATATCTTTGTTTCACCAAACCCGACCCACAATTGAGGAGAAGGGTTGGTAGGTCGGGGTTTTTTTCAGATTTTTTTTTTTAAGAGCTAATTTGACAGCTTGATAATTTTCCGGGTGCAAACATTCGTCTTCTTTTATTGGCAAACAAATCAAAATGACATCGGGATTTTTCTTGATGCACGACTCGCACACAAATTGCGACAAACTCCCTCAACACGTTTTTAACGATCGTGCGGGTTGTGCCTTTATTTTTCTCGAAAACGGATATTGAAAATATTGTCGTCATGTTTAAAACGACGCCCCACAGACATAGAGGCAGAATCATTTCGTGGGAATGGACGTGCTTTCGTCTGCAACCATTTTGTTGAGAAGCGACACCTATGACGCTTTCGTCTTGATCAACCAGTTTCAATAATGAATCAAACCATAGCCATAGTAAAGGGAAATAACTCTTGTGATATATTTCAGGTTGACACACAAAATAAAATAAAAAGATCGCGGAAAAGTGCAATAAAATAATTTAAGTCGGGGGTGGTTTTAGTTAGTCGGTCGCGTTAGGCGAAACAAAGATATTTTTAAGGTCAGCCCTACTCTACCTATTTTCTTGTCTTGATCTTTCTTAGATTTTGATATCTGTACAGGAGAAGCTCCGACGTCTGTTCTTTTAACTGCCACAGCATTTTTAGTTGAAGCTCCTCGAATAATAATGGGGGTAACTCTTTCATTCGCCTTTAAATTCTCTACCATGGGTTTAGATTTTGATTTATTTGTTCGATTTATCGGCTGAACTTTGAAATTTTCTTTACAAACACTATTATTGTCTACTTCCACTTTTGTTTTTTCTCGTCGTGGCGTTCTAATCCCGCGTGTAATTTGTCCATTAGGAGTCGATTTTATTTTATTAATTGGTATAACACGAGTTGATTCTTTCCAAAATTTATCGACACTACTACTGGCATCACTGATAATTGACGGAGTATTGTTTGAGTGTCCATTTTGTTTTAATGGGGTTTTTGATCGAGATGGCGTTTTAACTACACCACTGCCCAGATTGCTATCTTCGTCATCGTCCTCCATTATAGGCTGAATACTAGAACCGATGATTTTCCTTCGAACATAATAAGTAGTCAATTGTTTATTTTTTTTATTACACGTTGATAAAACATCTGGTAAATAATCACATTTTTCAACCTGAAATCAAATCAAAAGAAACTCAAATAAAATGAGGTTGTTTCAAGTTCTACTCTTTCTTCACCAACTGGTCAAAGGAGAGGGAGAGAGTTTAATTCCACGACACAAACTAGGTCATTTCGGGACTAACACATGGTTCACATTGGGGTCTTTAGCAGTGGGAAGAAACCAGAGGACCCAGAGAAAACACACGAGGTTGGACAAGCTAACCTACTTTTTGTCACGTACAACTATGTAATCGAAACAACGCCAGTTGACTCAATGACGTACCTTATGATGCAAGATGCACACGTTAACCATCGGCGACTGGGCAAATGAAGACAGGTATATTTGTAATATGGGAGAAATTTTTGCTTAGTCTTTAACAAACTTTAACTGCCAAGTATTGTTTTATGACTTGGGGCCCCAGGCAAAGCATGATGGGCGAACATACATACATACATACAGCGAATTTGGTCCCTGGACAAATTAGGCCAATGCTGAATTTGGGTACCTGGCGAATATAGGTCCGGACAAATTGGGACCCGGGCAAATTTGGGCCAGGGCATAGCCGGGTTTCCTGCTAGTAGTTTATTAATATTTTGTTATAATGTTCTGTACAATCTATTATCGATGCAATAAGTAATTTAATTTTGACTTAGAAATAAAAATTAAAACCCACCAAGCATTTTCCTATAATACTTGTAATTTCCACGTCATTATCAACACTTCGATCAGAAACTAGAAAAACTTCACGACTATCAGGAACTCCATCTTCACTCGCAACTTTATCATAAATTTTTGGTGGAAGTTCCGTTGCTCTCCAGTACCATTGGACACTGGCTAATCTGGAAACTTTTCTATGTTTGGTAGCATTGCCTGGAAAATAATTCATAAATTTCTATTTTAAGAGTAGTGATCAAATGCGAGAGAGAGAGAGAAACTAGGTCATTTCGGGACTAACATATGGTTCAATTTTATTTCAATAATTTGGTTGTGCGTAGGGTTCTTTAGCAGTGGGAGGAAACCAGAGGACCGGGAGAAAACCTACCAGGATAGACAGGCAACCCTACTCCTTGTCACTTACAATCGGGGAATCAAAACCACGCTAGTTGACAGACCAAATGCAAATTCTATTTAATCTTTGATGTATTGTATTGCGTATTTTTCTTTTTTAATCTTTATTTACCATAAGTATACTCTTCATTCATTTGATTTGATATAAGACTGTTGTTTATTGCTTGCAATGTCTGTGTAATTTGTGTGCACCAGACTCCGCAGGTTTGTCCAATAGGTTTTGTTTGTGTGCAGTGCAGTCCTCCTGCATTTAGTAAATCTTACTAATAGGTATAATATATGCATATCAATCTATTTGCAAAGAGTGTCATGGCTAAACATACATTATTCAAGAGCTAAATCTGCCTACATGTATTGCAGGTCTTTATTTAGGCCTTAAATGTTATATAAATTATTAATTAGACATTAATTAACTTATCCAAGCCATAATTAACTCTTGATGGCATCAGATTTCTCTGATATTAAATAGATTAGAACAGTTCAGCCATATTTTGATTTAAGCTAAAAATGGAAGAGCGAGACATAGCTTCGAACAACCAGTGCGGTGGTTGAAATTATTGCACACGTCTTGTCAAACCTTCAAAGGCTAATATCTTCGTTGAATTAAATTTTCAAATTATTCATTTTACATTATCTATTTTCGAACTATTATAGCAAGAATGGCTAGCTCTTTATCTAAATCTTACATAATGTATCTTAAGGTCAGATTTATTTTAACTAAAAAATGAAAACCCAGATCAAAAGCAGGTATCAAGATACCATCAATCAATATAAAATAAACGTTTACCCTTTTCATAAAGTTGTTTAATCTGTGCGATATAAGCTGTATCAGGATCATCGTCGTCAGTACTTGCTACTAGAATATAATCACCTATAGAATAACCTTCATTCTTAAACTCTACTCCACTGTAATAAAAATATTGTATAATATAACATCAAATACAGACCAGCAATTAATTTGTTTACACTTGTCAGTGGTGCAGGACTGAGGGCCTGACATGGACAGCTGTCTAGTCGTTTGGAAAGGACACACCACAGATAGTGCATGAGATACATGTAGGTGTAGGCCTATATGTAGGGGTCTTTAGCAGTGGGAGGAAACCAAAGGATCCGGACAAAACCTACGAGGTCGGAGAAAACCCACGAGGTCGGACAGGCGACCCTACTCCTTGTCACGTACAACCAGAGGATTGAAACCAGTTGACTCAATGACAGACGTTATGATACAATGCACACATGCTAACCATTCGGCCATCCCATCACTGGGGTATCATATTTCATATCTGCGCGAGATCTTGTCGAATTCGGAATTACTATGTACACTCGTAACACTGGCATACTGGTAGATATCACTTAATCAGGGACCATATACGCAGACATTTCATACACAAAAAGGTTAGGGTTAGCAAAATTGGATGAATGGGTCCTGAAATATGGATTTAGAAGAATATGCCTATTTTGGGTTTATTCTGCATTTTCTTGAAGCTTTTTTACAAGTTTTCATTCATTATCATTATTTTCTGTACTTTTCGGACTGTTTATTTCACCTAAAATGTTTCTCTGACACTCTTCTTCTGTCTTTAATTTCCCCTTCACCTAACCACGTTGCTTCTTCGTCGTCCGAATGTGAGAAATAATTGGTTTGAATAGGCATTATTGGCCTTAGCTAACTTTATAGAACTTTTCGAGATATCGATCAGAAATATCTCATGTTTTTATTTATTGTTAATGCGGAGTGCCACCTATATTCCCGCCAAATTTATAGATTTTCACTCGGCAAATCGAGCTAAATACCCCGTAATTATTTATATTGTTCTGGAAGTCTTTTAACATCAGTTAACGGCATCACGGTGTTTTACATTTATCTGACTGTCTGTTAAAAATTAAAACAATATGATTGGATAAACTTTTGATATTTAATTGTTTCTACTAAGTCCCACTCGAGCTGCAGGTGCGTGAAACCAGTTAGGCTGGATAACCGAAAATCAAAGGTGAAGGTCATGGGTCACGTGATACCGGCGTCAACATGGCGAATCGCACAGTTAAAGATGCTCATTCAGTTAAAGGAACAAATCCACAATATTTAGTGGAAAAAATTATCAGAACACGAATATACGAGTGTAGATTTTGGAAAGAAGAATGTTTTGCTCTAACAGGTTGAACACATCGTACATTTGACATATATTTCACATGAATTTTTAAAATTTACTCAGCAAATAAATGGAAAATGTGGTGAAAAAACATTAAAAATAGATATGTTGATGATAAACAAAACCAATAATATTACCCATGCCAGTTAGATGTGGGAGTAGTAGCTGGTAGTTTAGCATCTTCTTCCACGGTAGTGATATTACAGACAGTTGCACATCGCTCGTACAGTTGCACGTCATCATTTTACGGTGCACTTCAGGCCTCACTGAGCCACTTGACTTTAATTACTTTCCTGGCAACGGACATTGTATAATTGTTCGAATGGAACGAAAAAACCAGGCCCTGTGTACACTGCACATAAAAGAACTCTTTGCCGCTGCTTGGGGAAAATTTCACTCAAAGCACACGGCATGGCATATGCCTGTTCTCTTAACACAGTCCTACATTACTCCATTTCATTTCTTTACTCTGTTCTTATAGCTGCCCTTCTGGTGGACAAGGCGATGGAATTGAAGTATATTGGTGGTGTATTTGGAGGGAATGTAAAACCAACAGATTTTCTTTGCCTTGTTTTAAAAATGCTGCAAATTCAACCAGAGAAAGATATTGTTGTGGAATTTATCAAAAATGAAGATTTCAAGTAAGTATAACAAACAATATTAATTTGTTTTGTGCAATTAGATTTAAACCACATACATGTATTTTATTTTGTTGCATTTTCTAGATATGTTCATATTATTTAGGAGGGGTTGGATGGCCCTACCAGATGGCCGATTGGTTAGCACGTGCTTTGTCTTGAGTCAAGTGATGTTGTTTTGATTCCCTGCTTGTATGTGACAAGGAGTATGGTCATCTGTCCAACTGCTAATTATATAATAAAGACCCCTATTTCACAAACAAATTATTGAAATAAAATTGAACCATATGTTAGTCCCGAAATGACCTATTTTGTGTCGAGTATATCTCTCTCTCTCTCTCTCTCTATCTCTCTCTGTATTTTATTTTGTTGTATTTTCTAGATATGTTCATATTATTTATTCTGCTGTATTTTCTAGATATGTTCGTGTATTAGGTGCGGTATACATGAGATTAACTGGTACATCTTTAGATTGTTATAAATATCTAGAACCGTTATATCTAGATTACAGAAAGATTAAGAAGATGAATAGAAGTGGAGGTATGAGGGTATTATTTGAATTAGAAATACTTGATACACTGAGAAACATATACAAAAAATACAAATACATAGAACAATACATAATAACACAGACTTATTTTTTTTAATTTAAACAATATCTTATTCACAGGATACCGAAACAAGCCAAAAGCTTATATAAATCAGCTTCTCAAAAGCAAGATATATACATGATATAAACATATATTATAATTATCAATATATGGCATATTAAAGTACATATATAATAAGATTACAGGACGAATATAATGAAGTTTTAGCTAGCATCAGGACCAAGAAAGGGTTGATACTCGACTGCTGAGTTTAAGTCCATTACCTCAAAATCATGGGCAGCTATTTAACATGTACTTACCGAAAAACAGCTACTTATTTCTGTATATATACCTCATAATTTCATATTACTGTATTAACTTGTTAATGTTGGGGGGAGGGGGGGCGGGGTTGGATGGCCGAAAGGTTTGCTCGTGCGCGCTGTATCATAAAGTCTTTCATTGAGTTAAATGGCATGGTTTCGATTCAACGGTTGTACGTGACAAGGAGTAGGGTCGTATGTCCAACCTCGTGGGTTTTCTCCCGGTCCTCTGGTTCCTTCCCACTGCTTAAGACCCCTACGCGCAAGCAAATTATTGAAATAAAATTAAAAACCATATGTATGTCCCGAAATTACCTAGTTTGAGTTGAGTGGACGTTATATCTCTCTCCCTCTCTATCTCTCTCCTCCCACTGCTAAAGACCACTACGCGCAAGCAAATTATTAAAATAAAATTGAACCATATGTTAATCAAGAAATAACTGGTTTGTGTTGAGTGGATGTTAAACCCCAACTACATGTATCTCTCTCATCGATCTGTATTTCCATGAGTTATTGTCTATTATATTATTTACTTGTCCAATTTCATAGAATTTCATCCAAACTGCCCAAATGTGAGCAGGATTAACCCACCTGTGTGCATTTCAACCAATTTTATATGTCAGGTCAATGACACAATTATATGAATACAAGTTATTTGAAGGATTTATTTCTGGCGACTTTTCAACGAGGGTTATCTCGTCTTTATCAATAACAGGCCCGGGACTGTGCAGCGAAGTGGACGCTTAAGGCTAGTCTCCAGATCCATTCACTCTATCTGATATGTATGTTTGCTTGTGATGTCTGCGTGTTGTGTCTTGTCCGTAGGTTAGTTTTGTGTTATTGTGTGTGGCGCAGTCCTTCTGCACGTACTATTTAAAGGTTCAATACCACTCTTGTTGTAACTGAATAATATGTCCCAATCTTTATTCTGGTCAACAAATTGTACTATTTTACAATATTCCAATTAATTGGTGATACAAATTTCATCTTAACCCACCTAATTTAAAAAAATTGGAAAAATTCAACTAAATGATTTGATAAGCCTAACGTAAACCTTTTCAAATGTGACTTGGATTTAAAAATATTTTTGAACCCTCTGGACAAGTAAAATAGGATGTAATGGATAATTTACACAACAGGTAGGACACTTAAACATCTAGTACTTATAATAAGGCTATTATTTATTTTCTGCAATTGTCAAGCCAGCAAGAGTGTTATTGTCCCTTTTAGTAAATTGTATTCCATCTTTGTGTTATGAACATAATATAGATGTTTAAGTATGAATAATTTGATAATATTACTATTTTATTTTACAGAGTTTCAAACAATTCATATGGATGAGTTTATAGATGAATTATTGAGAGAAGAACGGGTTATAGATATTATACTTCCTAGATTACAAGTAAGATATTCTTTCTAAATAAACTAACCTTATAATTCATTAGAATTAAAACTTGTTATTGTAACATATTCTTTCTAAATAAACTAACCTTATAATTCATTAGAATTAAAACTTGTTATTGTAAGATATTCTTTCTAAATAAACTAACCTTATAATTCATTAGAATTAAAACTTGTTATTGTAACATATTCTGTCTGAATAAACTAACCTTATAATTCATTAGAATTAAAACTTGTTATTGTAACATATTCTTTCTGAATAAACTAACCTTATAATTCATTAGAATTAAAACTTGTTATTGTAACATATTCTTTCTGAATAAACTAACCTTATAATTCATTAGAATTAAAACTTGTTATTGTAACATATTCTTTCTGAATAAACTAACCTTATAATTCATTAGAATTAAAACTTGTTATTGTAACATATTCTTTCTAAATAAACTAACCTTATAATTCATTAGAATTAAAACTTGTTATTGTAAGATATTCTTTCTAAATAAACTAACCTTATAATTCATTAGAATTAAAACTTGTTATTGTAACATATTCTTTCTAAATAAACTAACCTTATAATTCATTAGAATTAAAACTTGTTATTGTAACATATTCTTTCTAAATAAACTAACCTTATGATTCATTAGAATTAAAACTTGTTATTGTAACATATTCTTTCTGAATAAACTAACCTTTTAATTCATTAGAATTAAAACTTGTTATTGTAACATATTCTTTCTGAATAAACTAACCTTATAATTCATTAGAATTAAAACTTGTTATTGTAACATATTCTTTCTAAATAAACTAACCTTATAATTCATTAGAATTAAAACTTGTTATTGTAACATATTCTTTCTGAATAAACTAACCTTATAATTCATTAGAATTAAAACTTGTTATTGTAACATATTCTTTCTGAATAAACTAACCTTATAATTCATTAGAATTAAAACTTGTTATTGTAACATATTCTTTCTGAATAAACTAACCTTATAATTCATTAGAATTAAAACTTGTTATTGTAACATATTCTGTCTAAATAAAATTCAAAAACAAATTAAGTTTAGATCTGTATTTGATCAGATTATGCTTGTGAAAATTGTTTGTTTTAGTAGAAGACAATATTATATAGTTTTAAAGACAATTTTACATTTGTTATTTGTTTTTATAGAAGAGAATAGTTTTAGAAGATAGTAATGAATTAGAACAACGGGTCAGTCCATTAGAAGAAGATTTAGAAGAAATGGATATCTCGGAAGATGAGGTAATAAAAGCTATTTAGTCGCTTAATTTTCTAATGAGAGAGGAGTGAGAGCTTGAATTTGCTCCAACTGCTCCAATTTTATTTTTATTCTGATTTATCGAGAGAGAGAGAGAGAGAGAGAGAGAGAGAGAAATGGGGTATAATGTCCACTCAACACAAACTAGGTCATTTCGGGACTAACATATGGTTTAATTTTATTTCAATAATTCACTTGCGCGTAGGGGTCTTTAGCAGTGGGAGGAAACCTAAGGACCCGGAGAAAACCCACGAGGTTGGACAGGCGACCCTACTTCTTGTCACATACATCCATGGATTCGAAACCACGCCAGTTGACTCAATGACAAGCCTTATGATACAGCTAACCATTCGACCATTTCCCCCCCCCCCCCCTCTGGTTTATCCCCTTAAATATTTTCAGCATGAAGGTTTGTAAATTTTTCTTGATTTGTTTTCAGAAATAAATACGATTGTTATTTCCCAGTAGTGATTTTAATTATGTTGTTTATTTTGATAACAGGAAGCACACAGAAGTCCATCACCAGAAAAACATCGAGGAAAATATAAAGATTTAGATAAACCTACAAATCGCAGTCCTTCGCCAAAATATAAAAGAAGTAGATCTCGGTCTCCACATCGAAGGTATAAAAATTTGCTTCAAATGTCACCGTAGCTCTAAGATGAAGTTTTTTTTCTCCATTTTAATGGGGTTTTTTTACACAAATTTTTATCTCTTCTTATATAGCATTAATTTATAGTTTGACATAATGTATTAAAGGAAAATAGCTTCAACATATTTTTAAACTGGTTCGACATAATATATTCAAAGAAAATTACAGATACCGTTTTGTGCTATACTCTTTCAAACCTACGGGGGTTGGATGGCTGAATGGTAAGCGAGTCCATGCTGTATCATAAGGTCTGTCATTGAGTCAACTGGCGTGGTTGAGGTTTCGAATCCCCGGTTGTACGTGACAAGGAGTAGGGTTGCCTGTCGAACCTCGTGGGTTTTCTCCTAGTCCTCCTGTTTCCTCCCATTGCTAAAGACAAAGATCCCTACGTGCAAGAGTATTATTGATATAAAATTGAACCATATGTTAGTCCCGAAATGACCTGGTTTGTGTCGAGTGGAGTTACCTCCTCCCTCTCTCTCTCTCTCTCTCTCTCTCTCTCTTTCTCTCTCTCTTATACCTAACCTTAGATTGTACCCTATTAATAGAAAATATTTAATTCCTATGCATCTCAGTTCAATCACTGTGAAACGGTCTATTAAAGACATGCTATATTCTCAGCCCAACTCTTTATACATCAATAATCATCTTTATTTTAGGGATAGACATAAACGTAAATCTCGGTCTAGGAGTCGAGAAAGACATAGAGATAAACGTCGCAGATCACCAGGTAAGATTATATTTTTATACACAGATCTTATCACACAACTGGGCATTTATTTACTAGGTTTTCTCCGGGTCCTCCAGTTTCCTCCCACTACTAAAGACCCCTACGCGCAAGCGAATTATTGAAATAAAATTGAATCATGTTAGTCCCGAAATGACGTTAAACCCCATTTCTCTCTCTCTCTCTCTCTCTCTAAGTGCTGATCAGCCACATTGTATATTTATGATTACACCACTAGAACACCTTATTAAATAGATAAGTTTTTAAAACAGATTTAAAATCTGTAAACGTAGGTAGTTCCCGCATTATTTTCGGAGGTCATTCGAGAGAATTGCTCCATTAACAGGGATAGAATATTTTCCACGTAGCTTATTATATTTTGGTACAGATAGTACTGTTTTATCATTCGAGGATATGAGATTGCAGCGTATCTGTACATTAGTATTGTATATAACTAGGGGCACTTAGATTGTTGTGTTCCGTGTTTTCTCAAGTTGAGGGAGCCACGATGGGTAAGTGATTAAGATGCTGGCTCACTAGTCTCTGTAGGTCACAGGTTCGCTCCCGGTGTTGGCCAAGAAAGTTCATGAGGATTTTCCAGCATGGTTTCCCCCTTGTCAGTGGTGCAGGACAAGAGTACCTGATAAGGACAGCTGTCTAGTCGTTCTGATAGGATGAAAAACCGAGTTCCTGTGAACACATTGACGTGCATGTAAAAGATCCCTTGGCTGTTGGAATTTGATATAAGAGTAGGTTGTAGCGCCGCTATCCGGGCAAAATTTCCCTCATAGCCCAATGCATGGCGGGGGGTTCGATAGCTGAATGGTTAGCGTGTGCGTGCTGTATCATAAAGTCTGTCATTGAGTCGACTGGCATGGTTTCGAATCCCCGGTTGTACCTGACAAGGAATAGGGTCGCCTGTCCAACCTCATAGGTTTTCTCCGGGTCCTCCGGTTTCCTCCCACTGCTAAAGACACCTACGCGCAAGCGAATCATTGAAATAAAATTAACCCATATGTTAGTCCCGAAATGACCTAGTTTGTGTCGAGTGGACGTTAAACCCCCATTTCTCTCTCTCTCTCACAATGCATGGCGTATGTCCATCTTCATTAGTCCAGTCGCAGCAGAACAGTAGGACGTTAAACTCCATTTCATTTCATCTCAAGTGGAAATATACTTCTATATAAGAGATAAGAGTAGTTATGAAGACCTAGTTATCCTGACTGTCAGTGACTATTTTCGTTCGTATTGAACTCTTCAGACTGATTGGAATCACGTGGCGGGCGTTTTTATTTATACTATTCCGAAACCCTGGTGGGGTTTCCAATGGTTATTAATTGGTGGGGTTACCGGGGCTGGCCTCTTGACAGGGTTTGCGAATTTGTTACCGGGGTCCGTGGCTCGCTTACCGAGGTTGTACGGAGGTTTGACAACTACATGTATACTTCCTACTGACTTGGTCATGGGGAATTCTTTTTCGCTCACTCATCGATTACCAAATAGAGCATCCTATCATAATTTCAAAAGGAATACAGGATGGGATAAATATGTTAATGATATTTTATTTAAATGTTTTACAGGCAGAAGACATAAAGATGATGATGACAGGTCGGTTATTTTCTTTATTATTTATAAGGGGTAGGTGAGGGGAGGTGGCCGAATGGTTAATGCATGCGTGTTCTATCATAAGGTCTGTCATTGAGTCAAGTGGCGTGGTTTCAATCCTCTGGTTGTACGTGACAAGGAGTAGGGTCGCCTGTCCAACCTCAGGGGTTTTCTCTGGGTCCTCCAGTTTCCTCCCACTGCTAAAGACCCCTACACGCAAGCGAATTATTGAAATGAAATAGAACCATGTTTTAGTCCCGAAATGACCTAGTTTGTGTGGAGTGGACGTTAAAAACCCATTTCTCTGTACGTAAAGTCTTTGAAAATAGTGCAAATTTCCATAAAGATTAATGTGTTGTAATAAACAGACTAATATTTCGAAAACTTATGTTTAAGATTTTAATTATTTTTACTTTAAACAGACATAAAAGAAGTAAGAAGAGTAAAAGAGATCGACATCATAGAGACGAAGATCGTCATAAAGATAGGGGTGATAAACACCGTGGAGACAAGAGAGACAAAGATAGAAGCAGACATAAAGATCGTCATCGCGATCACGGAAGTAAAGATTCTCAAGAAATACAAGAAGCCAATGAAACAAGAGCCAAGCTTGGCCTTGCACCATTGAAATAATCCGCGTAATTTTAGTACGGATCATCAAACAGGCTGCCATCATTTGTAAATAAATGTGATTTTTAGTATTAAATAAATCATGAAATGAAGATATTACAATGACTTGATTAAGTGAGAAGCTATGGTGGCTCAACAAGTAAGGCTATATTCCCGCTTTACGATAGGATTGTCCCTTTTGAGTCTGTGATTTGGTGTGTGCAGATAAGTTCGGATACGTTTCGATACGATCAACACGATTGCTACGACTGACCTCAATATATGATAAGACCTGATAGGATCTCCACGATTACTCCACGATTAATGCTAGGTTCCAACTGCGTTACGATAGGATTGTCCCTTTTGAGTCCGTGATTTGATGTGTGCCGATACGTTTTAATATGTTTCGATATGATCAATACGATTGCTATGACTGACCTCAATATATGATAAGACCTGATAGGATCTCCACGATTAATGCTAGGTTCCCACTGCGTTACGATAGGATTGTCCCTATTGAGTCCACGATCTGGTGTGTGCAGATACGTCCTGATACGTTTCGATACAATCTACACGATTTCTACGACTGACCTCAATATGTGATAGACCTGATAGGATCTCCACGATTTCAATCGTAGTACGAACCGTGATACTGGGAACCTAGCATAAGGCAACTGTCTCACTAACCAGGAGGCCCAGGGTTCAATCCCAGTGTTGGTTGAGAAAGTTCCCGAAGTGTGGTTCCCCCTTGTCAGTGTTGCAGGACCAGTGTCTAGTCGTTTGGATGGTATGAAAAACCAAGATCCCATATAATACATGTTGGCGTGTACGTAAAAAAAAAAACTCATGACAATTGAAAGCTGATGGGGAGTAAACGGAAACGCTGCTGTCCCGGCATCATTAATCTGATTGGTGCATTTATTCAATGGCGTAAAACATTCAGGGGTCATCTGAATAACTCCGATGTTTAGACACATCACTTGTACAATTTCCTTACATGTACATTCTCAGATTAGCCTATGCAGTTAAAGACAAATTCTCATTCCTGCTTTAGAGTTACAAAACCCCAGAGGTGGTAACATTCTTGAGTCGAGTCCCAAGTTGCTGCACGTTGAGACTGAGTCCAGTCCCAAGTCCAAGTCCTGTTCAAGGTGCCAGTTCATCAAACAAGTCAGCAATTCATGTCAAATAAGGGAAGTTAAGAGTTATGCCCCCTCGCCGTGACTCGAGTCCTAAGCTCTTTCAAGTCGCGTGTAACAGACAAATCCATTTTAATAGACCCCTGATTTTTCCAAAAGCCCGGAGACAAAAACAGAAATCAATATGTGGATAATGAAAATTTATTTGTAATTTGATTACATTGGAAATATATATGATAGTGTAGCAGGAATATAACTTATTATACATGCTTATTTGGCATACAAAAATAAACAACATACAAATTTTCATGTACTGTATATGATTTCACTTAAAATGCAGTCTCACAGTATAAAAGAAAATTAAAGTTCCATGCATACAATTTACTTAAAGTAGTCTCACAAAACAAATTCATGTGTATACAATTTTACTTAAAGTCAGTCTCACAATACAAAACAAAGTCGTGTGTATACAATTCACTTAAAGTTCAGTCTCGCAATACAAAACAAAGTCTTGTGTATATAATTTTAATTTAAATGCATGTACAGTCTCAATACAAAACAAAGTCATGTGCATACAATTTCACTTGAAATGCATGTACAGTCTCACAATACAAAACAAATTGTTGTGTATACAATTTCACTTCATTTAGTCACACAATACCAAACAAAAGGTTAAAGTCATGGGCATATAGAATGTATCTTAAAGTCATGGGCATATGGAATGTATCTTAAAGTCATGGGCATATAGAATGTATCTTAAAGTCATGGGCATATAGAATGTATCTTAAAGTCATGGGCATATAGAATGTATCTTAAAGTACATTCTGATAACAGAAAATAAGGGATAAATAAATATTAACAAGAAATGAGCATTCAGTCTGATTGTGGACTAGAGACTACCATCACAAATCATTTATTCTTACAGTGATGTGACACTGAACAAAAAACATAACAAAATCACAGCCATTCATAACTTAAATCTTTTATACCTACAGTGATGTGACACTGAACAAAAAACATAGCAAAATCACAGCCATTCATAACTCAAATCAGACTCACATAGAAATACCGACAGAAAAATTAACATTTAAAAATACTTAAATTTCAGTTTAATTACATTGTACTTCCATGGTTCCAGTGTTATGTTATACAAAATAGCCTACCTGGACAATCTAGAATCCATGCTCACGTGTAAATTACTTTAAAGGCTCAATACCACTCTTGTTGTAACTGAATAATATGTCCCAATCTTTATTCTGGTCAACAAATTGTACTATTTTACAATATTCCAATTAAATGATGATACAAATTTCATCTTAACACACCTAATTTAAAAAATTGGAAAAATTCAACTTAATGATTTGAAAAGCCTGACGTAAACTTTTCAAATGTGACTTGCATTTAAAAATATTTTTGAACCCTACGGACAAGTAAAATAGGATGTAATGGATAATTTACACAACAGGTAGGACACTAACACATCTAGTACTTAGAATAAGGCTATTTTTTTATTTTCTGGAGCTGTCAAGCTAGCAAGAGTGTTATTGTCCCTTTAACATAAAAATTATTCTATACATTACATGTATATGTTTAACATAGGATTCTATGAAACGTGATTATGCCTTTCATTAGGTTTAGTTTCATGTCATGCAATCTACTACCCAATTCTTACATGTAAACAAAATGAAATGTCTACTACCCAATTTTTAAATGTAAACAAAACAAAATGGGGTTTAACAACTGGAACTGACAAATAGGAAATCATGTAAGCTCAGCCAAATTTTCGGTTTCTTCATGATATAAATTATATGAAAACAAAAACAACTATATACATGTATAACAAAAATTATCAATACAAGTCAATAATCTAAATTGGTTTGGGGTTTTTTTTTCAGATTTTTATAATTTTACTTCCATCTGACGAAGAAAATAAATAGATGTTTTTTTAATCCATTTTAACCTATGTTATTTAGCAAACTTTTTACAAAGCTATAAATCGAACATTTCAGCCATTCATCAAATGATTCACACAGAGTTCATAAGCGAAACTTCACTTTTATTCAATAAATGTATCTGTATTTAATCTCTGTAATTTTTCCTCGTCGGATAAACTCTGCATACTGCAAGAACTTTTCTGCGAGTCCACCATTTCATCCTCATCCTCATCAACATCTTGTTTTTCTATGGGGTAGCTGCGACTGGGTTGAAAGTCGAAGACAAGTTCGGGTAAGTTAGATTCATAATCATTAATTTTTTTTACCAGATCTCCACGGCTTATTTTCGACATAAGGTCTTTGAGAAGATCTAAATTATCTTTGGATAAATATCTTCCATGAAGATGAGTTAATAGTTTTGGAAATGAATCAATGCATTCTTGCTCTTTCCTGGTTATTAGCTTTCTACTGAAAACTCCAAGCAACATTATCTCAAACTCCCTTTTGTCAATATTGTATGCCAACTCCATAAGCAGATCGCTGTAATTTATTGTCTGAGAGGACATTCTGAAAATAGAAAAAGACTTGGGTTACAATTTTAGTTTATGGCCAGGCTCACTCAGCTGAAATTTTAGTTTATGGCCAGGCTCACTCGGCAAACCTCAGCAGATTCCAGTACCCTAGATCTAGCCTCGGCTGTATGACGAAGTCCGCCATTGGAACTACTTTCAAGTTCCCGGATTACCAACGGGTTTGCCCATTACGACGTCTTTGAAGAATGTTTTATCATACAAATATTTCAAAGTCTAAAGTTGTTTTTCTTTGAAGGTTATCCGATTTTCTTCAAACAAGGACAACTTTGCACTGAAATTCTCCACACGCACCGAACGACGCAATTTTGATAACTTCTTTTTAAAAGCGGCAAGTTTTCCTAATAAATAAACCGGTGCCGCATCGCAATTGTATAGGCGTAGGTACATATCACTTACCGTCATACAGCTGAGGCTAGATGTAGTAACGGAATCTGCTGAGGTTTGCCGAGTGTGGCCAGGCTTTGAGGCAAAAATTAGATTGGAAAATGGGAATAGGGCACATCAATGTTATTTCGATGAACAATACTGATTTATTAAAAATTACGATAAAAGATTAAAGAATTGAATGTAATCCATTTATACATTAATATTAAATTCAATGTTCCTTTTGCCCCCATTTGAGATTCCAATGAAAAGAAATTTAGCTCCTTTAAATGGTAGTCTCGAAATGATCATGATGTGTTAATAGTCGGGGTGGGGGGGGGGGGGTTACTGGAACCTTCGAATTGATAACTAACACATATGGCTTTCTCATTTGTGTTCCATTCGAATTAAAGATCGGAGGGTGGGGGGGGAGTGGCAAAGGGTAAATGTAATTACATGATTGACATCAACCGCAGCTGTCTTGAACATAGTTTGTAAACATGCACTAGTGATCAGTGCTCGTTCCCTGCACATGTCCCTAGACTGATGATGACATCATCGTCTATCAACATGATATCGTGTTGATCTGGTGTAGGCCTACCGACATGATTAGATTTTTAATCGCATTCGCATTTTATTGAATGGCACTGTTCATATCCTTAATTGCTTTGTCGGAATCATTCTAAGTTACTGAAAATCGGAACATTTGAAACATAATACTGAACATGCTTGGAGTTATACCTGAAATGATGATGATCGAGGTGCAACATGTCCTCCCCAGCCTTGATTGCTTTCTCACTCTGGATGCATTGCAGCGTGACAACGTTTGACTTTCCCGGTGGTGCATTCGTAATACTTCGATTTTGTCTCGATTATCCAAGCTCAGGAAATTTGTTCCCGTAATATTATCCATGACACAAATTTGGCATCTATTAAAAGAAATGAAACGAAAGAAAATATTTTATTGCTAGAAAATATAAAATTTGGTTTATTAAATTTACGATTAATTGATTTAGGGCTAGAAGCACATATTATTTTTTTTATTATAAAATATTTTGTGCATTTTGGTCGTTATCGTCATGTTTTCGTATTCTTTTTTTTTCCTTCATGAATATCGCAGGTTTTAGATGAACCGAAGCGGGCTGCTTGAACATGTCTGGGCAAAGAACTAGCGGGAGAAAACATGTCATAATTACTCGATAAACTCTATTAATCACTAGATTCCACTTTCAAAACAGGTGTATTACTACGTTAAAACTGTTCATTCGTTGTTTTGGAGTATTGGAAATCTATGGAAACTGAAAAACTGTTTCTGTGAAATCTAGAAGTTTATTATTTACATATTATTTTGATAAAACGAAAGTAGGCATATTCACATAATATTAATACATGTACATGTACATTCCACAGGAAAACGAAATTGACATCCAACCATCTCTTTACGGTCGGCTTAGCCGTGTTTTTCAAATGCATATTGGATAATGCACACAAAGCTTAGAATAAAAAAAAAACAAGATAGATATTTTAATTAGTGAGCCAGTGGAAGAATACGTTTTCAATAGAAACGTCCAGCCAGCATTGTGTCAATTCCATCATAGATGATTATATGATATTGGTTTGTGAAATGAAAGTATGAGTTTAGTAACTTTATGACACCTGTACTTAATTGGTTGATGTTTTAACACAATGGCCGACCAACTCTTTACAAAAAGGCTTCCAGTTGTCTTTAAATATGGAGACCGTGAAGATAGGTATTATTTATTTGTTTTATTTCAAATTTGGAGATAGTTTTAATTTTAATAAAATAGAATTATGTTTTGCGATTTTTTTAAGCAGTAATTTAATTCCAATTACCTTAAAGATGGGTTCCCAGAAAAGTATTTGTCGGGTGGTTATTTCCAATAAAAGTATGGCAATTTTGGTATATACATGGAAATTAGAGATATCCAATCTTACTAGAAAAATACTGGATTCCCCGAAAAACACTCATGGAGCGTATACAGGACAAAAATGTAAGGGTTCCCCTAATCAACAGCCCGACGATTTAGAATTTCTGCACGGGTGATGTCAAAGGTCACACGCGAACATTGAGCGCTTGATGTACAAGTTGATAAACGCTATGAAGAGTTAGACGTACCGGTACAACACTTTCTGAGATAAAAATGACGGAAAAAGACGCGGGGAGTGGATAATCCGAGAAATTAATTAGGATTCGATATTTGTAATAAATAGTAAGCGATTAAAGACAACATTGTCTAATGTATGCAATGAATTCTCCTGTGACATCCAAGACGTGACGTAAACATGACCTGGTTTGATCAAATTTTATTAGCAGAGCATTCCTTCGCAATTACAATGTTTGAGAAGGATTTGAAGCATAATTATGACAAATTAATTAGTTTGAATATGTTTTTAGTCCATATATACCATTAAATCACCCAGTTTGTACGCGGGAACCCATCTTTAAATGATATTTCTTTTATAAGATCATGTAGAAGGATTTGGGTGATATGAAATGGAGTTTAACTTCCTGCTGTTCTGCCCTGACTAGGCTAATGAAGACAGGCATATGCCATACAGTGCGCTGTGAGGGAAATTTTGCCCGGGCAGCGGCACTACAGCCTACTCTTATATAGAATTCTAACTGCCAAGGGATCTTTTACGTCCACGCCAAAGGGGACCTTGTTTTTTGTCCCATCCAAATGACCAGACAGCTCTCCTTGCACCGGGGATCACGTGGCTAAGTGGGTAAGACGCTAGCTCGCTAGCCTGGAGGTCGGGTGTTTGATCCCTGCATTGGCCGAGAAAGTTCATCCAGATTTTCTGGCGTGGTTTCCCCTTGTCAGTGATGCAGGACGGAGGACCTGACAAGGAAAGCTGTCTAGTCGTTCGGATGGGACGAAAAACCGAGGTCCTGTGTACACATTGGCGTGCACGTAAAAGATCCCTTGGCAGTTGGAATTCGATATAAGAGTAGGCCGTAGTGCCGCTGTCCGGGCAAAATTTCCCTTATAGCACACTGTATGGCGTATGCCCGTCTTCATTAGCCCAGGTTAGGAGCAGAACAGTAGGACGTTAAACTCCATTTCATTTCATTTGTCCTTGCACCACGGATAAGTGGAAACCACCTCGGAAAATCCTGATGAACTTTATCGTCCAATGCAGCGATCGAACACGCGACAGCCAGTGTCTTAACCACTTAGCCAACATAACTCTGGGGTTTGGGTGGCTGTGTGATCTAAAGTGTGAGCTTTACATATAAGGTCAGTCATTGATTTCCACCTTGTACATGATGGGGTAGGGACACCTGTCCAACCTCGTGTGTTTTCTCTGGGTCTGCCAATTTACTCCCACTGCTACAGATCCTTTCCTATGTGCAAATGAATTATTGAAACAAAGGTCTCTAGTAACTCAGTATCATCCAAAGTCTTCGATTCTGGAACAGCAAAAAGCAATGCAATGTATATTGATTCAGTATCTTCTTTCATTTTCAGACGGAGTTGTGTCAATATCAGAATGGAAATACAGTTAACAGCATCAACATTATCTAGGAAGGTATAATTTGACGACGTTTTTGATTGTAGTGAATACAAACCTAGATTTTACCCTGCCATTTTGGGGGGGTTGGGCTGTTAAGTGGCTAAAAGCATGCTTGCAAAGTGACAGACAGTACGGTCCGGCGTAATTCAGGAACTAAATCTGCCTATTGCAGATCTTTCTTTGAGCATAAAATGTTATCTAAACTATTAATTAGATATTTATTAACATGACAAGACCATAATCATTGGATGCTCTAGATTTTAACTAGATTAGAACGGTTCGGCCATTTAATGATTTAGTCAAAAATGGAGAAGTGAGGCTAAGACTCAAATGACCAATATGATAGTTACAATCAAAAACGATTTTGCTCAAAATAAAGTAATTGTAATGAAATTTTCAATATTCATTTTGTATTATCTATTTTTGAAATGTTATTGGGAGAATGGTCAGCCCTATATCTAAATCTTATATTATGCAACTTTAACCTTGTGGGTTTTCTCAGGGTCCTCTAGTTTCCTCCCACATTTAAGACCCCCCATGTGCAAGTAAATTACTGAAATATAAATGTAATTGTACTATATAATTTGCCTAGTTTGAGTTGAATGGAAATTAATAGACTGTGTTTATGATCATTTGAGATGAAGAAGCCTAATGACTTTCAATTGGTCATTGACCTGAGATGAAATTCATTTTTATATGCCCACATTGAAATGTGGTCGTATATAGTTGTCACCCCCATCCTGCATCCACAATTGCTTGTGGGCGCTCTACGGGCTAAAGTTAATATCCGATTGACTTTGAATTTATATACATTGTTTAAGTTTATGAGAGGAAGAATGTTTCGTTGCCTGGCAACCTATCTTGTTTGTATGTTTCAGGAATTGTTTGTGTCGCTAACTGATGATAAAGATTTGTTTTTTCTTTACACTCTACGTTTAAACGAAGAATGTTTTCAAAGGTAGGCTTTACAAATTTATGTTTATCAGTTTTATTCTGACTTCATGCCTACAACATATATTCACTTGTTATTTGTACGATTAGACATTATTGATTTTTTTTCCATGTTCAATCTATGAAGGGAGCCACGGTGGCTAAGTGAGTAAGAGGCTAGCTTGGAGGTCACGGGTTTGCACCAGGTTTTGACCGAGAAAGTTCATCGGGATTTTCCGGCGTGGTTACCCCTAGTCGTTCGAATGCCATCAAAAACCAAGGTCATGTGTACACATTGGCGCGTATGTAAAAGATCCCTTGGCAGTTGGAATTCGATATAAGAGTAGACCGAAGGACCACTTTCTGGGCAAAATTCGCCTTCATTAACCCAGTTGGAGCAGAACAGTAGGATGTTAAACCCCATTTCATTCAATCTATGAAAGATTTTCAATCCATGGCATTTATCTAATCCTTCATGGTTTAATCCAAGCAAATACCTGCTTAAATTGATTATCCAAGGTTTAATTAACAAAACAATTTAACCAAAATATCATCCTAAGATAATCTCTTGGCTTCGATTCAACAGCTTTAAAAAAATTGTAAGATAGGATCAAAGGATCTATTCATAACAATGACTGTTGATTTGTCTCTTTATTTCAAAAATGCAGGAACAATCATTAAAAGTTATTATATCTATAATTCTAACAACCAATACATCACACAGGAACATAACATATCATATTGTAGTCATTACGGCCATCCACCTAATTCATGCCTGCCTCCATATTGTGACATGCCTTCGTTCAGCCTTGGGCTTCACAGCTCCTCTCCAAAAGCCTAAGACAATTTAGGCTAAATAAAGTTGATGATCACAGATAAATAACCATAATAATACATTCACTGTAAACACAACTAACTTGACCATTACACATATGATATTGTATCTCCAACTCGCAGCTATAAACCACAGCTACTTAATATTAACAAAATGAGGCCCATCAAAAGATGCCATAGGTAGTGCTCACTTTTTTATGTCGTCGGCAGAGGATGTCAAACTTTGGGAAATTTTCAATTGATAATATCTGTATCGATACGGAACGGAATTGATAATATCTGTATCGATACGGAACGGAATTGATAATATCTGTATCGATACGGAACGGAATTGATAATATCTGTATCGATACGGAACGGAATTGATAATATCTGTATCGATACGGAACGGAATTCAACCATATTTAGACTGATATTCATTTTAGAGATTTAACTTTGAAAGGGATTCCAAATTCCTCAATTAAACATGCATTATGCAAGAGCAAAATCTGTGTATTACACGTCTTTCTTTAGACTGTTTCAATGGCATTTAGTAATTGAACTAGAGTATACAGGTCACAATTCTATGGAATACAATTACTGCTTTTTACTGAGCGACGTTTCGACTAGGCTTCTCTAGTCATTATCAAGCTATGATAATGACTAGAGAAGCCTAGTCGAAACGTCTTTCTTTAGGCCTGAAATGTTATCTAAATTATTAATTAGACATTAATTAACTTATCCAGACCATAATCAACTCTCGATGTCAAGGCTAGCCTTCGATGTAGGCTGGATTAGATTCCTATATGCCGCTAACGACCAAAGATAATTAAATCAAAAAAAAGTGGATAATCGAGACTATGCTGTTTATATTAATGATTTTAGTAATGATGACCGAGACTATGCCAAAATTTCACCCACTTCTTTCTCGGCTCATAGTGGATCAATTTGACTGAAATTTTCAGCAAATTACCTTTACACTATCTAGTTTTTAACTATTATAGCGAGAACTGCCATCTCTTTATCTTATCTCCCATAATGTATCTTTAACAATCATCAACTTTAATATGAGTATAGATGATACAGCAGTAATCTTTAATATGAGTACAGCAATAATCCCTTGTAATTTATGTTTAATTTTATTTCAGTTTGAAAGTACAGCAAGGCCTTTTGGTTGATTTTGGTGCATTTCCCCAGAAATTTATCGATCTGTTAGAAATGTGTTTAAAAGAAGAACATAAAGAAGTACCCAAGTAAGCAATCTTCACAATGAACCGGTTCTCTGATGAAGATTTCTATTCAATAATATATCAGGGCAGGGCGATTTACCCAATACCAATACTACTCAGTACCACTCAATACTACTCAGTACCACCCAATACTACCCAATACTAATATAAATGAAATGAAATGAAATGGGGTTTAATGTCCTACTGTTCTGCTCCGAACTGGGCTAATGAAGACCGGCATACGCCATACAGTGTGCTATGAGGGAAATTTTACCCGGGCAGCGACACTTCGGCATACTCTTTAATCAAATTCCAACTATCAAGGGATTTTTTACGTGCACACCAATGTGTACATGGGACCTCGTTTTTTCGTCCCATCTGAACGACTAGACATCTGTCCTTGTCAGGCCGTCCATCCTGCATGACTGACAAGGGGGAACCCTGCAGGAAAATCTTGATGACCAACTAATATAATACTTCCATTAGGTAGTATGTGGTGGTGTTTGTTACTATCGGGTAGATTGGGTGATTGGATGGTCTAGTGGTTTAACAGGAAATCACAAAGTCTTTCATTGAGTCAAGTGGCGTAATTTCGATTCCGCAATTGTACATAACAAGGTGTAGGGTCGTCTGTCCAATCTCGTAGCTCCTCCGGTTTCCTCCCACTGCTAAAAACCCCTACAACACACAAGCAAACTATTGAAATAAAACTGGACCATATGTTAGTCCCGAATTGACCTAGTTCTGTCGAGTGAACGTTATACCCCAATATTTAATATTTATAATTATTCTCTTTCAGGTTTGTTTTACATTTTGTTACTCAAAATTCATTGGCTGGCGAGAAGGCTGTAGCCATTTTAAACGTGGTAGAAACGAACCCATTTAAACATTTAACTCATCTGTCATTAAAATTTGTACCAGGTACCGACGCTGATGTTAAATCTTATTTAGCAGATTGTTTAAAACAACTAAAGGTAGGTTTTATACAGTGTTGGAGGGAGGGGTCACCGATTGTTAAAAATGATGCCTGTTAAATTGTAAGTTTGTCATTGAGTCAAGTGCCTGTCCAATCTCGTTGGTTTTCTCTATGTGCTCTGATTTCCTCCCACAGCTAAAGACATCTACGCTCAAACAAATTATTGAAATAAAATAGAACGATATATTAATCCCGAAATGACCTAGTTTGTGTCGAGTGCCATTTCTCTCTCTCCTTGAACAAAGTTAACAGAGGGAGATTGGATCTCTCCTTGGGTATATTGAAATGGACTTGTTCCTCTCTCTCTCTCTCTCTCTCTCTTATAGTGTGTCGTTTTATCTCAACCCTTTTTCGGGATCACACATACTAGGTGTTTTCGACCAAAATCGTCGGTTTAAGACTTAAATGTCAATCATCTGGCTTAGTGTCTGTCCTCAAGCGGAGTTTATTGTAGACATACTGTTTGAATGGCATTTAGTAATTGATCACATTAAAAATAAACACAACAGTTCTATGGATAACAATTACTGTATTTCTATTAAAGCTACAAGCGAATCATTGTTGAAACGTAGTTTTAATAGAAATACAGTAATTGTTATCCATAGAACTGTTGTGTTTATTTTAATTGTAGACAGCGTGAGTTTAGTATGCATTAGTAAAATGATGATTACAAGATGGTAGCCTAATCATTTCTCTTTGAAGTGTGAGAAATATTTTAATTTAATGATATATTTTATATTTTTAGACATGATGTTTTGTATTTATATTGTTTTTTGTTCAGGAAACGAATTGTACTCTACATCAAAGATTAGAACATACAAATAATACTTTATCTAGTCAACTTCATACCACACAAGAGGTAAGTTTACTTTATCTTGTCAGCTTCATACTACTCAAGATTTAAGTTAAAGTAGCTAATATCATCCAAAACCTTCGACATTGAAAACACGAATTATCTGTCAATTTTAATCAACATTGATGCTGTGATCTTACCGAGAAACGATGGGCTTCTGATATCCAATATTTAAGACAAAATAAGCCTTTTAACATTGCTACACGAATCGTGTACCATAATGCGTTTCAGTGCCATATTTGTAACAAGGGACTCGAAGACTTCAACCAAAAAAGGTTTTGAGTAATCCGGATTCTGAATGTTATGAATTACGACATCAATCAGCGGTCTCATCACACGATTAGTATTAAAACACAGATCCTATTTCGTTTTGTTTTTTATAGTTCAAAATTTCGTTTTACTTGTCTTTATTACACTAGGATTTGGAAAATTTGTTATATAACTTTATGACGTTCTGGTTGATGTGAGAGATTAGCCAATGAAACAGTCTGTTATGGCAAGTTTTTGGCGTAGCCCACTTGAAACATCAACACTGGTTGCGTAATCAAATGTCTAACGTCATAGGGTCAAAAGCCATTCATGAAGTGGAGGCCATAGAAAGTAAGAAAAAAAAACAAAACGAAATATAGATCTGTATTATAATCATCATGATATTTTTGTTGATTTTAGACTTTAGCTTCCCGTACAGCAGAGTTAGATAGATTACGAGCTGAATGGTCGTCCAGTATGAATAATGTTTCATCTAAACATAAAGAAGATATGGCTTTAGAGAAAGAAAAATCCATACAGGTAATTGCATTTCGATGAAAAATCCATATAATAGATTGACAATATGGCAGTTCTGTAAAAAAAATCCACACAGGAAATCAACAATATGGCAGGTCTGAGAAAAATCCATACAGGTAGGGTGACCCGTGCACTCTACAGAAAGTTGGTCTCGACACGGCTAAATGTGCACACTTCAGTTGCGTGTCTCGAACTGATTTCTGACTACCCCGCACTCTCTTTGAGTCGATAAATAGCCATGGCACGTGCAATTCTCTACAAATATATCAACTATTACAGCCGTAAAAAATCTATTGTTGACGATTTTGAATAGCAGTAAAATTTAGCTTCTTGGTTATTACAGCAGCTTTAGAAAATACGTTTCTTTTATTTTTTAAATTGCTTTTATCATTAACTGTACCGTTGAGAGCGGCATCTTTTGGTTTAGTACAAATAATATCTCTGAATCACTTTCGTTAGCAGGAACATGATACTAGCAGTAGTTTCATTTTACTTTTACAAGTTTCTTAAAACAATTGTTGAGTTGGCTAAAGTGCTTATTTCTAAATTCAATTTCTTGTTCTAGCTTTCTGTTATGTTTCGTAAAAAAGTAGTATTGATTATCCCGACTTGTCAATTAGACGTAGAATGGTCGATAGACTGGTTAAGCGAGACTAATTACAAAACAAGGGCACGTAACCTATCTTTTAATCAAAAGTGTCTGGATGTTATGGACGACACTTGGAACCAGTTTTCAGTCTATTATTTATAGATGATTAATGGTCATAGCTTATTAAGTACAACATGATCGTTTATTTAGTGACTATAATTGTGTGAAACTGATTTGAGGCTTGGCATATATATAAATATTGTGGCGTAATTGTCGAGATATTTGGAGATATTGATTTATGGTGGGTCACCCTAATACAGGAAATTGATAATATGGTAGTTTTAAGAAAAATCCCAAATGGAAATTGACAATATGACATTTTTGAAATTGACAATATGACATTTTTGAAATTGACAATATGACATTTTTGAAATTGACCATATGAAATTTTTGAAATTGACCATATGAAATTTTTGAAATTGTCTATAGCTGAGGTTGTGTTTTATGCCCATAGCAGAATTTTAAAGATTCCCCTGAATTTGGAAATAGAAATTAGAATTTGTTAACTGGGCAAAGTTTCCCTCATGATTTATGCCCACTTTATTTGGGATTAAGGGGTGAGGCTGCCCGAAAAATTCTTTCTAAAATTTTAAAGCTAGTGAATTGAAGATGGCACAAGTAGTTAGGAAATGTAATAAACAAGGGAAAACTAACATTAAAAATAAAGAAAAAAAAGTTGTTGCCAGGGTAGCACATTTTTTGGAAAAAGTATGAAAAATTTGGGTACACCATATCTCTGACTCTAATAAAGATAAATGTCTCATTTTCGGACTGCTTATTCTTTAATGATAACCCTTAAATCAGAAAGAGGGTTTTTCTCTATAATTTTCATAGTTTCTTGGAAAATGATGTTTAAAACATTTGCCTCACCACAATATTTTGTCTTTGGAGAAATAATTTGATAACTTTTGAAATATTAATGATAATTCAAACTGCTTTCTGTCTGATTCTGTGGTAGATATTAATTTATATATCCTGGCAATTTGGCGAAGATATCTTAATTAGTTACAGAGATATAGTGTACCTATGTTTTTCATAATTTTTTCCAAAAAAATGAGTTACCCTGGCAACAACATTTTTTAAATGCTAGTTTTCCCATGTTTATTACATAGCTTTAACATTTGTAACAAAGGGTGAAGTCTCTGCTGTCCTTTTGACCTAACCGCTGTTTCTAACATCGATATAAATATTGTTAAGATAAGCTACTGCCATATTGAAATGGTCATGTCGGAGAACCCGCCGACCTTTAATTTATTTATTTATTAGTATTCAGCTGTCATCATAATTCTTTTTATTCAATATCAATAATATGTAATTTCATACCTCACCTATAAATTGGTTTAGGTTTCTGATGAAGTCAGTCAGTGAGTTGAGTTGAATAGCTCAACACAGAACCATGGAGGCAGACGTGAATTAAGACGATGGCCGTATGGATTACAATATTATAATATGTATTGGTTGTTATACATGTACTGTAGTTTAATGTTTGTTACCGTCGTACCGTCTTGCTGAATTAAAGAAGTCCAATCCACAGTTATTAGATGATCTGATTATGTTACACATTTCAGAATAAAAAGTTTCGGATAACCTCCCCCCTTCAGAAAATTTGAATGATGAGAATATAATTTGTATTTTTTTTTTCTATTGACCAGATGCAGTCGAGTTATCAACAGAAATTCGATAGAGATAGACGAGAGATAGAACAAGCTCATACTAAAATAGTCAAACAATTAGAGAGTAGAATCTTCGAGATAGAGGGTATAAACAAGGTAATTAGACAAGGGTTTCACAATGACGCGGGGAGTCACGGTGGCTAAGTGAGTAAGATGCTGGCTCGCTAGTCTGGAGATCTCAAATTCGCTCCTGGTGTTGGCTGAGAATGTTCATTGGGACATTTCCAGCATGGTTTCCCTTATCCGTGGTGCAGAACGGAGAGTCTGACAAGGACAGCTGTCTAATCGTTCAGATGGGACGAAAAACCGAGGTCCCGTGTATACATTGGTGTGCGGGTTAAGGATCCCTTGGCAGATGTAAGAGTAAACCATAACGCCCCTGTTCGTGCAAAATTTCCCTCATAGCACACTGCATGGCGTAAGCCCATCTTCATTAGCCAAGTCGGAGCAGAACAGTAGGACTTAAACATTTCATTTCGATTCCCCGCTTGTACGTGACAAGGAGTAGGATCGCCTGTCTAACCTCATGGGTTTTCACTGGGTCCTCCAGTTTTCTGCCACTGCTAAAGACCCCTACGCACTAGCAAATTATTGAATGAAATTGAATCATATGTTAGTCCTGAAATGATCGAGTTTGTGTCCAGTGGACATTAAACCTCATTTCTCTCTCTCTCTTTCTCTGTCTTGATCGCGTATAAATTAATAATTTGTTTTCCAGGATTTAACAGATAAAAAATATAAATCCGAGTCACTGATCCGAGAATTAAAAGCTAAATTATCGGGAATAGAAGAAGAACATGTGCGAGCTAAACAAGAAATTCAATCGTTGAGAAAACAGAACAATACGTTAGATAGTGAGAATCACGAGAAGGAGAAGTTGATTAATCAGTATAAAACACGAATAGCTGTATTTGAACAAGAATTAAAAGATAAAGAACAAGTTATATCCAAATCGTCCGATTTACTGGACTCCGAACAAGAAAGACAAGTAAGTATAGTTTCCTACAGTCTTCATATTAAATTATGAGATTGACTTTCTCAGTGCGCTTTATTAAACATCCATCACTGTAACCCAGGGTATCATTTAAACTTGAGTATTTAGCCTCAATTTCTTTCACATTCATTTAATATCAAATCTTTGTTTAAAAATCGTTTAAAATCTCCAAAAATCATCTAATTTGTACTTGTGTTCGTTTTAAAGCTGACCATTCAGTTTTGATAATGAGTGTCCAATTTACAAGTGTTTAATTTCTCGATCACTGATATTGATATATAATGATTAATTTTTGAACAGTGGTCAGGAAATTAAATACTTGTAAACGGGTGTCCTCGCTGAGGTAATTCCCACCAGGTGTCGCTAGTAAAAACTCGGTTCCACGTGACCTGATCGATGGTAAGAGAACTGTATCGGTATTAAATTCCATATTAACGACAAAAACTAACGTTTGTCAACACACGAGTTCGTAATGAATGTACAGGAAAACTGTGCTATAAGGTAAACACGTAGGACCGCCTCGCCAATAAATTATGTTCCTTTATCTTTAGCGAAGACGCCCATTGGACACTCATTATCATAATTAATCAGTCAGCTTTAAACTGGACACAAGTACAAATTAGATGATTTGGGGTGATTTTAAATGATTTTGTCAGGGATGATGTATAAGACCCTGTGTCGAGTTGTCAGGGGTGATGTATGTAAGGTTTATAGATGATGTGGGTATTGTTATTTAGATGGCTTTAAACTTCACAGAGTATCATGATGACAAGATATATTATATTATAGAGATATATTACTATATTATTATATTATAGAGATATATTATTATTTTATAGAGATATTATAGAGATATATTATTATTTTATAGAGATATATTACTATATTATAGAGATTATTATAGAGATATATTATTATTTTATAGAGATATATTACTATATTATAGAGATATATTATTATATTATAGAGATATATTATATTATAGAGATATATTATTATTTTATAGAGATATATTACTATATTATAGAGATATATTATTATAGATATTATATTATAGAGATATATTGTTATATTATAGAGATATATTATTATTTTATAGAGAAAGATAGATGAAGATTTAGAAAGAAGATGTAAGGAAATCAGTAAATTAGAAAATAAAGTGAAAGCTATGTCAGAAGAATTAAAGAAAGGAAATGAAATTATTAAAAAATTACAAGGTGAAATTAAAAATTACCATGCAAAGGTAAGTTTATAATTTTATCTGGTTCCGTGCATGTGATAATATATTTAAAATTTCCAAACTTATTCAGAAAAAACAACCATTAAAATTTGTTGACATACTAAAGATAACTGATTTGATATACCCTATATATATAATATGTTTATTGCTTGCAATGTCTGCGTTCCCAGGTTTATCTTATGGGTTTTATTTGTGTGTTGTGCGGTCCTCCTGCGCTTACTGTACTTGAAACATTATGCTTTTCTCTCTAATTAGTGCGTAGTATCATAAGGGCTGTCATTGAGTCAAGTGGCATGGTTTCAATTCCCCACTTGTACGTAGGGGGGGGTGGATGGCCGAATGGTTAGCACGTGTGCACTGTATCATAAGGTATGTCATTGAATCAACTGGCGTGGTTTCGAATCCCCGGTTGTGCGTGACAAGGAGTAGGGTCGTCTGTCCAACCTCGTGGGTTTTCTACAGGTCCTCCGGTTTCCTCCCACTGCTAAAGACCCCTACGTGCAAACAAATTATTGAAATAAAATTGAGCCATATGTGAGTCCCGAAATGACCTAGTTTGTGTCGAGTGGACGTTAAACCCCATTTCTCTCACTCTCTCTCTCTCTCCCCCGCTTGTACTTGACAAGGAGTAGGCTCGTCTGTTTAATCTAAATTTTCAATCTATTTTTATTTTTGAAGGTAAAATTACGGAGTCAGATAGCAACAGAACAAGAAAAACTATTGGGTGAAAAAGATCAAGAATTAGAAAAACTACGACAAGATCTAGCCAGTACAAAAGACACACTTAAACTAAAGGAAGAAGGGGTAAAATTATTTTTGATTATTTTATAGATTTAAAGATATATCCTCCCGAAAGTATTTATCTGGTGGTTATTTCCCAAAAATAATGGCAAATTTGGTATATATGAAAAGTAGAGATATCCAATCTTACTAGAAAAATAATAAATTCTCTGAAAAACACCCATGGGGCAACCACTAGGCAATCATATCAGGGTATCACTAACTGGCAGCCTGATGGATTATTGTCTGCCAGCTTGGCTTAAAGACAGGTTGTTAGTCTTGATCGAATGGTTAGACAGTGATGGGAACATTGAGGGGTGTAAACGTAAAACAGAATCGGCAATTAAACGACAAAAAAGAAGTTAGCAGAAGATAATCCAAGAATTTACTTAGGCTTCGCTTCCCCAGTTGTATGTGACAAGGAGTAGAGTTGTCTGAAATAAAATTGAACTATGTGTTAGTCCCAAAATAATCGGGTCTGTGTCAAGTGAACATTAAACACCATCTCTCTCTCTCCTCTCTCTCTCTCTCTCTCTCTCGCTTTTTGATCATGGTCTTGGCTGAGAAAATTCCTCAAAATTTTCAAATCTGTGAAATTGTATGGTTTTTTCCAGTGTCAGAAACTGAGTGAAAACCTTGAAAGTACGACACAAAAACTAGAAGAAAGTCGACAGTTATTAAAAACAAACGAAAATGGTATGTATTATTGTATTACTTGTATATTGTTAAAGGCTCAATACCACTCTTGTTGTAACAGAATAATATGTCCCAATCTTTATTCTGGTCAACAAATTGTACTAATTTACAGTATTCCAACTAATTAATGATACAAATTTCATCTTAACACACCTAATTTAAAAAATTGGAAAAATTCAACTAAATGATTTGAAAAGCCTGACGTAAACCTTTTCAAATGTGACTTGGATTTAAAAATATTTTTGAACCCTACGGACAAGTAAAATAGGATGTAATGGATAATTTACACAACAGGTAGGACACTTAAACATCTAATACTTAGAATAAGGCTAATATTTATTTACTGGAACTGTCAAGCCAGCAAGAGTGTTATTGTCCCTTTAATGTAGGGTTCGGTTTATAAACGTAGATATAATATTACATACTTAAAGGGAAAAATAATCTGGAGGTATCTTAAAGAGACACCCACCTTTTTGTCAGGTTCAAAAATAAAAATGTTGATTTTATTGGATTGTATATGTTGATTGTATTGTGGGCTGACAGTCTGCTTCTGTATAAAGCTGGTCTTGAGATATAACCATATATGTGGCTAAGTGGCTAAGACACTGGTTGCTAGCCTGGAGGTCGGGTGTTCGATCTTTACATTGGTAGAGAAAATTCATCCAGATTTACCGACGTGGTTTCCCCTTGTCAGTAGTGCAGACAGGGAGGGCCTGACAAGGACAGCTGTCAAGTCATTCAGACAGGATGAAAAACCAAGGTCCCATGTAGACATTGGCGTACCCTTGGCATTTGAAATTGAATATACGAGTAGGCTGTAGTTGCTGCTGCCAGGGCAAAATTCACTCATAGCACACTGTATAGCGTATGCCTGTCATCATTAGCCCAGTCAGAGCAGAACAGTAGAACGTTAAACTTCATTTCATTTGTATTATTTCTCTTGTTATTCAGTGGTTTATGCTAGGTTCCCACTGTTGTGTGATGCGTTACGATACGATTGTCCCTATTGAGTCCACGATCTGGTACGTGTAGATACGTTTCAATACAATCAACATGTTGCTACGACTGACCTCAATATATGGTAAGACCTGATAGGATCACCACGATTACTCTGTGATTAAAACCATGATTTTAATTGTAGCGCCAATCAGTCATTGTTTGTTGAGGCGCTCAACCGCACGCCTGAATGTCGACCAAGTGGAGATTTTCCTTCCTTGCCTTAGGCTGACCTTAAAAATATCTTTGTTTCACCAAACCCGACCCACAATCGAGGAGAAGGGTCGGTAGGTCGGTTTTTTTTTCAGATTTTTTTTTTAAAGTTAGAGAAATCAATACAGAAAACTTTTTAGCTGTATACTACAGATTCATTAATTTTGTTTAATGAATTTGGGGTCTGACGTAAAAAGTAACGAACTGAAAGTTTTTTTTATTAAACTTAAGAGCTAATTTGACAGCTTAATAATTTTCCGGGTGGAAACATTCGTCTTCTTTATTCAATTGGCAAAAAAATAAATGAGTGAATGACATCGGGAATTTTTCGGGATGCCCGACTCGCAAACGATTTGCCACGAACTTGAAGTGTGAACATCCTTCAACACGTTTTTAACGATACTGCGGGTTGTGCCTTCATTTTTCTCGAAAACGGATATTGAAAATATCGTCGTCATGTTTAAAACTACGCACCACAGACATAGAAGCAGAATCATTTCGTGGGAATGGACGTGTATTCGTCTGCAACCATTTTGTTGAGAAGCGACACCTATGACGCTTTCGTCTTGATCAACCAGTTTCAATAATGAATCAAACCATAGCCATAGTAAAGGGAAATAACTCTCGTGATATATTTCAGGTTGACACACAAAATAAAATAAAAAGATCGTGGAAAAGTGCAATAAAATAATTTAAGTCGGGGGTGGTTTTAGTTAGTCGGTCGCGTTAGGCGAAACAAAGATATTTTTAAGGTCAGCCTTAGAATTAGAAATTGCTCTCCTTATGTATTGGAGGGAGTGATTTTTTCAGTTTGTTGATTCAGATTAAGGTGAGCTTTTTTCAGCTCTCCCTTAGAACACAAACGAGTGGTGAATCATGCTAGTGGGAACCTACCATCCGTGATATGATTCTATTTGTTTATATTATTTCTAGTTATTCAATGGTTAAACAAACAGATAAATGAACAGCAGATCAATCATCATAGAGTCGGGACATTTGAAATGCCGTCAGTAACGGCTAATCAGAGACCTGGTGGAAATGTTATTGTAGGTTTTATTACTTTCTTTTATTTTATTATCCTGTCTGAACGAAGTTGTGGGGGTTGGATGGCTGAATGGTTAGCGCGTGCGCGCTGTATCGTAAGGTCTGTCATTGAGTCGACTGGCGTAGTTTTGATTCCCAGGTTGTACGTGACAAGGAGTAGGGTCGCCTGTCCAACCTCGTGGGTTTTCTCCTGGTCATCTAGTTTCCTCCCACTGCTAGAGACCTTTTATAGCAAGTGAATTATTGAAATAAAATTGAGCCATATGTTACTTTGAGATGAGTGGACGTTAAACCCCATAACCCTCCCTCTCCCTACAAATATGGTGTAAGTGGTTTCCACCAGCCGGTCAATTCAAATCAATTTATGTCGACTATAAATAAGTAGCATAATTGGGATTCCTGATTCTATTTGCCGTATATCTGGTAACATGTACATAACTATACTGATGTCCAAAAGAAAGTATACACACTAAAAATATGACTAAGATTTGTTTAGATTAAAAACATTTGATAAAGCATTACTGAGTTTGTCTCTTGCGTCCAAACTCAACATTTCTAAGCAAAATAAAAATGTGAAACAAATTGACATTCTACCCAAATACCGTATACCATGGAAAAACAACTTAGTTGATGCAGCACAAAATGCACAGTGTATACTTTCTTTTGGACATTAGTATAGTATCTGGTTACTGATTTCCAATAACAGTGATCCCCTACCTTCCAAATCATGTCAGAGCCACGGTGGCTAAGTGAGTAAGATGCTAGATCGTTAGTCTGGAGGTAGCAGATTCGCTGCCAGTGTTGGGCAAGAAAGTTCATTGTGATTTTCCAGTGTGGTTTCCTCTTGTGCAGGAAGGAGGGTCTGACAAGGACAGCTGTCTAGTTGTTTGGATGGGACAAAATAACAAGGTCCTGTGTATACATTGGCGAGCACATAAAAGATCCCTTGGCAGTTGGAATTCGATATAAGGGTATGCCATAGCGCCGTGTCCAGGCAAAATTTCTCCCTCATAGCGTACTACAAGGCGTATGTCTGTCTTCATTCGCCCAATTGGAGCAGAAAAACAGGATGCTAAACCCCATTTCATTTCCAACATGTCAAAGGGTGTAGGATTTTTACGACTGAGTCTTCGTGTTTTCATTTGATCTAAAGTTGAAGTAGATAGAGACATCCCCTTCATATGTTAATGTCAGTATTTATGATAAATATATTATTTGTTTCAGCACAATTATAGTTCTTCTAGTTATGGTTCCAATCATCAACATGGTGATTCTCGTCTACCTAATACTAATGTGATGATTCCACGACCTATACCAAACCAACATAGACAACCTCAGGTACAATATTAAATAGCACTGTGTATTGCCGTCATAAATCGTATTGCCGAATGGTTAGCATGTGCGTGCTGTATCATAAAGTCCGTCATTGAGTCAACTCGCGTGGTTTCTATTGTCCAGTTGTACGTGACAAGGAGTAGGGTCACCTGTACAACTTCGTGGGTTTTCTCCTGTTCCTCCGGTTTCCTCCCACTGCTAAAACCCCCTATGCACAAACGAATTATTGAAATAAAATTGAACCATGTTAGTCCCAAATGTATATCTATATTTGACTGTATGTGATGTCTGTAATGACTGTATATCTATATTTGACTGTATGTGATGTCTGTAATGACTGTATATCTATATTTGACTGTATGTGATGTCTATATATGACTGTATATCTATATTTGACTGTATGTGATGTCTATATATGACTGTATATCTATATTTGACTGTATGTGATGTCTGTAATGACTGGAGGAGCCACAGTGGCTCAGTGAGTAAGATGTAAGTGTTGTCCATTTTAACGTTAAATGATTATATGGCGCAGATGGTCTAGTCCATGTATTATCTTGGCTCGCCAACCTGGAGGTCCCTTGTTCGATATCTGTATTGACCGAGAAAGTTCATCACGATTTTCCGGCATGGTTGCCCCCCTTGTCAGTGGTGCAGGATGGAGTGCCTGGCTAGGGATAATGTCTAGTAGTTCGGATGAGAAAAAACCGAGGTCTCGTATAAACATTGGTGTGCACGTAAAAGATCCCCTGGCAGTTGGAATTCGATATAAGAGTAGGCGATAGTGCCGCTGCCTGGGCAAATTTTCCCTCATAGCCACACTGTATGGCGTATGCCCATCTTCATTAGCCCAGTATAGGAGCAGAACAGTAGAACGTTAAACTCCATTTCATTTAATTTCATTTCATATTGGCACATGAAACCAAAATGGGAAAGATTTTTCAAATTTTTGAAATTGAAAGCAACAATTTTTTATATTACATTGTAACTTTAAAAAGTGTATAAGCTATTGATCACATTAACTGATCTGAGGCCAGCTTGTGTAAAATAAATTTAAAAATGTTTCGTGTGTATCACATGATAATATCCTTTAATTTTATTTACATTAACAATCATTGCCGTAAATATGTTAACAGCATTTCTGACATTGGTTTTTTTTGGGGGGTTTTGTTTGAGTTTTTTTTTTCGATTATCCGTAAACCTTTTTATACGCCCACATTTTCATGTGGACGTATTATGCCGTTGCCCCTGTCCGTCCGGACGTCCACAATTGTTTGTGGACTCTCTACAGGTCACAATTCTTATCCGATTTCGACGAAACTTGAAATATAGGTTTATCCCCAAAAGATCTCGGCTCCTTTCGATATTGGCATGTATCGGATCGAAACTTCATGGATTATGGCCCCTGTTTGTACGAAAAATCACGTTTTTAGCTTGTGGACCCTATAGAGGTCACAATTTTTATCCGATTTTGTTGAAACTTGAAATGTAAGTTTATAACCCAAAGATCTCAGTTCCTTTCGATATTTGCGCATATCGGACAGTAACTTCCTGAATTATGGCCCCTGATTGTACGAAAAATCACATTTTCAGCTTGTGGACCCTATAGAAGTCATAATTTTTATCCGATTTAAAAAAATGTTCTATTATATCACCGTTACACCCTAAGGATGACTGAGTTCGAATTTCGTGAAAATCGGCCCAATTGACAGACAAAATGGCCGCCCTTCGTTCCCAAATAGCGTAAGAATATGGTATATCAAGGTTGTGGACCCTATAGGGGTCACAATTTTTATCCGATTTTGTTGAAACTTGAAATGTAAGTTTATAACACAAAGATCTCAGTTCCTTTCAATATTTGCCCATATTGGACCGTAACTTCCTGAATTATGGCCCCTGATTGTACGAAAAATCATGTTTTTAGCTTGTGGACCCATTAGAGGTCATAATTTTTATCCGATTTAAAAAACCGTATTATTATATTACCGTTCCACCCTAAGGACAGTTGAGTTTGAATTTTGTGAAAATCGCCCAAAATTGACAGACAAAATGGTCGCCGTTCGTTCTCAAATAGCGTAAAAATATGGTATATCAAGGTTGTGGACCCTATAGAGGTCACAATTTTTATCCGATTTTGTTGAAACTTGAAATGTAAGTTTATAACACAAAGATCTCAGTTCCTTTCGATTTATGCGCATATCGAATTGTAATTTCCTGAATTATGGCCCTTGATTGTAGGAAAAATCACTTTCTTGTTAGCTTGTTCTCTATCCATCTCTCGAAAATGTGGGCGTATCCTGCCTGGCAGCCGCTGGTTGTATTCTTGGAATATAGCCTTTGTGATGTTTAATATATATCTATATTTACAGGTACAATATGGGGGAGGTGGTATAAGAAGAAGTGCTATTCCTACAACAACATCCTATCGACAACAAGCTCCACCACCACCTATACCAGAAGAAATACGACCTAGTAGTTTTAACGCTTCTCCAGCATCAACAACACACACTAGTGATAAAGAAAAGTAAGTATATTGACCAATCTTAAAAACAAAATTTATAGATAGTGACCTATAGGGCTAAAGTTGTCAGCAAGGTTTGCTATCAACCAAGTTTTTAGTTCAGAAATGAAATGAAATGGGGTTTAACCGAAATGAAATGAATTAAAATGGGGTTTAATGCCATACAGTGTGCTATGAGGGAAATTTTGCGCAGACAGCGGCACTATGGCCATGGGCGTGGATTTAGAATCGGAACGGGGACGAATAGGTCTCTGTCCCCCCCATGATTTTGATCGCCAGGACAGATTTTCAGGTTTATATTCATATGAATGTCCCGTTAGTCACTGATCTTCAGGATATCTTCTTCCTTAATTGTATGTAGTCAATTTTTCCATATTGTCATCATATTACCCCTAGTTACAGCTTCCATCAAAATAACACTGGTACAGTAAACTGTTGTAATTATTATTTTGGTTTGGTAATGAAATGTTCCAGGGTTCGTCCGTCCCCCCCAAAAGTTATGACAAAACCACGCCATTGACTATGGCCTACTCTTATATTCAATTCCAACTGCCAATGGGTCTTTAATGTGCACACCAATGTGTACACAGAACTTTGGCTTTTTATCCCATCCAAACGACAAGACAGCTGTCCCTGTTAGGCCCTCCGTCCTGCATCACTGACAAGGGAAAATCAAGTCATAAAATCCAGCTAATGAAGATGAGCATACCCCATGCAGTGTGCTATGAGGGAAATTTTGCCTGGGCAGCGGCACTGTGGACTACTCTTATATCGCATTTCAACTGTAAAGGGATCTTTTACGTGCACGCAAATGTATACACGGGACCACAGGTTTTCGTACTATCCAAACAGCTAGAGAACCATCTTCAAGTACAACGTTAAACACCATTTCATTTTGCTGAGGGGAATTTTACGGTTGAAAAATTATGTTTTCATGGTATTTAGTTTCCAAAATCAGAGTTGATTGTAGTAAAACTGTTAAAATATTTCATTTCGTTTCAGTAATCCCCCGATTGATTTGAAATATTTACAGAAGAGAGATGACGCAATACCTGTACGTGGTTTATTAAATCGTAGTAATTCTCCACCACCAATATCTTCCCCAAACTTAACACCGCCAGTAACTAGTGGTGTTAGTAACAGAATACCACAACAATTGATTATACCTAAAACTAATACACCGCCATTAGCTTCCGCTTATTTTGGTCAACTTAAACCAAGTTGATTATTATTATTATTATTATTATTATTTAAAGATACATTATGGGAGATGAGATAAAGAGCTGGTAGTTTTCACTATAATACTTAAAAAATAGATAATGTAAAGGCAATTTGCTCAAAATTTCAGTCAAATTGATCCTCCCTGAACCGAGTATTTAGCGATTGAATTTTGGGCCTAGCCACGATAAGCATTACTGAAGTCGGTACAATAAAAAACATAGTCTTGTTATCCATTTTTTATACGCCCACACTGAAATGTGGTCATATATTGTCGTCGCCCCCGTCCGTCTAGCGGCCTGACGTCCCAATTGCTTGTGGATGCTCTAGAGGCTAAAGTTAATATCCGATTGACTTTAAATTTATATACAGTGTTTAAGTCCATGAGACAAAGAAGCCTATTGATTTTCAGCGATTTCCGATAATTACTGCCAGAGTTATGGCCCTTGATCACTTCAAAAAAATCTTGTGGATGCTCTATAGGCTTAAATTAATATCCGATTGACTTTAAATTTATACACAGTGTTTAAGGTCATGGGACGAAGAATCCTATTGATTTTCAACGATTTCTGATAATTACTGCCAAAGTTATGGTCCTTGATCACTTTGAAAAATCTTGTGACGCTCTAGAAACTTAAGTTATCATCCGATTGACTTCAGATTGATACACAGAGTTTAAGATCTTGAGACGAACAAGTATATTGATTTTCAATGAATTTCTATGATTTGAACAGCTAAATCCATGATATTAAAAGTTTCGTATACTAAACGTTAGCATGGGGCAGAACTCTATAAAAACCAAACAAATTCTAATGATTTTCTGATAATTACTTCATGAGTTGTTACTCTTAAACAGATTTAAGTGTATTATAAATGTTTCATTACCGAAAAAAGTAAAAATATGCGACAACACTTGTTGACTGCCCGGACGATTTAGCTGCTGTGGACGTATGTTTGGTTGCCTGGCAACCTATCTTTGATTTAATCAGAAGCAGTAGACCGGGTTATAATTTAGTAAATATCGCAGGCTAGTGATGCCACCGTGAGTTGATTATGGTCTTGTCATGTTAATTAAAGTCTAATTAATAATTTAGATAACATTTCAGGCCTAAAGAAAGACCTGCAATAGGCGGATTTAGCTCTTGTATAATGTATGTTTAAAGATGCATTATGATTATGTAAGAGATAAATCGGCCTATTACAGGTCTTTATTTTGGCTTCAGATGTTATATCAAATGAAATGAAATGGGGTTTAACGTCCTACTGTTCTGCTCCTATACTGGGCTAATGAAGACGGGCATACGCCATACAGTGTGCTATGAGGGAAATTTTGCCCCGGGCAGCGGCACTATCGCCTACTCTTATATCGAATTCCATCTGCCAAGGGATCTTTTACGTGCATTCCAATGTATACACGGGACCTTTTTTCGTTTCATCCGAATAACTAGACAGCTGTCCTTGTCAGGCCCTCCGTTCTGCACCTCTGACAAGGGGGAAACCACGTCGGAAAATCCAGATGAACTTTCTCGGCCAATGCAGGGATCGAACATCCGACCTCCAGGCTGTATCATACAGTCTGTCATTGAGTCGACTGGCGTGGTATCGAATCCCCGGTTGTACGTGGCAAGGAGTAGGGTCACCTGTCCAACCTCGTGGGTTTTCTCCGGGTCCTTCGGTTTCCTCCCACTGCTAAAGACCCCTACGCGCAAGCGAATTATGTAAATAAAATTAAACCATATGTTAGTCCCGAAATGACCTAGTTTGTGTCGAGTGGACGTTAAACCCCATATATCTCTCTCTCTCGCTATCAATCTGATTAAAACACAGATCTATATTTCATTTTCGTGTTTTATACTTTCGATGGCCTCTGCCTATTCCAGGTCTTGATTTGGCTTCAAATGTTATATAAATTATTATGTAAACATTTATTCACATAACAAGCCTATAATCAACTCTCTAGACTATCGGATGGCAGAGATTTAACTGGATTGAAACACCATCGCCATTTAATGATTTAATTAAAAATGGTGAATCAAGGCCGAGTCGTGATTAACAAGTACCATTGCTACGATAATAAATAATCTATGTCACATCTTGTCAAAACTTCAAACAGTGATAACTTCACTCAGAATGAAGTAATTTGAATGAAATTTTCAATATATTAATTTTGCGTTATCTATTTTTGAACTATTATAGCAAGAACGACCAGTTCTTTATTTAAATTCTACATAATGTATCTTTAAGAATTATTTGTGTTCATCATTATTATACATACAAATCAGTCCCATTTATTACCTTGGGGGGGTCGGGCGCGAATAGATAACTTGTGTGCTTTAAATCACAAGGTCTGTCATTGAGTCAACTGGCGTGGTTTCGATTCCCCGGTTGTACGTGACGAGGAGTATGATCGCCGGTCCAACTTCGTGGGTTTTCTCCAGGTCCTCCGGTTTCCTCCCCCTGCTAAAGATCCCTACACGTGAGCAAGTTATCGAAATAAAATTGAACCATATGTTAGTCCCAAACTGACCTAGTTTGTGTTGAGTGGACGTTAAACTCCATTTCCCTCTCTCTCTCTCTCTTTGGATTCAACCAGATTAAAAAGAGACCCATCAAAGATCCTACTGCAAATTAAATTATGGGCGTCACTGGTTTCTAAGTGTTTGTAAATACTGACCAGAACTGAACCATATTTGGACATTTATAATCGTTGTTAGAGATTCCGCTTTCACAATATTGTAGTATACAAGGGGGTCGAAATCACTCTCACTTGAATATCATATTCAAAATATTACTGAAATCCATGCACTGGGATACTTTTAAGAAGGGTATTTGAAAATCTCTAAAACATTTGTATGTCTTATAAATTAACATTTGAAATCGTTATTTCTCAGCGATGGCTCAGCACATTGTAATTGTATAATAAAGTCTCATTATTTTGAAATCGGCAAAGATTTCGTAAGTGTTATTGCCTCTTTATATCTTAACCTAATCGCATAAACTTAAACATACATTATGCAAGAGGTAAATCTAGCAATTGCAGGTCTTTCCTTAGACCTGAAATGTTATCATTTATTAATTAGACATTTATTAACATGAAAAGACCATAATCAACTCTCGATGACATCTTATTTTGAATGGATTTGAATCCTATCTGCTGTTCAACATCTGTTGATGATTAAACTCAAAAATGGATATCAAGACTTTGTTAATTATCGTGACAGCGCCAACAATGACAATCAAGGCTACGGGAATTTAAAACAAGATTTTCTCAGCTTACAGTGAAGCAATTTGACTGAAATTTTCAGCATATTCCCTTTACATTATTTAGTTTTTAACTATTATAGTGAGAACTGCCAGCTCTTTACCTATCTTCCATAATGTATCTTTAAAGAATAAATTGCATGAAAGATTTGTACTTAAACCGTGTTCATATATTTTCATTATTGCAAGATAAAACTTGTATATTAATATAATTCAATGTTTATAATATTTTATTACCTGGTTTTGTAAATATCTTAAATTATTCTGTATAAAATAAAATAAGATTTAATTGTTGCTTTTGTGTGATCTTCAAATGATTGGATATGTTGTATCAAGGACAGATCTTGATGGTGCATTAGTATACCTCAAGTCTCCCTCTTCAGCTAGCGGGGTTGGATGGCCGAATGGTTAGCACATGCGTTGTATTATAAGGTCTGTCATTCGGTCAACTGGCGTGGTTTCTAATCCCCAGCTGTACGTGACAAGGAGTAGGGTTGCCTGTCCAACCTCGTGGGTTTTCTCCGGGTCCTCCGGTTTCCTCCTACTGCGTAAGCGAATTATTGAAATGGAATTGAACCATGTGTTAGTCCCGAAATGATCTAGTTTGTGTCGAGGGTCCTCCGGTTTCCTCCCAACCTCATGGAGTTTCTCCGGGTCCTCCGGTTTCCTCCCACCGCTAAAGACCCTTACGCGCAAGCGAATTATTGAAATAAAATTAAACCATGTCAGTCCCGAAATGACATAGTTTGTATAGAGTGGACGTTAAACCCAATCTCTCTCTCTCTCTGTCGATGTTCTGAATTCTTCTACTTTCGTTACTTTGACAGTTGCTTTTATTGTGAAGTTATTATTTTCGTCCAAGAAACCATTTTGTTTATCCGAAAACGTTTCCCAGTCTATAAATGATGGCAAACCATAGCCATCCATTTTTTCTGGGGTGTAAGTGTGGCTTAGAGTTTGTGTTATTGCTTTACTAGTAGTTGCATTCATCAATGTGAGCGTAAATTCTGCAGAACAATTTGTGTTGTTTTTCTTTCTCCTGAAAAGATACACTCCCAAACTTGAATCATTTCCTTCTTTTACTGTCTTGGCGACATCTGTAAACCATGACTGTCCTTTAATAATGTGGTCACTACTAGAGCACTTCTTTCCTTTACTGACTTTATCAAATTTGAAAACACCTGTTAACATGGATTCCTCCTGATATAACAACGTTCCTAGTTGTTTCATCAACATTGTTTTACCAGTATCAATCACTGCTTTTTCAAACCATGTGCAGTTTACATTGGGTATATCCATCTTTTTCAAACCACTTTCGTCATTTTCTTTGGTAACGTGTTGTATTCTTTTTACCACATGGACAATAGATTTATCCTCTAAAACATCCGCAGAATATCTATGGCTGACTTTCATTTTTTCTATTAATGTTTTCATTTCTTCAAGGGGTTTTGTTAATTTTCTTCTTTCTTCATCGTGTGACGTTTGAATCTGTAATTTGGTATCTTCTCCTATTTGCTTTGCTTCTGAGCAGATTTTAGCAACTTGTTCGTCGACGGCATTACAAGCACTTTCAGCAGAAGTGTCGACTTTTGCTAATAATGACTTCAAAGAATCTGCATATAATTCAAACTTTTTAATTCGGTTTTGAACATGGAGATTCAGTTTTATCATTCTGTCCATAAACTCCTGTTGAACTTGATCATCCCTTAAATCCAATAAGGGGTGTCCGTTATGACTGCTCACAAAACAATCAGAGCAAACAGCTACTGAGCACTCTTTGCAAAAACATCTGATTTCTATTCTTGGATGTATTGGACACATATCCTTCGAATAAGAGACACTAACTTCGGTCGCCCGGATGTAAAAATTAGAAGTAAAGTCAGAAACCCCACCTTTAGGAATGGTAACATCATGGCGGCATAATGGACATGAAAACCGGTTATTAACAGATACTTTCTTGATATAGTCTTCAAGACAGGTGAAACAGAATGTATGATGACAGTCGATTAATTTAGGGTTCCTGAAGTCGTTTAAACAAATACTGCACACTATTTTCTCTGTCTTTTCAGCCATGATTTGCGATCAAAAATCATTCAGTCTTACTGTCATCAATAATTTGACTGAACTAAAGAAGTACAAATTTGTTTTATCATAATTCAGTCCTCGCGAAACATGTTTTATAAAAAAACCAAACCGGTTTCCTAGCAAAATGAATGCTTGAATAACTGTATATACAATAGACGTAGACTTGTGTAATCCAGTTAACTGTATTGCAATAATATACGTTAAGAATTAGAACTTGATAATCGTTTCTATTATCAAGTTGAATGTAGTTTATCTCGATATAATGACATAACTATGTTGTGATTCATCACACTGAGCACTAGTGAATATTCGCTAAGCTGGTAATATCACTAGGCGTGACAGCGTTTAGATCTCTTATCTCTTTCATAAGGCAAACTTCAACACCAACACCAATAAACAGTGAAATCGCCTTTGTATATAAATCTAATGTATTGTATGTATTTTAATAAAACTAGGAAATATCACGAACTAATTTTTCATCATCCTAGGTCAGTGCTTATGTGGAGACTTAACCTCTCCCCCCAAATTCTTTAACCTAACCCTGGACCAAGCTAACACAATCACGTGCGCTAGCCTTATTTACATCTCAGCGACCTTGACGAAAATTGAGCTGGCCTTAACAAATAGATTTAGCCATCGCTAGGGATGACACCGGTGCGGTATATTAAATTCACAATTCTAAATTTGTTAATGGCGTGCTATTGTGGCAGTCGGAATTCGATATAAGAGTAGCCTATAGTGCCGTTGCCCGGGCAAAATTTCCCTCATAGCACACTGTATGGCGTATGCCCGTCTTCAATAGCCCAGTCGGCGAAGAACCGTAGGACATTAAACCCAATTTCATTTCATAAACATGTTCGCTTCGTAGTGGCTTTAACCTTAAAGGAAACAAAGGGTCAATATTTAGGACTTTGCAACGGGTGACTTGCTGTCAATAAATGATGTACCAATACGCCGAAATGTAATCAGGTTCATTAAAATTAACTCTATACAAAAGAATTATATTAATTTATTTGTGGGCGTAAGATAGGTTTGGGTGACAAAACACATTTCCTACTCCGTCGATAAAGTAAAAAAAAAACGACAAACCCACAAGGTTGGACAGATGACCCTACACCTTGTCACGTTCAAGCGGGGAATCAATCGAAACCACACAACCTGACCCAATAACAGACCTTGTGATTTCACACGCACGCGTTAACCACTATAGACCCCCCCCCCCATACACCCATATCCTTAAATGGGCTAAACCGCTAACTAAATATTTTTTATAATATTGCAAATTGAAACCACGCATTATAATTCAATACTGGCTCATTTCAATCAATATTGATCTTGCCGTGAAGATATAGGATCCTAATGTCCAATATTTAAGACACAATAAACATTTTCCAATCAGTGTATTCTATGATTTCGGGCGCCATTTGTAATGAACAAAGAAAAAACATACCCTACAAGACAATACGGAAGTAATTAGAAATGTCTGATTTAAAAATAAAACCGATTAGAATCTATACTAATGCCCAAAAGAAAGTATACACTGTGCATTTTGTGCTGCATCAACCAAAGTCGTTTTTCCATGGTATACGGTATAGTCGCCCGTATACAAAATTGATGTCAAACGGAATGTCAAAATTGATGTCAAAAACTCAGTGTGTATGTATATACGCCAAAATGGCGATAGCGACCATGTATTTCTCAAAACATTTCAAGGCGGAGGGGGGGGGGGGATACATTGTCTCAGGAACCTGGCAAACCCCGTCCTGCGAAAAAACCTGGATCTGCCCCTGCATGTGTCATTTACAAGCTACATATGATCTGTGTACAAGCTCCGCATGACTTCAAAGGAAATACGCATCGGTCAGTTAATCATACCATGACGTGATCATAGACAATTCCATATATGATCATCTTATACAATGACGTGATCATAGACAATTCCATATACGATAACTTATACATTTTCTTTAATTGTTGTGCTATATAAATATATAAAAAAATTTAGTTAAATGACAGGGAAAGAAGGGGGACAGAAGACGAGCGGAGAGCAGCAGAGGAGAGCGGAGCCCGGCGTATGGACTCTCACCCGAGTTCAGCCACTGCCGTGACAGAAGGGCGGGGTGGTTATCTTAACGTACCATGTTAATTTTATCGTTTATATTCCTGTTTTAGTTTAGTCCCTGTTGTATTTATGTATCTGTTTAACGTTCTGTTCCGATGTAATTAAAATAAACCCTATTTGTACGAAACTGATCTACCCTTATCACTAAGATAGTGTTACACCATCCAGCTATTAAATGCCTCTATAGATTAATAGAGACCCATATAAGTGGGCGTAAACGCCAGTCATTCAATTTGGATTTCACCGAACATACTTGATTAGAAATTATAATATACAATATTTCTTTTTAAAAATTGAATATAAATCACTTTATATACATTCATATTGCATTAAGTACATTAATATGTGATTGAAGGCCCATTTTTGTCTATTTTACATTTCAAAATAATTAACAATCAATGTCTTTCTGGACCTGTAGATATATTCAACTGAGCTCCCCTATTTATGACTGCTTATCTGTTTTATATTTATATAGCACACAGACAGAACTATAAAACTAAAATCACAAGGGCCATGCTGACCAAATCACAACAATATTAACTATCTCAAATCTATCCTGTACATAAACTGAAAGTAGTCTTGGAGTTTGTACAATTCATGGGTCTAGGGTAAAATTGTTCTATTAATTTCTCTCGATGTTCAAAATTCTTCTAATCTCAAATCTATCCTGTACGTAAACTGAAAGTAGAAAGTTTGTACAACTCTGAGTCTAGGGTAAAATTGTTCTATTAATTTCTCTCGATGTTCAAAATTCTTCTAATCTCAAATCTATCCTGTACGTAAACTGAAAGTAGTCTTGGAGTTTGTACAACTCTGAGTCTAGGGTAAAATTGTTCTATTAATTTCTGTCAATGTTCAAAATTCTTCTACTTTCGTTACTTTGACAATTGCTTTTATTGTGAAGTTATTATTTTCGTCCAAGAAACCATTTTGTTTATCCAAAAACGTGTCCCAGTCAAGAAAAGATGCCCAACCCCAGCCTGGCATTCCGTCGGAGGTGTAAGTGTTGTTTAGAGAATGTGTTATTGCTTCACTAGTAGTTGAATTCATCAACGTGGCCTTAAATTCTGCAGAACAATTTGTGTTGTTTTTCTTTCTCCAGAGAAGATACACTCCCAAACTTGAACTACCTTCTTCCACTTTCTTCTTAACACATGTTAACCAAGACTGTCCTTTAATAATATGGTCACTACCAGAACACAACTTTCCTTCACTAACTTCATCAAATTTGAAAACATCGGTTAACATGGATTGCTCCTGATATATCAACGTTCCCAGTTGTTTCATCAACATTGTTTTACCAGTATCAATCACTGCTTTTTCAAACCATGTGCAGTTTACATTGGGTATATCCATCTTTTTCAAACCACTTTCGTCATTTTCTTTGGTAACGTGTTGTATTCTTTTTACCACATGAACAATTGATTTATCTTTTATAACATCCACAGAATTTCTATGATTGACTTTCATTTTTTCTATTAATGTTTTCATCTCTTCTAGGGGTTTTGTTAATTTTCTTCTTTCTTCATCTTTTGACGTTTGAATCTGTAATTTGGTGTCTTCTCCTATTTCCTTTGCTTCTGAGCAGATTTTAGCAACTTGTTCGTCGACGGCATTACAAGCACTTTCAGCAGAAGTGTCGACTTTTGCTAATAATGACTTCAAAGAATCTGCATATAATTCAAACTCTTTAATTCGGTTTTGAACATGGAGATTGAGTTTTATCATTCTGTCGATAAAACCCTGTTGAACTTGATCATCCCTTAAATCCGAGAAGGGGTGTCCGTTATGACTGCTCACAAAACAATCAGAGCAAACAGCTACTGAGCACTCTTTGCAAAAACATTTGATTTCTATTCTTGGATGTATTGAACACATATCCTTAGAAACTGGGCCCACACTATCTTCGGTAGTTCGGATGTAAAAATTAGAAGTAAAGTCAGAAACCCCACCTGTAGGAATGGTAACATCATGGCGGCATAATGGACATGAAAACCGGTTATTAACAGATACTTTCTTGATATAGTCTTCAAGACAGGTGAAACAGAATGTATGATGACAGTCGATTAATTTAGGGTTCCTGAAGTCGTTTAAACAAATACTGCACACTATTTTCTCTGTCTTTTCAGCCATGATTTGCGATCAAAAATCATTCAGTCTTACTGTCATCAATAATTTGACTGAACTAAAGAAGTACAAACTTGTTTTCTCATAATTTAATTCACTGGGAGGTTGCTTTCTAAAAACCAAACCGGTTTCTTAGAAATACCCCCTCTCAATAAAATGAATGCTTGAATAACTGTATATACAATAGTAGTAGACTTGTGTAATCCAGATCGGAAATTAACTGTATTGCAATATACGTTAAGAATGTGAACTTGATAATCTTTTCTATTATCAAGTTGACTCAAGTTTTGTCAATATAATGGTATTGTATTTTATATCACTGACATATATATATCATGTATCCTATGTAATATCCTATATAACATAACCTCACACCCATCACAAAACGGGCGCCACGGTGGCTAAGTGGGTAAGAAACTGGCTCGCTAGCCTGCAGGTCGCGTGTTCGATCCCTGCATTGGCTGAGAAATTTCATTGGGATTTGCCGACGTGGTTTCCCCTGACAAGGACAGTTTTCTAGTCGTTTGGATGAGACGAAAAACCTAGGATCCGTGTATACATTGCCGCGTAAAAGAGTAGACTGTAGTGCCGCTGTCCGGGCAAAATCTCCCTTATGTATCGCATTGCAAGTCGTATGCACGTCTTCATTAGCCGAGTTGAAGAACGTTAAACCCAATTCCATTGCAATAAAGTATTTCCAGACTAAAACCAGTTGAAATAAGATAATATTAATCTTATCTAACTTGTTATTCCCCGGTTGTACGTGGGTTTCCTCCGGGTCCTCCGGTTTCCTCCCACTGCGTAAGCGAATTATTGAAATTGTTGGAATTGAACCATGTGTTAGTCCCGAAATGGCCTAGTTTGTGTCGAGTGGTCGTTAAACTCTCTCTCTCTCTCTCTCTTTATCTAACTTGTTTACTCTTGTGTATGACTCATATAGTGATATAGGTTATCTAACTTACAATGATAAGCGTGTTTACATGGGTCTGTGTACAATAGTACTTAGAGCGGGACTTGGTTAACCATTAAACCCATATTATGGGGTAAATCTGCCTATTTCAGGTCTTTCTTTACGCCTTGAAATGTTATCTAAGTTATTAATTAGATATTAATTACCAAAACAAGACCATAATCAACTCTCGGTGTCATCGCTAGCCTGCAATATTTACTAGATTAGAAACCGGGTTGCTGCTGCTGATTAAATCAAAAAATGGATAACCGAGACTATGTTTTTTATCCTACCGACTTTAGTAATGATGATCGAGGCTAGGCCCATAATTCACGAGCTAAATTCTCGGTTCAGGGAGGATCGATTTGACTGAAATTTTGAGCAAAATGCCTTTACATTATCTAGTTTTTAACTATGATAGTGAGAACTGCCAGCTCTTTATCTAATCTCCCATAATGTATTTTTAACCATTAAACATACATTATGCAAAATCTAAATCTGCCTATTGCGGGTCTTCCTTTGGGCCTGAAATATTATATCAATTATTAATTAGACATTTATTAACATAAAAGGACTTTAGTATACAGGTCACAATTCTATGGAATACAATTACTGCTTTTTACTGAGCGACGTTTCGACTAGGCTTCTCTAGGTACACGTAATTAAGTTACATCCCTGGTTTGTCATCATTAACTTAGCATTGTGGTGTACATGTATATATTGTCCTGTCATATTTTCATTTTTTATCATAGCTTGATAATGACTAGAGAAGCCTAGTCGAAACGTCGCTCAGTAAAAAGCAGTAATTGTATTCCATAGAATTGTGACCTGTATACTCTAGTTCAATTACTAAATGCCATTGAAACAGTTTAAAAGGACTTTAATCAACTCTCGGTGCCATCTTATGTGTCGGATTTTCACTGGATTTGAATCCGATCTGCTGTTCAACGCTCATTGTTGATTAAATCTAAAAGTGGATAATCGAGACTATGCTTTTTGTCGTACCGGCTTTAGTAATTATGATCGTGGCTAGGCCTAAAAGTAAATCGGTAATATCTCGGCTCGGAGTGGATTAATTTTACTGAAATGTTCAGCAAATTTCTTTTACATTATCTAGTTTTAAACTATTATAGTGAGAACTGTCAGCTCTATATCTAATCTTCCATAATGCCCCCTTTCAGCAAAATAAGCACGTGCTCACGGGTAAAACACAATGTTTGTCCAGTTTTTTGATGTTATACACCGTTTAGAAACAACTTCCAGAAGTTACAGTCCATTTCTTGTATTCGACATTTGTAAAAAATGACCTCTCCTAATGACCACCAAATTTCAAGTCATTATACATCTTCGTTGTTGAGTTACAGCAACAAACATGTTCCAAAAGTGGGCATATGTATGCATTATGCTGTCTCACTTCAATAAATTGTATTTTGAAACTCAAATTAATATATTTTCTGTTACCTTTTTGGAAAGGATATGAATGCATGGTTATAGAACATTTCCTGTAATAAATTTTGGTAGTCGAATTATACAAATAGACAGTGTACTAAATTACAAAAACCTGTTTTCTGTCAAATTTTCAGTATCACAGTGGACATGCACATGAAAAACAATGAAAATTTAAAATAAAAATGTGATTGTCAGTAATATTATACTTTTCAATGTGCAATTTTAAAATCTAATATTTTTTTATTTATTTGAATTTGAAATGACCGATACTTAAAAAGCTCCCTAAAAGTGTATTTTTAACAGCTGCTGAAGCGAAATAAGTATAAAATGTAATGACCAAAATATTGTACTATTGATACTTAGAATTGGAAGGCAATTTATTTTTTTCACCTTGATGCTACTGTTGTGTTGGGGTGTTTATTCTAGAATTGTCCTGAATTGGGGAGTTCATAAAAACAAACACCCATCTTGAAGTTCCCCAAATCCCAGAATGCTCCAGGACTAAGAAATTTTCATAAAAATATATATGTTACAGTCAATGTCTACAATCAGGCAATGTGTACAATGCCTTTGTAACCCTAACCCTAAACCTAACCCTAACCCTAACCCGGCAATGTACACATTGACTGGTATATTTCAGGCATTGTACACATTGCCTGATTGTAGACATTGACTGTCACATATCATATATATTTCTATGGGAATTTTATTAACAAGGGAGACAACTCTATATATCATAATGGTTTTAAGAAGGTTTCAGACACCATTTAACTAATTAGTATTAATCTACTTTTTTAAAGTAGAATATTGAGCAAGTAATAGGGGATATATATGACAATACACCTTTGTCATACATACTGTGTTTTAGCCATTAGGGTATATAGAGCAGGGTCCTCACAGAATTTCTACTTTGTTAGATGACAAATTTAAAAAATATTTAATTGAAAGGGGCACAAGCCGATCAGATTGTTCGCAAATATGCCACAACTAAACAAATATGCCACAACTAAACAAATATGCCACAACTAAACAAATATGTTTAATATTAATGAAGCAGTGTGTAAGATAAGGATAAAGAGCTAGCTATTCCTGCTATAATAGTTCTAACACTATTCAAAATGAATATATTGAAAATGTCATTCAAATTACTCTATTCTGGGTCGGGGGGATCACGTGGCTAAGTGGGTAAGACGCTGGCTCGCTAGCCTGGAGGTCGGGTGTTCGATCCCTGCATTGGCCGAGAAAGGTCATTCAGATTTTCCGGCGTGGTTTCCCCCCTTGTCAGTGATGCAGGATGGAGGACCTGACAAGGACAGCTGTCTAGTCGTTCGGATGGGACGAAAAAAACCCGAGGTCCCGTGTATACATTGGCGTGCACGTAAAAGATCCCTTGGCAGTTGGAATTCGATATAAGAGTGGGCCGTAGCGCCGCTGCCCGGGCAAAATTTCCCTCATGGCACACTGTATGACGTATGCCCGTCTTCATTAGCCCAGGTTAGGAGCAGAACAGTAGGACGTTAAACCCAATTTCATTTCATTTCATTTCTATTCTGGGTCAAGTTATCACTGTTTGCAGTTTTGACATGTATAGGTTAGGATCGTAGCAGCGTTACTTATTAATCGAGACTCGGTCCCCGCTTCTCCATTTTTAAATTAAATCATTAAATGGCGATCCTATTTTAATCCGTTTACATCTGTGCCATCCGATGGTCTAGAGAGTTTATTATAGGCTTGACATGTGAATAAATGTCAAAATAATAATTTATATAACATATTAAAGGCTCAATACCACTCTTGTTGTAACTGAATAATATGTCCCAATCTTTATTCTGGTCAACAAATTGTACTATTTTACAATATTCCAATTAATTGATGATACAAATTTCATCTGAACACACCTTATTTAAAAATTTTGAAAAATCCAACATAATGGTTTGAAACGTCTAACGTAAACCTTTTCAAATGAAACTTCGATTTAAAAATATTTTCGAACCCTCTGGACAAGTAAAATAGGATGTAATGGATAATTTACGCAACAGGTAGGACACTTAAACATCTAGTACTTAGATAGAGATATTATTTATTTTCTGGAGCTTTCAAGTCAGCAAGAGTGTTATTGTCCCTTTAAGCCATAATAAACACTTGTAATAGACAGATTTAGCTCTGACTTATTGCATCGTGTTTACAGTGATACTGTAATGACACTTGTTATCGTCAGAGTATTACTAATATCTCCACAAAGAATGAGCGTGTCCACTCAACACAAACTAGGTCATTTTGGGACTAACATAGGGTTCAGTTTTATTTCAATAATTCGCTTGTGCGTAGTGGGTCTTTAGCAGAAAACAGGAGAATCCGGAGAAAACCCATGGGGTTGGGCTGGCGACCCTACCTCCTTGTCATGTTTACAACCGGGGAATCGAAACCACGCACGTTGACTCAATGACAGACCGCATTATACAACGTGCTCGCACTAACCGTTCGGGCATCCAACACCCCTTGGATGAAAAAAAAATCAATATTTAAAAAATAAGAACATAAGCACTATATGGCACTAATGGGTCTTCGTACCATGTAATGTCATTATGTCCCACGAGACGCAGATACGATGCTTCACATAACTATGAACTCTAACCAGCCGTGTGCAAAAATAGATCGCGTTCAAGGACGTCTGCAATGTGAAACATTGGCAACCCGCCACATTGGGAGATGACAACACAATGACTTTCACGTT